CTGGTTAAATGGTCGAGAAAATCAAATTGCAATTGCATTGTCTGGGTGTCTTAATCGGAGTTCTCCGACTCCAATCAGAATTCTCAAACTCTGATTATAGTCGCACTAAGGTGTTTACATGCACTTCGGTTGTCCGGTCTTAATCGGAGTAAGGCAATAATTCGGTTTTCTCGAGTGTCATGTAAACGTACTCTCTGACTCAAGCTATTATCATGGTTTTAATTTGCCCCTTACGTAGAACATTTTCAGCTACTTTGCCATCACCTAGCTCACTTGTTTTTGCACTATTTTATTGAAGTGATTTTAAGTCAAATTAAACTAGATTCTTTCAGTGATTTGAGGATCAACCTAAATGCACACACAATGTGGCATGAATGGGGTTTACCCATATCGTTTATAAGCAGAAGGTCACTGACAGTCATTGTTCTTGCCGAGTTCTATTTGGATATTTCCATTTGAAGTCCATACTACAGTATGTCATGTTTTAACTTGCTTGTTTTGAACCTGGCTCAATGATTTTCTGTTTTAAAGTTGTGGTTTGGGAGATTTAAGATAGCTGTTGCATTTATTTGTGAGGCAGCTGCCACACAAAGGGGGCTGGGTCAAACTGACATTTGTTGTCAGGGTCAGGTTGGCATGACGCTGCAACATGTCCAGCTGACTCAACTAAAGAACAGCCCAGGAGGAGGCTGTTTGAGGGTTTCAAGCTGGGGAAAGCATTTTGAAAGACAGAAAGTTGGCTTATTTGCAGGTACATGGTGGGTACTGGCAGATCTCAGCCAATGTCTGATTCTGCACTGGTGGAAATTATACATGTACTCGTCAATCTGACCTCACAGTCAGCTCGCTAAATCACAGTTTTGAAGAAACATATTTGCATACACACTATTTGGAACACAGAGGCAGAAACTCACTCACAACTTTTTAAGTCTTAAATTGTGTTTTCACTATGCAGTACTAAAAATCTTTATATGCTTCTTTTATTCCATGAAATCTCCATAGCTATTGTATAATACCTTGTCTTAACCTACCTTGTCTTTTTATCAGCCTTGTGGGAACATGTGCCCTTGATTCACTTTTACCACATGTGTTCATCTGATAAGAAGTTACAGAGAAACTCCATAGCAACTATGTTATTTTTATCCCACCTGTCTTGTGCAGTGTTTGCGTGTTAAATAGCCACTCAAGTCACAGTATCTTTTTAGAAATTCTACCTTTTTTGTGATAAACTAAAGCTAATACTTGATAAGTTATGACACAGATGTACAGGTGCATCTTAAATTAACATAATAACAAAATGATGTGTTTAAAGGTTTTATTGGATTTGATGTAGATAGCTGTGGCCATAGTACTCAAGAAAAATCGGAAACCTGGTATCACAAATTTGTAAAATTCTTCCTGACATCAGTAAGAAATGATTTTAAATTGTTTGTTTGTGTATTCATGCAGTACTTGGTTTGGGCTCCCTCCGCATCAATGCTGTGTGGTGTGGAGGTAACAAGCCTGTAACACTGCTGAGGTGTTATTGAAGCTCAGGTTGCTTTGTTAGCACCCTTCAGCTGAGTCTTATTTTTGGTTCATGTGTTCCTGATTCTCCTTTTCCTTGAGTTTCTCCTGGATCTCCCATGTGGTCTAGCCATAGTCTAAGCGGAAAAGAAAATTGGCATTACTTAAGTCGGCAGCAGTACTTATAAGTACAATACTTAAGTTCTTTAAAATGTTAAAGTAGTGGACCTAGATGACAACATGACACCCCAAACCATCACAGACTGCAACTTCACAGTGGACTTCTAACACCTTGAATTCAATGCCTCTTCAATCTTGTTCCAAACTCTAGGACCTTGATTTTCTAATAAAATGCAAAATTTACTTTAATCTGAAAAGCAGACTTTGGACCACGGAGCAACATTAATTTTACTGACTGTGTCTTCAGTGTAAGAGTTTTTTCGACCACACTTTCTGTTCCAGCGAACTTTTGATCAATATGCTTCATTACAGCCCTGTGTGAACACCCAGCCTTATGGCTTACCCTTATGGGAGGGTAAAAACTGTCAAGATAGTCAACCAATTCTTTCTGTACTGAACTACTATATACTGGACATCAAATGTGACTGGAAAGTTAAATCTACAATACCTCTCTCAATGTGCAGTTAAGTAAATTAATTGGAAGGATAATAGTTTCAAATTGGATCCCAAAACTGTTGCATAACATTCTGCCAACTTCTTTCATAAAGGGTTTGAACTGTGCTACCTATGTGTGTTTTAAATGAGTAATAATGGACTACAGCATGCTGTTTGACCATTTCCAGGCAAATCTCCAGAGGTTTCCAGAGAGTATTATTCAAACTCAGAGCCTTTGATGTTAAGTTCTGGTCCTGATTGGTGGTCCCTCGCCGCCTTTTGCAATAAAATCACAGGCAGGTGACCTCCATCCCAGTCCAGACTTTTAAACCTTGAGCTAATCCACAGATTAGACCTGCCATGCTTCACTTTTTAATCACAATTAATTGTTTTCACCTTTTTAGATTCCTGGAAGAATTACGAGACCTGAATGATTATAATTTCTTCAGGCTCTCCAATTCCTGGCTCCTACTTTTCTTTCTTCCTCTACTGTCTAATTCTGACTACAATCTGTGTGGCCTTCTGTTTGAATTCTGTTATGTTGACTATCTTCTCATCAACACTGTGTTGGACAGCAGTACTTGTTTGTTTCATTTTGTGCAGGGTGATTGGTCCCAAGTGTTCTTCCCTTTTCCCCAATTTTCTTCTATTCATTTGTAAGTATGATTGAACCATGCAAGACTCATCATCATCAAACGCATTCATTCCTTCATACTTGCACACTGTTGGATGCTTTCCACTAGAGATTTTCTAATCAGGGTTAAAGCTGCTCAAATTCTCAACCAATGCCTCCTCCTCAATCTGCCATTATTTTACAATTTCACTTGATTTTACAGAAATTACAACCCATTTTAGTTCATTTTTTTTCTATTTAACCCTATTTGGCAAGTGAGACTTACTTTGTTGTCTGATTTTGAGTGTTTTTTTCCATACCATGATTTGGTTTGATTTTACATATAACTCTAAATTATTGTTATGTTAATTATATCTAATTTCGTGATGAGCATTACTGCATGTCAAACAGGTCTTTTCTGCAACGCTTAGAAATGCCTTCTCCACATATGCTTTTCCCTCATGTGGGGTTCCCCTGGGTTCAATTTTAGGTCTCCTGTAATTCTCAGATTACTTTCCCCCCATGAGGCAAATCCTGCTCAGGCATGGTATGGTGCTGCTCTGCAAATGATATCTCTGTTAAATCCTTGCATCACAGATGTTTCTTTCATCATGTCCTGTTGGACTGATTTCAAGAACTGGATGTCTAAAAATTTTCCCTGTTGAATGACACCAAATCTGAAGACACTGCCACTACTTCCCCTAGTCCTGGTTCCACATGATGTGCCAAGTCTCCTGGATACCTCACTTGATGATAATATACAAAAAAGAGGCCCACAACCCAGAAGTCATGTACGACTTCCTCCTTTTCTTTGACACCCAGTAAACCAGATGTGTACAGTCCTCATGCTTAGTTAAAAATGTCAACTAAATTCAGTTCTTTTCTTTTTTCAAATGACATAAAATGTCAGCCATGCATAATTTTTTCAAGAATTGACAACTGTATCAGCAAGCAAATTACCCAGAGACTGAAACAAATTCAAAAGCAATCATATAACCCCTGTCCTCAAGGACTTTTAGTGGCTACATCTGTGAGTTTTAGAGTTGAGATTTCGCTGGTTCTACTGCTTGTTTTAAAAGGTGAGGCTCCAGCCTTTATCTGTGACTTAAATCTCGACTGGTCACAAGAGGCGTCAGAACATTTGCAGTTTGTGCTCCACTGCTGTGTAACAGGCGAACTCAGTATCCTCTTCGAAATCTTGTCTTAGTTCACTCCTGTCATTTCGACCTTTAGCTTTGATAGACGTGTCTCGAATACCTTGTATTGTTAAAGTGTTGGATATTATAGTAATTTGTTTTCTGTCGTGCTTCATCGTTTGTTTAAATTTGATTTGTATTGAATTGAACTGTTCATAATTTTTGGACACTTTGTAACTTGATTTTAAAAAGTGTAAATGAATTAATTTTGAAAATGAATTTTCTTTGAGCTGCTAGTGTAATATCATCAAAACATTTTAATCAGTTGTCTTAAATGCTTTACCTTTCACCATCTTTTGCTAGTGTTTTAGGTCCCTGCAGTAGAATATTTTGAGAAAACTCTTTCCTCCCTCCCCCTCCCCCTCCTCCTCCTGCCATTATCCTTTGAAAGATATTTCTGGTCAAAAAGAAAGAGATGTGTAGGTGGAGGCAGTGGTTGTAATGGGGGGAGTGCAGTTTAAGGGGGGATTCTCACAGAGGCTTGTCCTCTTTCTTCTGTTGTCATTACGACATAACGCTCAAAATAGAACATCTCCAGAGACCGACCAGTCTCGCTTTTAGTAGTTTTACTGCACACCAGCCCGTACACATACAATGCAGTCTATTTCTGTGTGCCTTCTTGGGGAAATGAAATTTGCAAGTGAGGTCTTACTGTACGGTGACTCATGCCGGAAGATTTATTTTATTCAGTGTATTCATTTTTACATCAGAGCAGAGGCATCCTGTATTCTGTTTGATAACCCCCACTCACATTGCTGCCGGTAGAATGTGTGAGTAATGCTCAAAGAAAGGGATGGATGTAATCCAGCGTAATTATGGCAAGAATAGGTACCGCAGCATTTTTGTGCTGAAACGGCTCACTTTTCCTGCCCATTGTGATACATGTGCGGCTGTGTGATAGAGAGAGAATATAACACAGGAACACGTGTTCCACTGTGTGACAGCAGGAGGTAATGAAATAGAGTGAAGAAGCTGACAGCTTTCCGTTTACATCTCTGTGTTGTTTGCTTATGTTTGCATGTAAAGTGGAGCGCATGTGATTGTGGCTGCCTAAGCTACAATGGATAAGAATGCATGCCAGAGAGAGTGAGCGAGCGAGTGTACGAGTAGAGCGGGATCAAGAAGGAGAGCGAAAGAGAGCAGAGAAGGAGGCAGAAGAAACACAGAGAGAGAGGGAGCTTTGCGCGGTGGCAGATAGAGCCGGAGCAAGTCGCAGTTCCCCAGGAAAAGGGAGGTGCATGCTTCTCATCTTCTCATTGGGGATATAAACTCACTCCAGATTGGTTTCAGTCTGACAGAGGATTCCCCCCGCTTTTAGAGTACGGCTCTCTCCTCTAATGTGACAGAGGACTTTGTTGTGAATTGAGAGAGAGGCGCACAGGAAGGAGCGAGAGGGACACTTGCTTCTACTTCCTTTGTAGCCAACCTGCTTGACAGATGGCACTGGCAGAATGATCTTTGACTCTCACCCAGAGACTACTGGCTCTGCTCGCTGAGGTAACGTATGTCAGCTACTGTCTTTTCCTGCATGATCATATATTCCTTCTGCTGCACTGTTTTTCTTGAATGTGCTTGAATGGGTGTGTGAATGAAAATATAGGCATGTGAGTGTGTATGAAATTGGAGACTAGAGGCACTGCCAAGTAGGATAAGTGGGCAGTAAGCACTATGTCTCATCACCACCTCATCAGCACCTTGTTAGAGTCGTGTGGTTTGAGATTTATCAGCTGTGTTGTGGTAGAGGTGTACTCAAACTGACCTTCGTTTATTTCACATGCCAGGGTTACCTGAGGTTACCTCAGTGAAATGTGGTCATGGCAAACTGAAAGACAGCTTCTTGCAGCCAGCAATTTTTTGCACTGAGTCTGCACCCACCTGTGCTTTTTTTTCCCTTGTTTTTTTACCTGCTACTTCTATAAATAAAAAGCAATTTGAGGTTTTTGTGCCTCACCTGGCCCCAGTAAACTAATCAAGGTGGCAGAAGTTGCTAAGGAAGCAGATGCTGTGCTGGAAATGAAAGGTAGTGTCCCAGGAGTGGAGTTTAATGTGACGTGGAGTGTTGCAGGTCTAGGATTTTTGGTGTGATGCCTGGAGAGTTTGGGATTAGTGTGGCTCTCATAGTAGAGAAGTGAATGAAGTGTAGTCTCCCTTCAGATTGGAAGAAAAACTGCACGTGTATTTTACAACAGTTATGCTGTAAAGCCATCATCCAACTGATACAAAATACTTAAAACTGATTTCAGGGAATGTTTATGTACTAGAGATAAGAGATATAATTTAGTTATGACTCAGTATCACCTATTACTGACTGTTTCATTATTTAAGCACAGCAGAAACAGAAAACAGAAGTCATTTTTAGACATTACTAGATAGCCTCCAGCTACAGAAAGCACACATAACTGCAACATTAAGAGCTCGTTGTACTTAAGTTCTCTTTCTTACTCAGGATTAACATCAGATGACTTGTTGGCCATGTGCCAGCCTTTCATTTAAAACTCATGCTCCAAACACAATGTGTTAACTTCTCTCAAGCAGCCCACACTGCTGGAAATGCATTGTTGAATTTCCTTAGCAAAACAGATTTCAGACTCTGTAATCTACCTGAGAATTTGAATATGGGGAAGTTTGCATCACAAACAATACACAGGACTACCAAGCTCAGTCTCTTTGTAATAAATCACTCACCTTCTCTGTCTCTCTCTCTCTCTCTCTCTCTCTCTCTCTCTTGCTTGCTCTCTCTCTGTCTCTCTGTTTCACACCCTCACTGTCTGTGTCTTTCTGCCGTCCTCTAACTCCTGCTCTCAGCATGAGGTTGATGTTCAGAGGAATCTTTGAGCCGCAAGATTGATTGTGGCAATAAGTCAAAAAGGAAAACACTGTGATAGAAAGAAATTGGCTTTTGACTTCAGAAAGGTATAAAGAAATGCCCACACATTTTGTGGACTTATTGCATTTGCTGGATTAAAGGTATTTGTTTTACACTTTGTGAATAAATGAAAGTGGAAATGCTCAAACAAAATGAGATGTTAACAGGAAATTTGGAATTCTTTGTCTTGAGGGATTAAAGAGGACAGATGATAAGAATTACCAACACTGTCAAGGTCAATGTTAAATAGAAGAATCACTGACTGCCACCGTTTTCTTCTTCAGGTAGAAACTTATTTCCTTTAATTTGAATCAGTTCTTACACCAAAGACTAAAACATAGACTGTACAAAGTCATGGATGTGGTCCTCCTCCACAGTACGACACAATATAAGAACTTTATTTATTCCCAAAGGGAGGTTCATTTGTCTGGAATCCTAGATCAACTGCAGATAAACCAAGTTATGATCTGACCTGGCTAGTGGCGGTAAGGCAGTAGCTCTGCAAGCCTCTTTGATGTTGGCATACAGCAGATCCAGGTTTGGTTTTCTCTGGTAGGACAGTCAACAATCTTTGTAAATCCAGTCAGGTGAGAGTCGAGGCTGACATGGTTGAAGTCTCCTGATATTAGTGTCTCGGGATGTTGAGTCTGTATCCTAGCAACAGTATCATGGAGAACATCACATGGAATTTCAGCCGTTGCCTTGGGTGGGAAGTACTCTTCTGGACAACACAACTTCTCCTTGACAGTTATGTGTGAAGAGTTGCACCATCTCTGGTTGACAAATAAAGCCAGACCTCCTCCTTTCTTCTTGTCACTAGCTTTAGCATCTCTGTCCGACCTTATGAGCGTGATGCCAGGTAGAACCACACTGGAGTCTGAGTTGTTTTGATCCAACCAGGTTTCAGTAAAACACAGGAGACTGCACTCATGGTATGCTTTCTCAGTCTTCACCGGTCTAGCTCCAGCTTTTTGCTTTTGTTGGGCAGAGAGTTGACATTTCCCATGATGACTGTTGGAGGTAAGGGTTTATGTCTCCATTTCCAAGCCTTCAACTTTGCCTCGACATTTGTACCAGCACCTCCAGATGTCCGCTGGAATTGGATGTTGTTGTCCAGATTTACTCTGTCTCAATGAAATAAGCTTGTCTTTTGAATAAATCCTTCTCCATGCAGAAATATCCATCAGTAGTCGACAAAGTATGATAAAAATATGAAAATCTGACATTTGAAAAAGTAACATTAATACAGTCAAGACTGAATGTGTGTGTTCCGGTTACAATCTCATTTCTCTTCATCTCTGATATAAACCAGGTAATAATAGAGCCCTCTGAGTCATACAGCCATGAGACCCTCAGCTGGCATGTGTTCCAGAAATACTATACTTCGAGCTCATCAAAAATTTAGCAGACATTGCAACACTGATGTCAGCCCTTTTCAGTCACATCTGAATGAATCTGCCCTTAGGTTAACATTTTACAAGATCATACTTTAACACAGTTTGCAGAATCTTCAATCAAGTCTGGCAAGTTTTTCAATATTTAATTGTGATTTTGCACATGAATACCTGGCAGTGGAGTCATTGGTATAGAGTTTTAAGTATCTCATTCCTTCTATGCTTTTTTTGGAAAGCATATTGTCAGGTACAGAGAGAACCAACATATTCAGTCAGTCATGACAAGGTGTAGCTCCTGGTTGTGAAAAAAAGGTGTCCAAAGATGTGTAGTTCAAGCTGTGGGGTTTTGTGGCTTTCAGTTCTATGTGTTTATTTTTAGCGATCATTGACCCTGCTCTAAACAGAGATTGATGTGCGATCCCATCCCTAAGGCAGTTCCACGGCCTCTCTCCTTCTTTCTGGTGCCAATACTGAAACTCACACCATTAGACATAGATAAAGGATGCTGTGGTTTCCTGTCTCCTAGACAAAGTGCCAAATCAGGAAATTAGTAGTCCCTGTGGTGCCTATTATTTTAACTTTAACCTTTTAAGTTAACCTTTTCCAGCTTCAGATGACAGCTCAGTGAGAGTGTGGCTGTGAGGTAAATGGATGTACAGCGTGAGATCAGAGGGGAAGCACAGGTTCAAAGTTGTACTTAAGACTTAAGAGTTTGACCTCTCGCTCTGGATAGGGTGTCATTCCTCATGTAAACACAGGCCCTGTTTGACCCATACAATAGCATTACAGCATCATTTTAATAGCTCTGGCATCTGGTTTATTTTTCCCTTTCCTGTAAGCAATTCTATCCTGTTTTCATAACTTCGTGTTGTCATGGAGACTGACAGATGCTCAACTATTTCTGTTTGTATATTCAATTTCAATGCTTTCACATCTGACTTTATCTGTCCTTAGAACTTTGTTTTTTCTCTTGCATTGTCTTTAAACAAATTAGAACAAAAGAAGAAAAAAAAGATGATTAGTTTTAAAAATTGGTATTGCAGTGAACTGGTTGCTCCTAGACTAAACTGTATGTGCCGCGCAGTGATTATATCATAACGTAACTGCTTTTTGCGTCCGGCTTGACTGTGAGGTCCTCATAGATTCTGTTTTATCTGATCTAAATGTGGCTATTTGATGTTGAAACCCCATAGCTACACTGTTAATCATGCCGCTGAATAATCCTTTCTCCTCATCACCTTCCTGAGAACAGCTGAGTGTCATATTTTGTGACTATGTGCCATCTAGAGAGCACAGCTTTACCTGTTTTTGTGTGACACTTTTATCTTCAGACGACAGTGTTTAATAGGCAAACGGAGGTGTAAGTGTTGGGTCACATACTCTTGCTACATACCACAGGAGCTTAGCTCTTAAGTCTTTTCCTTTAAATTAAGTAGCATTCAGTACATTTAATAAAACCCAACTCCCAAGTGGCCAACTGTATCCCCGTGTAATCCCTGCACTAATAAACACTCTTTATGAGCATTCCCCGGCTAATCATCTGCTCAGTCCCAGATAAATATCAAACACTTGAAGGGTTAGCATAGTTGGCATGCTTGACTGGTATTAACAGGTGTTACTTTGAACCAGATTAACTTTAATGTTAAGAGACATGCTGAGTCCACTGTTTAATTAAGTGATTAAGCCATTATTTTCCAATAGAAACAGTTGTAATAATCCAACATATCTTACTGTATTGCTTCAATGCTTCAGGAGGATGTGTGAATAAGAGGTTTTTATTTGGGATAAGGGCATGTCAGTAGCTTTTATCAAACCTTGAATGATCTTTTTTTTTGTAAGTAAGGGTGAAACACACTGTAACACCAAGTTAGACCCCCTTGAGAGATGAATGTTGCCGACTGCTTGCTTCTGTAGTTACCAACTTTTTGCAACAAATTGCAATTGCAAACAACTGCAAAACACAGCGGTCTATGGATCCACGTGCACACCTCTACCAAAAAGCCACTCTATAACCACAAATAATGTTCAGCAACTCCAAGAAGAACATTTATGTCGTCATGGAAATGCAATCAGACCGAGACGCTAAGGCAGAAGAACTACTGCGTCTACAGTAGAAAATGATTATTATCATGATGATGATAAAGTAATGATCAATGTTCAGTGGCTAGTACTGTGGCTCGGACCTTACAGTATATGTATTGTTGATGAGGTTAGGTGCTGTTCTGAGCATTATTTGTGGCTACGAGTGGCTTTGTGGTCGCGCTTTCCGGGTGTATCCATAGACTGCTGAGTATTGCTATCGTACGATCATTATTAAACTTGGTATCACTAGAAAAGTAAGCAGTCGGCAATATTCATCTCTTGAGGGGGTGTCTAACTGGGTGTTATGGAGTGTTTGACAATAACTTAATTTTACACCGGAATATCCCTTTAAATCAAGGATCTGCAAGAAGTAAAACAAGGCTTTGCTGTCATCCTTATTCTCAGATTACAGACGTTTAACACTAGACAGAGTTTTCCTGGTTCTTTTTGCGGCAACTTTTTTTTTTTTTTTTCTTTTTTTTCTTTTTCTTTTTTTTTAACGAGTGTAGGGGAGAGCACACCAAGGAGGCTGTTGCTTTTGGCTTAATCACTGCTAAAAGTGAGGAAACTAAGAAGACTCTGATCCAGAAAATTGCAAACGTCAAAGGGCTCTCCCCAGGAAATTGTGTTTTTTCTGCCTGATTCGTGCAGTTCCACTAAGCTGACTTTGTGTGGTGACCGGTGCTCCAGCTATCATCAAAGATATTAATTCAGTTCAGCTGCTCTGTAATCTTTTGCTTTTTATCTCAACTGATAGAAATTATAACTTCTAATGACTGTATGGCTGATTTGAGAAAATCACTCACTGTACCTATGGGAAATTAAACTAGCAACTCGCAAGCATTACGAACATCCTACATGCCACACAAGAGAGGAGATGAGACAACGAAGACCAGAGGGTTGGCACACAGCGCTTGCTATGATTAGCATCTGTCATCATCATTTTTGTACGTGAGAGGAAAATTTTTATGAGTTTACTTACTGTGGGAAGAAGCTGCGTTCAAGAGTCGTCCCAGACCCAATTTAACAGCGGTAATTTGTAAAGTACAATTAGATTGTAGCTGGCGGCAGAGTGTTGATGCGTGGGCTCCATTTTTAGCAGGTTACAAAATTAAAACCTTTCTCCACTACGAGATAACCTTTGGAAGCTTATCTCAGGGCGCTTGTTTACCCACACAGAAGGGTAAAAGAGCTGTTCATTAGGGTCTCTGGGATTTCTCCTCTGCCACCCCAAAAAAGAATGAATAAGAAGACTCACATCTGTGGAGATGGCCAACTTCGAAATAAACCAAAGGTGGAGGAAGAGAATGAGGGTAATGAGTAGGGGAAGCCTGCAGACATGAGCCTGCAAGTGTTTAAATCTTATTTCTCTTTGTGACGGCCTTAGGGTTAACTGAGGATAACTACTGCCAACACTTTTGAGTGCCTGACTTTCCAACTACTGCTGACACAAGGTTCCTGTATTTGAATGTGTGAGAAGTAGCTGTTTAATGAAAGGCCTCCATTTTCTCCTCTTGGTTGGATCGTTTTCACTCAGTAATCCCCGTCATTTCATCTAGAGTTATCATGAGGTCAAAATTGGAATAAAAGTTATGGCTACATACACATTAAAACTAATGGTATCAGCATCAGCCTGATTAGTATGTGTTGCTGGTCTTAATGAGCAGAGTCTAACAGGCCAAGATCTGCCTGACAAAAACTGCAGAGTGATCATAGTCAGAACATTTGCAAAGCATCAGCAAGTTAGCATTGGTAAAACAGTTTTTAATGATCACAGCTTTCTCTATTTTTAGCATTTCCTCTGAAAAGAATCACCCCTTCACTTCACTTCAAGCGTTGTTCCCCAGCAGCCACATATTGACATTAAATGAGGTTTTAGACGCCAACCAACAAATGTTGATTCCACAATCTTCTTGCCAAAAGTCAAAACCTGTCTCCAGTGATCTTTTTTACGTTAATATGGTGAAAAGTGTCTTTTTCATTCTGTTTGATTCATTTGAATTATCCTCAACTTGGTTTTTAGTTGATATTTAATCACTCCTAATCAATGAACCGTTTAAAAAGATAAATGTTTAATAAAAAACTGTTTTCCAGCTTTGTTATTTTATTTAATATATCAATATCAAACCAGATTATGTATCAGAATGATAAACTACAACAATTTCCTGATGCATTAATGGCTTTCTATTATTGCAAACTTGGGGCTAAGTGTCTTCAAAGCAGACTTGAACCTGTAAGAATATTTGTGCAGAAAACTAATGCTAGTAAATGTAACTTTATTGAAATATCTTGCACCCAAGAGGTAATATTAAAGTGGTTGTTAATCTTCCAATAAGAAGTCCTGTGATGTAGTAAACTGTAAAGTCCTCTGCTGGTGATAGTGTGCCAGAAATCTAAAGAGTACCAAAGTTAAAGCTGAGCCTGAAGGGTCTCTTAAGACCATTTACGGGCTTTCAGTCTGTCCCTGCTGCCCTGTTTTTTCTGCAGAACAGTAAAGACTACAGGGTTATTTTATCACAAGTAAATCTTTCTTATCTTTCAATTAAATCTTTCTTGACATTGTTTGTTTATTGTATTAACTGTAAACATTTGGCTCTTCTGTTTTCCTCTGCCTCCTCAAAAGGACTGCTCCGTGAACAAAAGCACAATGTTAAGATATAGAGAATTATTCTGTCCTAATTTTTTCAGTGAAAGTTTATTGACACACGCTAACTGGTCAAAAACTATGAGTGTTAATTTTTAAGCAGCTTACTTTGTTTTCTTACCTAACTGTTACAGCCTACTTACATCATCGGTTATTGAGATTGTTGATCCTACCTTGGTAATCACACTGTGGTTGTGCACAGATGCTGAAAAACTAAAATCCTTTGAGAAAAAATCTGGAAACGTTCTGCGTTTCTGCGTAAAAAAAAAAAAAATTGGGATAACAAATATAAGTGAGTGATGTCTCCTAATAAAGGCTGTTTTGTGTCATAGATGAATCTTGATTTAAGGAGAACTAATTAACACCATAACAAAGGCTCTCTTTGTCCTTTAGTGCAGTCCACTTGTGTTATCCTTAAACTATAGCACATATAAGGTCCAGCTAGGATCATCAGCGTGCATAAAACCCCCACATACATAATAAATCAAACATTTATAAAATAAAAACATAGTATATGTTAAACTATGATAATAATGGAAAGTTACTTTTTTTCAAAATACATGCAGGGACAGATTCCTTTGTTGTCACTCTAATTGTGATTCGATATGTCTCCATATTCCTGTTAGATGGGCTTCTATAAGTTCAAAATGAGATGGTAAAATTGCTTGAGTTACCCGTCGAGATCAAAGTGAAACTACCACTTAATTTCCGCCTATCTTCAGGGTGCTCACTTTACTAACTGGTTTGTACAGAGGAATTAAGTTCATAGCAGGCTGATTCTGCGAGAGACCTCATAGAAGCAGAGAAATAAATGGAGCACAGACTCTTTCCCTACATAATAGAAAGAAAACAAAGGATTCTTTACGTGTTGCTGACTTGCTTGCCTTAGATGTATGTTTAACAGTTTTGTAATGTTGCAGCTGTATTAATGTCACCATGTACCTTGAACTGGCTTTGGATGAGAGATTAGTTATTATAAGCTACTTTTACAGCTTTAAAAGATACTTTTCAGCATTAAAATCTTGCATTTTTTAATTTAACACTGAAGGACTGCATCAAAGTACTTGTGTACATTGGCAAATTATTCTTTTTGTAGACCATTGTACCAGTTTATACAGGCCATGTATCAGCAACTGTATGTGAAGGTCTTGTTAAGCGGCTGCTGTCAAATAATCTTATTTTCTTGCTGCAGCAGATTAATATCAGCATAGAAAGAGCAAACATAGAGCTATGATGGCAGATTTATATTCACAAAGACAACCCTGATCCTGAATGGAGCTGAAAAATGTTGCTACCCTGTCAATTAATTCACCATCTAGACGTTATACAGGCACCAGCTCCCCTCCATCTGTCTCTCTGTCACTGATTGTCACAGCCTGCTGTTCTGACATTTTCACTGTCTTTCCTCACAAGGTCACTACAGATGTTCTTATGAAAGGGTCTTATCTCACCACACCTGCCCTTTTAGCTGCACAGTGATGTGCAGCCAAAGCAGCAGTTCTGTAAGTTGAGACTATAAAGGTTCTTTGAAAGGCTTCACATATTTATCTCATTGCACAAGTTAATGGGCCAAACGTTGTCTGACTAATTGAGATGGCCTTGGAAATTGTCTCATGGAGAAGTTGCCATCACATTTCCATCCACTTTCTCTATCTAAACCACATTTGCCCTGTCAGACAAATTTATACATTTTTGTCTCACCACTATCATGATTAATGGAAAAACCTACTTGTCTTTACATGCAATTTTTTTACTCACAAAAACTAATTCAGAAAAGTTGTGAAGAGCTTTGAGGGACTTATGGTGTGTGCAGCAAGATGATCTGTAAATAAACAAGATGAACAGAGTCAGGGGAAATACATGGGCCAAATCTGGGTGTGCCCCGAACAAATCAAGGCTGATTCCTAACTGATTCTTGAGTTGTTCGACTGATTTAAAAGTGAATTTCAGCTCAACTTTGTAGTGTACAAGGGGGCACGAAAGCCAATCATGATCCCATCAGCTGCTCCCAATCTGTCAGATGAATTTTTGGCAGGTCAGAAATTTCGGTCAGCCAACTGCACATTCTCAACCAGGGAAAACAGAGCCAAGAGCCAATCCTTTGACCACAGAGCTTTTTTTCCTCATCGATCCTTTGCAAACAGGATCATCTGAAAGCACATGTTGTATGTTGTGGAGAAATGAAAAACAAATATACAGACCAAAGGATGGGAAAAATGTGGATGCAAGGGGATGTGCAGTCGGTACTAAAATGAGAGTTGTTGCGATACGGTTATTGGCATGTGTTTCAAATGCCTTCTCATACTGAATGGATTTTCATAACACATTATGTATTGCTTTTGATATTTGTCTTCGTGTGTCTGATGTTTTTTTAATGTTTGTAATTCTTTGCAGCACCATAAGTTGCCTCCTTCTTACATCTGAGTAATTTACAATAAATGAGATCCACTCATAATATGATTGCAGGTAATTCAGTTTGTGTTAGGATAATTGTTGCCTCACTCCCAAACACCTCTCATATGGCAAATTTATCACTTTTAAATTGCAACTTAGTTTGTCACTGTAGCACGGTGAGTCACAGTCCATTCGTTTGCCTTTATGGATGTATGTGTCATCACTTCAGACAAGCTCACAAATCAAGAGCAAGTACACTGCTTCCTAACCTCACATTGAAAATGTTCAACCATTTGATTATTCACATCTTTCTTTTCTTGTGGCCGTGACTGAAAACCTGTTTAATTGCTGTTGACCATAACCCTTTTCTTATTTCTCATTAGGGAAAGAGACTCAAAGTACTCCAGACTCATTTTCACATTGTTGTAGTTATGTAATGGAGAGATTACAAATAATCACTTTGAAAGGTCAGGAGTCTAATGTAATTGTACTTTTTAAAGCTTGCAGATGATAAACCAAAGGATTATGACGAGAAAAGTGTGAAATGATTGGATATATTTAGAAATATTGTAGCACAGGAATTCTTCTTCACAATAGCACAATTGACTCATACTGCATTGTTTCCCATGAATCCCAAGGTACCACATCTATACAGCATTGATATTGAAAGGTAATAGATAGTCCATTGTGTTTTATTTTTTTTTTAAACCAATTACTTCTTTTAGCTTTAATGTGGTAATGGTTAAAAGTCGTTTAATTTAACATAGAGAGGTTTTAGTTGTCAACAACAGTGACGTGTATTGATTCCCGGAAAAGTAAGTAAAAGTGGAGATATCCATTACTGTCAAAAAGTAAAACCGTTCTCCATTAGCGACTAATGAGCAATCGCTGCCGTGTTCCTTTGAGAGTTGCTTGATGTGTTTGACGTTTCCCTCGGCTGCAGCTCGAAAGGTGATATTTTTCTACACTAATTACCTACATGTAGATGTTTCCAGATGGTCATTAACTCCAGACAGTGACTTCTTAATCGCAGCTTTTTAAGAGTGAAACCGCTTGCTTTTTAATGACAAATATCAACGTTTTTTAGGGAAAAATGAATTTTATTTGGGAAATATTTTGATTTCTTTCCTCAGCAAGAAATAATGATTTAGATGTTTTTAATTGATAGTTGTATTGTCATTTTTAGTTGTATCTCTAAAGAGGGATAAATGAAACGTTAATTAAATTGCAGAATCAAGCACGAGATGGTTTTACATTGCTCTGACCAGGTCATTACGTACCAACGAGACACAGCATACGGACAGTTCTATATCTAATGACCTCATTAATTCTGTCAAATCAAGCTGGTTTTGGAGCTTGCCAGCCCTGGCTGAGAACTTAAACACATTATATGACCACCATTATGGTCTTACAGCTATGAAGAAATTAATCATTATTTTTACCAATTGGTAGTTCTGGTTCTGGCAAGGGTGAGGTTGAGATCACTGATGAAATTCAGCAGAAGTGCACTTATTTGGCTCTGCTGACATCCCTCTGAGTCTGTTTTCATTTACCCTTCTGTCTCTGCAGTCTGCAGGCAGAAAAGTGTCAGAAACAGGGCTACTACATTGTACCAACAATAACTATCCCTTAAAAAAAAAACAGTAATGATATTGTGGAACAAATTATTTATATGGTAATAGTGTCAGTTCAGTGTAGCAGGTGGAAGCACTGGCTGGATAAATCATGAATTTAAACTTCATTATGAACTCATGATGGTATATAATTTTGTTGCATTTATTAGAGTTTGGAAAGTTTGGAAAGTGGTGTGTTGCTACACCCTTGTCTGTTTCATTGTTAAGTTTCCACAAATATCACAATAAATCATTGTTTTGAAATGTATTAGCTATTATGCAAGTCAACCCCTTGTGTGAATATACTACATAACTCATACATAAAATTTCACCTCTTGGCATTTCTCTGATGGTTTCACCTGAACCCGATAAGAGCTATCTTCCCGCTCCCAGCATATTTAAATAGCTCTTGTCCTTTTTTTTTCCCAGTGTAGTTTTTGCTAGATTCTGTAACCCTGTATTTTGAACATTGATTTTTTACCCTCCATTTTTAATAAGATCTCTCTAGATTTCATCTTTAACTCTGAGCTTTTTTGCTGTGTCTCTCTGTTTTAAACCTTATAGCCCTGCCATTGTTAGTCTGCTCAGGCTCCCTCACCTGTATCTCTATTCTCCTGAGTCATACTGTATTCCCCTCACTTAACTAACATGAAGGTTATGCTGTTAGAGCAGGACATTTAAGAAGACTATCCTCAACGGCCATTAACCCTCATTGTACAGGAAAACACAGAGGCAAAGTTAAATTAAACAGCTTGGCAGCGTCGCTTGTAAAATAACCTGCTGGTTTGAAATTGGACATCTTCCAGCAAGAGGAGATTGGAAAGGATTGGAAAATATTCTACTGCTCATTATGTGTGCAGAAGTTGGACCTCAGGGCTCCACAGTGAACAGAAAATGAGTCAGCCTCTAGCCCCTAACAACCTGGTAAAAAAGACCTCGTTCTTTAATAACAGAAATAGCCCCCGCATCGACCAGTTACTTAAGTCACATTGTGAGTCTTCCCATGTGAGACACGGTTTTCTGTAAAGCTAAATCTCCTTTTACTATTCGCTTCAATCCATGAACATTTCATTTGATTGAATTTCAACAATTTTAATACTTGGTATAACTCGATGTGTTAGACTGCCCTGACACTAAAGTCAAGGAATAGAAAATGTAATCCATAGCAGTGAAAAGTCACAGTCATATTCTCATACCTCTCCATATGGTCGTGAACATGTTAGTTCTCCATTTAAAGTTGAAAATACTCAGTCAGAGCCAATCTGACATATTGAGCATTTTCACATGTCTCCATGGTGGGATTTTCACGCCTACGACTTCATCAGTTTTACCAAAGAGTTTTTTTTTTTCAGAGCGGTTTTGAAACAACAGCGTGTCGCTCTGCAGATTCAGCGGCACTCTCTTGTCATTCTGCGACAAAAGAAATGTTTAACACATTCGCTCTCTGAAAAGGATTGGAGGATTGTTGCCAAGAGCTTTTTGAAAGGATCCATGAGAAAAAAAGCTGAAATACACAAAAGCAAACTATGGACTCATTGGCTGTTATCAGCTTCATCCAGCTCAATGAGCAAGTCTGCTCCCCGAGGTGCTCCACCAGGAAACTGCAGATATCAAGTCTCTGTATGCGAGCGCCTCCTGTCACCTGCAGGGGTTCGCCTGCGATTCACACTCACTGTCAAAGCAAAGGGACACAATATTTTGTCATTGATTAGAACAAAAAAAGAAAAAAAAAAGATGTAATCCACTTTGTTGCATTGTGGCTCACAGCTGGTTCATCTATAACTGTGGCAGGCCATAACATCTGAATGTCATTTTGTCATAATCTCATGGATTTATGATCTGCGTGATGCTCTGTAGGGGAATGAATCTACAGTGAGGGATGATGATCAGTCTTTTAGGAAATTGTCATTCCTCTGGCTGAGTTCTCAATGCTTGTGTCACAAGAATAGGAAGTGATGAATTACAATTTGTCCTTGCTTTGTTTGCATGGTTGCTAACTTGTTCATTTTTTTTCTCAGAATGATGGAGGCCAGCAGATTTGTCATTCTTTCAGTGTTAGTTGACAGGTATTTATTACATTAGATTAAAGCAGGCAGGTACAACATTGATAAGTTTTTGTGTTTCTGTTTATGGAGTATGGTGGTGGAACAGATTAGGTGTGAAGCTCAAGCAATATCCAAGCATGACCCAGTTTAAAAAGCCTTACAAAAAAATGGTTCTCACCAGGCACAGGGAGGAAGAAGGGCTTTAACCATCGGGAGTTTTCATAAATGATTTATATACTTATTTACTTGATTTATGGTCCATGTATTATCCATCCATTCAATTATTCCATTCAATCTAGTAAGCGGAAAATGAAAAAATTAGTCAATATTTTATTTATTTGTTTTTCTGTATAACCAAAAAAATTTAAAAAATAGTGTTTGTTTTGGTATTTTCAGCTCAAAACGGAATAAATAATAGAGAAGGAAACAAAAATGAAATAATAAATCTTATTTATAATTGTTGATTTTGAGTGCATGCATGGAGGCTACATTGGCCTTCCCATGATCCTCATCAACAGTTACCATGGCGAAAGATGCGACAGAGCGGTTCTAGCGGTTTGTTGTAACAGAGCTCTGGTTGTAATTGTTCTACAGTCATTATCTTCCTCCATCCAGCATGACCCTCTTGGCGGCTTTGAATAATACGTAGTATGCGTCCATCTCCATGACAGCAGGTTAGCCTTTCTCTACCGCTCTGGCCTGGAGTTTTTGGTCCACGTTGTTTGCTACTTTGTTGCGCAATGGTGAACGGTAGAAAGGCACCGTGGAACTAGGGACATCAATAACCCAAAAATGAAAAGTAGGTTTATTATCTTGTTTTTATTTCCATGAGCTGAAAATATGAAAACAAACACGTATCTTTTATTTGTTGGTCATATAGAAAAACAAGTAAACAAGATATTGACTTGTTTTTTGGTTTTTTGTTCACTAGATTGAATGGAATAATTGAATGGACAGATAATACACAGACCTTTTATGTTCTATTTTTTGTTAGTATAATGCAAATATGTTGGAGACTGACTGTTTATGGAGTAGCGGACAAAGGTCAGGTTTAAAAAAAGCATAATGCTTCATTCTATTCCTTTTCAGACATGTTGTGTTTATGTTTTTATTATAAGTATTTATATTTATTTTCATTTTTTATTTTTTGCTTTGATTATTCTTACAGTTGTTTTGAATATTCTCAAAAAAAAAACCCAAAAAACAATATATCAAACATTTTGCACCACATCCCTGTCAGATTTGGACTTGCTAATGCTAATGCAGAATACTCTCCCTGCTCTTCCTTCTTTCCTGTCAAAATCCACCATCCGAGTAATCCTTTTCTTACCTCCTCACTCAGCAGTGCAGCAGAAAAATCCCTCGTTTAAAACCATGAATACTACAAATACAGTATGGAGACAAATCTTCATGTCAGTCCTCTTGATACGCTTAAATTTTCAATTTTGCTTAAAACTACATCAATAATTCATGCAGCCAAGTGGCTGGTGTTATTTTATGTAGGAAATCAGAGGAGGTCTGGTACGAGTGTTGTCAGAGTATATTTCCTACTGTCTGCCTCGATGCATCACTCCAGGAACAATTTTAAAGCCATGTTTCAATGAAAAAAGATTTGGCAGATTTAAACAAAATGCAGCTTTTATGAGGGTCACACTTTTTCTGTTTATCACGCCACTTTATGATTTGAGCTCTTTTCCCACAGTTAGAGCTATTTACACACTGAAGTACCTGTTTGCCATCAATATCCACTGTGCACTCATTTGAACTGTGGGCCAATGTTCTTGAGTCTAAATTTAACATTTGTTGTGCATGCTCTTATTATGTAAGCCTTTCTGAATACTTTATTATCAGGGACCCTCTTGTCTCTGCTGGGTAGACAAGTCAACACTAGCTTTTACTAACTCTATACATCTGTCGTTTCTCTTCTTCTCCACATTTACAGTTTAGACACATACTGTCTCTTATCCATGATATGTAGCCGACACTTGACAAGACATCATTTTGAGTAAAATGAGTCTGGATCCACACTTGGAGAAGATTGGCATATCAAAGTGGTGGTACAGCTCGATTCTTGAGGCAGTGTTTTCAAGGTTAAGACATCTGTACAGTACAAAAACTATAGTAACATTTAATGGCAACTAGTTAGAACTGCATTGTTAGCAACCTAATTTTCTCCCCCACAAACTGAAAAGATGTGTTTAATTCCTTCAAATTGATATTAAATAGGTGTAAGTTTAAAGCCTTTTGTGAAAATAATTTAACTGTAGTCTTTTAAAATGATGTTCTGTGCGGGTTTATCTCCTTGGCTCTGATATGTTAAAGCCTCTGTATCCTTTTGAAGATGTATCAGGACAATTTTTTGATAAATTTCCTGTTTTCTTCTACAGTTTTTTAAACCGCACATGCTCATATTTCTTACTCGAAGAGAAACATATTTAAAAGATAACCTATCACTTCTTATCAACACAACTATTGCTTCCAAACGTATCTGAAACCTTCCACATACTTATGATATAACTCTTTCATATCCACAGACGGCATCAGTAAAAGGTTCTTAGGGTTCAGCAGGTAAAGACTTGACAATTTTATTTCTAGAGTCAGTGGGTGAAAAGGCATTAACCTCATGAGCCTAGAACCCACGCATGGAAGAAACTGCTTATTATTTCTCTTCTGCAACCTCACATCAGTTTATAATTATGCACATTTCAGTTGGTATTTGTTAGGTTGTGTGTAGTTTGTGTTTATGTTTAGTTGGACTGAAATCAACCTTTTACCTGATGGAAAAATCAGATAAAATTATTCCTTCAGTACAGTCTGCTGAAATTAAAACTGTAACTGCCTTTAATTCTATTGTATTCCTGTCATGGAAACCCCTCTGCAAACAACACAAATCATTAAACACAACAAACAACATACCCACAGACTAATTATAATAATCTGAATCAAAACTTTCAATGCAGCAGTGAGTAATCATCCCTCTAAAAGTCGTTACTGTGGAAACCAAGCATTCTCCTCGCTCCAGTTCTGTATATTTATGAACTGCTATCTTCTGCACAAAATGTATGTGAAAGCATCTTTTCATGATTCCAGGGAGGAGTGTGGGTAGAAAATAACTACAGGTTCCCCTCTCTCCATTCATTTGGAGCTATCAGACCGGCAGCTGGGGATGCATGTGATTGCGGAGCATACTGCAATTACTTTAGCGAGATTGGTGCAAAGCCTCCAGATTGTCCTTAAATCTGCCTGTATTTATCTCCCTCATTCTCGTGATTCATTTCTGATTTTCTTTTCCTGCTTTTTTTTTCATTTATTCTTTATCTGGGTACACATGGACTCATTAAAATGCATGTTCCAGTCAGTTATGCTGTATCAGTATAGATGCATGTCATTCAATATAGTAAAAGTTGTTCAGTCAAGAGAGATTAGAGAATGAAAATTGATTTCGCAAGATAAAGACATTAACTATGGTGGATCTTTAGTGATTAGACCCTGTCTTTACAACACATCTTCAAAATATAGGTGATGAGGCCAGCTGCAGGATAGGACAAACCCCTGAGAGAGCCCGGACATTGGTGGTGGTAATAGATGCAGGGGTGAGTGGATGCAGAATGATGAGAACATCGAATAAACTAAACTGGACACAAAACTGGGGGAGGGTCACAAAAGGGAAAACTGATGGAGCAAAGAGGAGAACAGGTTTAAAAGTTTGCCAGCAGCCGGGTAACTGGTTAGAGGTTGTGGCAAAGCCTGGTTGGAGAGTACTTAGAAAAGTTAATGCCCATGACCAGGTGATAAAAAAGCCAGAAGACATACAGAGTGATATAGATGTAAGTATATGAGCTGCTTGAATCTATGCTGAGATTCATGTGGTCTGGATTATTTCCAATATCACTTATTTCACTGGCATTGCAGTCAATCTTGGACAGTTTAAACCTTAAAACTGTACTTTGGTCAAGTTTATAGGTCAGCCTGATAGCACTTAAAGTACCTAACAGCTTGGGGGTTGAGCCTGTAAGTTTCCCATCTTCTCTCGAAGCAAGTGTAGCAACATTTAAAGTTTCACTCATTTGAAAATGACATGGGCTAAAGATTCCTGACACTGGTGCTAGACCAGGAGGACTAACAGTAAAAATCAATACTATCAACACTCAAATGGTCATTATACATATATTATTATAGGAGGAAGGTGCAGAATAGGAGATAGTATCAAAAAAGTAGTGGTGGCTGGTCAGTAGAGAGCCCCAGGTGCCTTCCTGCCATTCAGCCATTACTGTTTACATTTTTCAGAATAAGTTTGACATATAAAATTTGTCTGTTTGCGTTGCACATGGCATTTGCTCCTCTACAGTACAAAAGGTAGGACCTACTTTGGGTGCAATTCATTGTACTTAAATTTTTTTTATGCGCTACCAGTCTGCACATTGCAGCAAAAAGGCTCCTTTAATTGAGACACAAAAAAGTGTTAAGCAGGCAAGCTGAGAGATCTTGGACCTGATCAGCTAGACATCAAAACTGATCAGGAATCCAAGGACAGTGGGCGAAATTACGCAGTCAGATTCAAAGAACTGGTCATCCAAGAAGACTCGGTCTATGGAGTGCATTGTTTTCTTTTCCAAAAATCAGGATCAGACCCAGCAAAGATTCAGACAGATATGACACTTGTTAGAAAAAGCTAAAAAACATGGGCAAAAAAGGTCCTCCTGGGATATTAAACTTAAGTATGAACAGGCTTTTTATCTCCTGAACTGCTACCTTTGCATACAGGTGAGGCTTACATGGGCTTTACCTGGTCTTGCATCTATCAGGTCATGGTGAGCTCTTAGATGGGTCAGTGTCATTCATAAAAAGTGAAACACTGGGGGGCTAAACAGATCCTCCTTTTTACGTAGCAGAACACCTTATCTCTTTTTTTCATGCAACTCCTTGTGCTCTTATGAAGATCAGCCATGAAGGAAATAAACAAACAAAGGTCCCATTTATTCACTACTTCCCTGAAAATGGAGAAACAGTAGTTTGCACTATTGTGAGCGGTAAATTCAGATTTTTAACAGTTATTAATGAAGATAATTTTGCGTCATCACTGACGAATCCTAATGTGCCTGTGAACACGTGTCTGTGACACCTAGTCCCATGGGATTGTTGCAGAAAAAAACACTGTTATATGGTTTTATGTGGTCGTATGAGATATATTTTACACAGAAAAGCCAGACACTCAAATCACACAGTAGACAGCAAATATAGTGCAGTGTAAATAATAGGTATAAACAGCATATTTTTATGTTTTGTAAGTACTGTTATTGTGTCCGTCCTGTCTTAACACAATGCCACTGCAGTCACTCTAAGCATTGCAGCTAATAGATAACTGATGTGGGCTTTTATGACTTCCTAAGCTTGCCTGTAATGTGGTGTCTGTGAATGGCAGAGTAGTTACCGTTTATGCCATGAATTACATTCAGTGTCTGCTCATCCCAACAACAGCACCTACAGTAATTTCCTATTCCTCTGAGCACTGACTCATTGTAACTGAACTCTTTCAGAGCTTAATTGGATTCTTATCAAATAGTAGCTATTTCAGGCTGAGCACCTAACTTAGAAGAAAGGACAGTGTAGCTTCCTATCACACAACCACATTCTCACACAGTGAGACACGACCACAAACTTTGTGAATGTGAATAAAAAAGGGGAGCAGTGAGGAGAGTTTTCCTTCTAAGATTAAAATGTATGAAAACAGATAATATTCCATTTTTCAGCTGTTTTAATTGTCACTTGCTTATACGAGTGTCTCTTACTTTTTCTTCTCTTGGGATCTTAAAGGAACAGTACTGTTTTTCTGAAGTGGGGTTGTGTGAGTCAACGGCAAATGAATTGGCCACAGGAGAGGCTGGTCTGCTTGGCCCTTTTGTTAAGACACTGACCAGAGAATGGATAAAAAAAACTAGGCTATTAAATTCTAAAGGCACCTTTCTCTTCTTCTCTATCCTCTTCCTGTTCATGTCTTATCTTTGAATCATCATGTCCCATTAGAGTCGCTTATAAACAGTCTTTTCTTGAAGTCCCTCTGCTCCATTGTGTCTTCAACTATGTGTATCAACATCACCTCTGTCCCTTTCTCTCTCTCACTCTCTGCATCTCCCTTTATCCCCAAACCAAGTAAGGGCAGATAACTCTCTTCCACATGTCTGGTTCTGCTCAAAGTTTCTGCCTGTTAAAAGGACATGGGCTCAGTCTTTACCCCAATTTCCACCGCATCTGGAACGGCTACAAAAAGGCCGTATCCGCTGGTCGCAGCTGATAGTAGCCATTCAAGTTAATATGTCAATTCTTACAGACTTCTTTCCATTACGCTGCGGATAGCCAGACTCCTCAGCTGATCGCAAGAGTCTAATTTTTTCCAGACACTAGAGCATGCCGAATAAATTCAGCATAGGAAGTCAGGCACAGACACAAAATAAAACATCCGGCTTCTTTTCAAAATAAAACACTCTGTGTCTCATTTATATTTAGTGTTTTATTTTATATTTATATTTCACACCAAGCAAACAGGCAGGGACGAACAAGTAAAAGGTTTTTAGACAGCATTTCACCCCATGACACCATGGACAAAGAGATGCTGAGTCTAGAAGTCTAGAAGTGGATTTCCTTCTCTGGAAGGACAAAATCTACTGCTTATATGGTTATGTGGCTGTCTTTATAGAGACAACTTGTTATCGCACATGCACATGAATCCATGGGTTCTTTTGAGTTCTTGCGGTTCCCACTGTCTATAATCAGCCACAAAATATGTCTCACAAACAGATCCGGTAGAAATTGGCAGACAGCGAAAATCGCCCCCATTCCGGGTCAGAGCCGTTCCAGATGCAATAGAAATTCGGTGTTAGCCTATCTTTACACTGGGTCTTTTTAAAATAGCATATGGTCTAGATCAAATTTTTGTTAAGCATCTTGGGAGAGCACTTGTTGTAAATTGGCACTACTATTACTGAAAATTGATTGATTGATTGATTGACCACAATAACATTCATTCAAACTTTCAAACATCCTAATAGATTTTGACCAAGTGGAATTATTAACCGGCTTCTTCCACAAACGTTTTATGGCCATTAATGACAGTCTCTTTAGGGCAGGATCATCGTGTCAGGATCCTAATTTGCACACCTGCACATCATTCAACCCTTAAAACTCTATAAATTGTGTGTTTTCCTTCAATTAACACAAAGAAATACAGATAATTTGCTTCTTCAGCATTCACCATTATTTAGTAAATTATATATTGTAAACCAAGATGAAGACCACACCCTTTGTTAGATTATGCTAACTGGGAAGATGAAAAAACACTTCACGTATTGCGCAAAATTTTGTCTTTTAATGGCTAAAAAAGCAAGACGATTGATATTAAAAGCTACTTGATAGTGGGTGTAAATCAAGTGTCTGTTTAGCTAACTTAATTGTAAGATCAAATTTTGTATTCAAAGTTAGCTGACATATTAGAGCTGCAAATTTCTGTCAGTCTTCCCAGAACCCTTATCTGACCATAAGAAGTCTCTTTATGATGGAGAATGATGTTGATTGTAATCAGATAATAACTGTAGATCTGTCTTTGTCTCTGTCACACAGTCTGCCTGTTCTCTCTCCATCTCTCTGTCACGTTTGCATCAATAGAGACATTGTTCAATCCGTCCGTAGAACTGAGTTGTTTCTGCAAGAAAACTGTGCTGCGAATTCTCCGTGCACGAGGCCCCACAAAAAGTCACACTCAGAGAAGGGTGGATTGGAAACACACCGAGTTTAAACACAGACGGACAGACAGACAGCCTACATTGTTTGTCTGTGACCTTTAACCCTTTGTTCCCAGAGAGGCGGAAGAGGTCATTTATGACATAATAAGTCACTGCCGACTGTAATCTTCCCTCTGTGTGCCATCTTTAAAAAATGGTTAGCCGCTGGTGAAGGTCAGATTGACTCCGCTGGAGAGGCAGATTAAATATGGATTTATGTAGTGGTTATAAAATACGTCTGCTAGTCTAACACTCGGGAAAGGGATGTGTGGACTTTCAAAAACATTCACTGTGAGTCTGCCTACTGCAGGTTACATTCGATTTGCTAGACATGTTATCAAGCGATGTCTGTTGTCTTCAGAGGGTTGTCACGGTGACGGCAGAGTCAAAATGTTAAAGTAAAGTCTGAATCTGTAGAAAACGCACACTACAAATACTTAAAAATGTGGTTTTGAGTGAGTGGGCATGCTGTCAATTTATCTCTGCCTTTTCATCTCTCATTTCATTTTAAGCGCCCATTGTTTCTGCACTGAGACTGTTGAATATTAATTTTGCAAGAATATTGTCAATCTCTATGTGGGGTACTCAGACTGTCAGGGTGGAACATATTCTTTAAAACAATGTGAAACAAAAAAATATTTAGAAAAGTCTCCATGTGAAAACCTCCAACTACAAACCCATTCAAGTCTGTCCATCAAACCTCGAGTATCTGTTGAACTGAAATCAAGATGCAGACTCAATAGGGTGCATCATTTGTGTTTACACAAGTACACATATGAGCATTAAACACTAATGCAAAGAAAGCTGTTTCACTCAACTAATGTGTGATTACATTGCATCTTTCCCACCTATCAATATAGTTTGACTTTACTTGATGCAACACCAAAAGTTCGGGATATACTCATGGCATAATACTATCTACTGTAATTATAATATGCTAATATTAACTGTTTCAATTGATATATTCAGATGATCTCCCTAAGGAGCAATAGGACCTGTGACAGTTAGTTAAAACACTGCTGATTTTGTAATTTGCTGAATGATAAAGCTTTATCATATAGGGGAGAGTGGGGTAAAATGAGCCATTTTTCATATTTCGGATCACTACATCAAGGCGATCATAGTTTTGTCTCTAACTAGTGCATCCCTGCAAACCAACAGAATGAGTGTAAACATAACTGTCTTGATAATATAGCATGCCAAAAAATAGTGGTCTCCTATGTTCAACTTACCCCATGTATGGGGTAAGTTTAGCCATATCCCTACTACTCCCTAAAACATTTTAACATGAGAATGCCTTTAAGTGATTCAGAACATACACAGCTGTATTTTTGGAAAGAAAAAGTCAAACATTTCAACAATCTGAACTGAAACTCTGATCCTCTCATCAGACTCCTTTACTTTCTCAGTTGAGCCACTGACTCAACTTACCCAAGTACTACTATTCTGACTGTATTAGTCCTCTAAGCTAAAATGGTGGACTTTTATTCTAGGGTTTTGACCTCAGGTTATAGTTCATAGATACCACAATTGATGTATAGAATAAATTTAAAATGATCTTTTTTGGTCTGAACACAATTCAGACAGACTAAATTCACTTTCAAGAGTGAGAAATGTTTTTTTTGGGAAATAAATGTCTCACCCCTTCACCCATGTGCTTCTATCCTTCACAGACTCAATGAATTGATGCCCATCTCCTAAATATTTGGTCACATGCTCAATTTCTTTTACCATTTCCAAGCAACGGGGATAGCTCAACCTACCCTTTGGCTCAACTTACCCCAGTCTCCCCTAATATACTTATTTTAGTAAATTTATAATAGACTCATTGATTTAGACACATCTGTGGTGTCTCTAGATAAACTCTAAGATCAGCCAAAATAGAGGTAATAAAAAATAATATATAATGTGACTATGGTTGAAAACTTCCTGCACAAGAAGCAGAAATATTGCACAAGGGTTTAGCAGAAGAATGAGTCAGTAAGTGTGGAACATCCCCTGACCTTTCAGCTAAGTGTCTGAATTCACTGTTGCACCTTGCACAGATCAGGTAAACAAATCACCGACGCAGGCACATCCTGATCCGGGTCCGAACACAAACCTGCTGCCCTGGACGATGACGTGAAAGTGACGTAGACTTTTTAAAAAACGTAAACGGACGTCTAGCAGCTCTCAGGCTAATAAGAGGTTAAAAGGAGGGTGGTCATGTGTAGTGTCAAGTCGGACCATGATAGGTCACTGCTCAGTGGTGTGCTCTCTGCGGCTCTCATCCGTGAAGTAACGGGCTGTGGGTCTCCGCCTCCTCCTTTAAGATGCACTGATTTAAGTTTGTCAGAAAACGCAGCCGCCGACTCCTGCGCGTGTGTTTTACCTGGCAGCAGCATGGATGAATAGGCTTCCGACCTTGAAGCTCTCCTCCGGGTTTGGCTCGGTGGTCGACGGATAACTTTGTGGAAGTTGGCGAGGTCAAGACGAAGGTAAACATCAGGAGTCGCAGATGAAAAATGTCAGAATTTATGTCGGAGTTTCAGAGGAAGTATACTGCTTTTTTTGGATCTGAAGGTTGTTGTGTCGTGAAATTAATAGTTCTTGACCGATACTTCAGAAATTATACACTACCCGTAGTTACGTCAGATAAGTGGTCAAAACACGAAGTTTAAACCGGTTCAAACTTCACTTTTAACAGGTCGACATTAATGTTGGGGAAATTATCCTATCAGAAACACACAGATACTCGGTTAACCAAGCTGATTTCCTGACTGAAACTAGGTTATAATTTCCTGCATCACAGTAAGCAAATGGCTTCAGTGCACTTGTTGTGTCTGTCTGACTTGTTCCTGCTGCCTGCCTGACTGACTGATGCTGAGCCTGTGTCAGCAAACTTTATTTCACCCTCAGGGTAAAGAGAGACCAATTTTACAAGTCAAATATCTTCTGTCTGGTCCTGCTCTGTTGGCTCAGGACCTATTTACAAACACTCATCCTGCCAACATTGTCACCTTAGTCCTTGGCAAGTTAGTGCCCCTTTATTCTCCTGTATGTACAATGTGTACAGTATAAATATGAGTGACAGTCATTGTGTAGATCAACTTCATTGAGAACACTCTTTACAATACAAGGAAATATACTCAGAACTTCAAGACAAGCCACAAAACTATAGGGGAGACCAGGGCTTGTTGTCACGTGGGTAAGTTGTCACATTGCAATTATCTTTGCCACCAGAGGGCGCTATGAAAAAGTGGAATACTAGTTTTTCTATATATTGCAAATATTGTTTGCTGTGTCATATTGAGCACGAGAATATATGACGCTGTATATCCTTTATATCGCTATATATTGCTATACATCTGCTGGAGACGCAATGCATGACGGGATGCCCACCACAGGTGAGTGACCATTGGATGGTCACTACATTTTGCGATGAGTCACCTATATGGGGCATTGGACTTGATCACTCAGGTTTCGGACACCCCTTAAAATGGCGCTAACCCCCATATAGTCGCCTATGTAGGGATTAGGGATCCATTTCGGACACAGCCATGGTCAGGGGCTGTGTCCTGTCTGAGAGGAGAAGAGCACATTGTGAGCCGAGATGAGCGCCCATTAACCATTTTGCACAACCCAAAGGACTCTAATGTCAACTACCATACCTTGGCTCGGTACTGCAAAACATTCACCCCAGCCAAAATACAGAGTCAGACAGATCTCCAAACTCCAGAGCATACTGCATAATATTTTATGTTAACTTTTGTTCAGTGACTTTTTCTCGCTCAATGATAAACATTTTCTGTGCCTGACTTTGATGTTCACTTTCAAGTAAAAAACGAGAACAACAATAATTTTGTTCTTGTTTTATTAGCTGCAAAATCCACTGTGACATCTTACCTCATATAGTGAGACAACTTACCCGATGGTGGGGCAACATGTCACATGTTCACACTCTCTGTTTGATTGCTTATAACTCTGCACTGACACAAGATATGAAATTGACATTAATAAGAAATATATACCTGAGACTTTGGTCTTTCATCTGGTACACATTTTGTTTACATATGATGCATTGATTCCAAGAAATATATAAGAGTGTAAAAAGTGTGACAACAAGCCCCGGTCTCCCCTATTTAAAAAGATACAGAAATGTTTTTTTTTGTTTTATTTTAATTATCAAGATGACTTGAGTCATTACTGAATAAACAAACATACAAAAATCTTCTTCAAGAAAGCTGATCTTTACAATCAGTATTTGTCATGTCTATACAGTACAGACAGACTTACAGCACAATATAAGAGGCCACTAACCGTCAAATTGGAGAACAGATCATGTTTAAAGCACTTAATTACAAATGGAGATGGTTCAGAGGAAATGCACTAGTTAGATTAGATATTTGTATTTATACATCCACAAATGCCTGAACTGACCCACAATTGAGCGAATTGATTTACAAGCGTATGATTTACAAATGTGTTCACAAATCTAATGCACAGTGCGAGCAAAAACACTCTCCTTTATAGCCATTAACAACCATGCATTTGCAAATAGGTCTAAACAATTGCAGATCTGTGTACATATTTATGAAACTGTGTAAACATCTGTGGGTTTACATGCAGTTGATTTATGTAAATATTTGTTAATCTTAATATATTTGTAAGATTTGCACATTTGTGGATGTATGTATGCATCTGTTAATCTCTGTACACTTGTAGATTGTTTTGTTAGAATAATAGAAACAAACAGACGCCATCACGTGTCTTACAAATGCTGTGTACTGTTGTGTCATCATTTGCATGTGTGTATTCCTCTGCTGAAGTAGTGATAATATTACTTCCTTGCTTGATGAGTTTAACAAAGTGGCTGCAGGCCAGCTGTTTGAGAGGACACATACTGTTTGCTGTGGACATTCAGCTGAGGAAAACTCCTCTGGGGTGGGAGTTTGGGGGGCTCCAAGCTGCATCTGCAGTTAATCACCATGTGTCACAGCAGGATCCTGTTTGGTCTGTGTGTGCACTGTGTGATAGTCTTTGCAGGTACACATGATACAGTGGAATCAAAGGGGTGTGAATATGCAGTTGCACAGTGGTGACACATACAGACAGTGCAACAACAGTTTTTGTTAGAGCAGTCCCCAAACTGTAATGCTCTGGAGATTTTGTCACTGAGGAATAGCCTGTTGCACACATACCAAAACACAACTACTGGAGTGAGAGCTCTTGGCTCTTTGTTACTGTCAGTGGAGCTGGCTCACTCGTTCTCTCAGAATACAACCACTTTGAATTCATCTCACAGTTTCCGGCAGCCCCTCTTCTCAGCTGTTTGTGGTTGTCAGGCCTGGGAAAATTCATCTTAACCCCACAGGAAATGACACTTAGTGGGCGGACATTGTGGTTTCTTGCCCTTTTATTTGCCTCTGTAACCTACTTAAGAATATAAATGTGTATATTTATTATTTTTTTTAGATTTTTCTAGGATCTAATATTGGACACAAATCTTCAAACCCAGTCTTTGGCACTGGCTTATCATGCAGATTAAGGGTGCATCAATTGACCTATCTCATGGGCCTAATTTGGGGAATAGTGAACTATTTGTCCTACATTCTTAACTTCTGACCAAAGCGTGCAGCTTATAATTAGTTTAACTATTTCTGTATTCTGTGCATTTTATATTCTTATAGTACATTGGGTGTCATGTACAAGCTTAGAAGAGATGTCGTTTTTTTTTTCCACATACAATGGCTTTGGTGTCAGAATGCATGGACCCTATTTGTGAAATGACTCACGCTATAGGTTTTTTCCCATCAGTTTATCACTTCTTGAGAACATGTGGTTTTGTGTGTTTAAGTTGTCTCCTTTTATTACACACCCTGAGTTTGGGCTGTGAATTTCCTGTGTGTTGATGCTTAGGTGGGGGAAGGGGGTTGAATAAATTTTGTAAGTACTATTTTGACAAAAGTGAGGTCTGGGATTTGTCATAACATTAGCAAACTAAAAGAGGCTTTAAAACAAACTATTTATCTGTCAGTTAAAACACCTGACTGGTAGAAGTTTGAATTAATTTTTAATCAAAGTAAAAACTCTGACAACAATGAGTTAGCAAACTGCGCTTCACCAGATTTGCAGTAAATGAGCTGTGACTTGGAGTTGTGAACGTTGATATTAAAAATAGAATAACACAAGAATAAGTTTATATCTGCTCCAACTTCAAAAGTGGCACCAATTTTGATCCCTCAGTTCTAGTTACTGCAAGTGCTACTATATTACTTTTTTGCAATTTTTTTAAAGGAACTAATTTGCATCACCTCATAACAAAAATAAGAAATTTCCAATTTACTCCAGCTTTGATGTGTTCAATCTCAGTGGATTTAATCACTTTTTTTGCTCTTACTACAGCTGATGTGCTATTTAAGCGCAGTCAGATAGAAACCTGAAGATTCATAAACACACCACTCATACAAGCAACACTAAACGTAAGAAGCAGTGTAGCAGGACAGATCCACACAGAATAATGTCTTGTCACTGCTTCATTAACTGCCATCTCTTTACGGCTCCTAATTACAGTTGTAAAACAGAAATCTAATAGAACCAATCTGACCTAATTCAGACAAATTTTGCTGTCAAGTAGGTTAAAACCACATTAAGAGCCTTATTCTCTGTTTTGCTTGTTGCCTTGCAAGAGCAATTAAGCTATAATGGATTCGGCTGAGACTTAATCCAGTTTGAGTCCTTCTTTATCTCAATGACTGACCCTTTTCTCCAGTGTATGTTTGTATTTATGGCTCTGTAAGCCTGGTACAAATCCATCTCTGGAAAACCACTGCTCTCCCTGATGTTTCTGTTATTTTTAGATTATTTAGTATTATATTCCTTTTCATCTCCAGTTACATAACTCCTAGCTTTTCTTCAACCTGTGGTTTGTACACTTTGTTTTTATCTGGCTCCACTTAAAAAGAGAAAGAAATCAACCGGGGACTGATTGAGCCTAGTAAGTAAACAGATTAACCAATTACAGAGTTGTTGCATGGGGGAAATCGATGCAAATCATCCAGTTGTTTTGCGCTCGAGCAAACTGATTCACTTTGGTTTTCCTTTTTTCTTTTTTCTTCAGCTGGTTTCCCTTGTCCCTTTTCCCTGTCATCTTAGCTGTGAGTCATTTCCAGCTTAGTCTGGTCTTTACTACAGCCTCACATCATACTACATACTGCGTAATACTTCACCACAGAGCCCTGCTTCATTCCATAGTGTGCCAAGGCTATTTTTAGAAAGCAGGGATCTAAATAAGAGATGAAAGCCTGGGTTTTGATCAGTACAGAGAGTCTCAACAGACATGGGCCAAAAGAGAAATAGGAGGGAGCCCTTCTAATGATCAGAACAGCCAGACATAGCGTTGCTTGCTGGCTCTGATTATAAAGGATGTGCACTGCAGGCACATCAAAATATGTCATATTATTAAAGTTTACATATGAAGCCTGAGGAAGTCTTAGGGGATACCTTTTTAATTTGAAACTCTGTGTTCCTTTTTTAATGTTAATGCATCATTAATGGATAAATCCTGCATGTAGAAAGATTCACGATGACTCTATTTACAGTAAACTAGCTGCTAAACTGCACATCAGCAGACATGAGCTCCACTAAGACATTTTAAAGCAGAACAATATGTCCCTTTATTTGTATTCAAACAGGTCAGTGTGCAGTCTGATGCCATTATGTCTGGAGCTCAAGTAAGATTTATGCAGAAGATTAGCAAAGCAAGGAGGCATAGGTAAAACGGGGTGAAGCCTGTTGCGTGAGCAGAGTTTATAATCTCATCTGTGCACATATTACGATCTCCCATCATTACTCGCGCCACCATGAAAACATACTGTGTCCCCGGTGAGCAGCATCATGTCCTCTTACATGAATGAGTAATTGTTCAGTGATACGATTTTTATTTGGCAGGTAGATTGTTTAGTTCTGACTCCTGTTCCTTTCATCATTTGCATCATTTCTGTGAGAAAAACATGACACAGAGGCATGGTTTGAATAATTCATGTATAAATGTTGTTTAATTTATTCATGCATTTTTTTAAAGGTGTGATCTCACACAAGGTATGATATTTTGTTATGTCATCCTTTTTAGAATGCATGTGGCTATTGTCTATTGTCAGTGTAGCAACCACAATTAAATGCATAGTTATGTTTTGTTAATACTGTCAATGAGGGTGTCATTTTGTCAAGTGACACCTGAGATGTGAGTCAAAGCCGCTTCTGTTTGTGTTGTAATTTTGAATCTTGAGTTCAGAGAGAGGACATACTAAATAGGGGTGGGAGAAAAAATCGATACAGCACAGTATCGCAATATTTTATCCGATAATTTATCGTATCGTCTCGTTTACCAAGTATTGATTTTTTTCAAATTGATTGCTTATATAAAATCTATGATAATGGAAAAATAAAATCAATTGTTTGTCCAGTGATGTTGACAGAGGTGACATCATAGAGCAGGAGAAAGTTAGAATAACAAATATATATATGTAAGGTTTGCAAGATGTGCTACACGAAAATTTTATACTGTGTAAATAAGACAAACAAAAAGGAAAAACAAATGCTAAATTAGCTAAACAGTTGAAAAAATTGTATTCAAATTGCAACATATGGTATTGCAATACTCACTGTATTGCAAAATGTTAAAAATCACAATAATATCGTATCGTGGCCCAAGTATCGTGATATCATATCATGGGGGCACTTGTGATTCCCAACTGTAATACTTAAGGACCCTGGTTGCCTTTGGACAATTTTAGTTTGGAGAACAAAACATAGTGTTTGACCGCATTAGTTGTGTATGGTTTTTGAAAAAAAAAAAAAAAGAGGAAAAAATCATGAGAATTTTCTATTTGATTTGGGAAAGAAAAGTGCAAAAACACCCTTTTAAATGTTACAACAACAACATAAAAAAGATTCTTCAGCAACAGTTGGGACAGGGGCATGTTTGCAATCAGCTCTTGTAACAAACACTTTGGAACAGAGGAGAGCAGCTGCTGGATCTGAAAGTGAAATCTTGGTCTTTCCTGGTCTGATACAGGGTGTGGGTCTCCTTTGTCTTCTGTTTTGTGACATCATTCACCAAATGCTGCAACAAGTCTGGACTACAAGCTGTTCAGTTTAGTACCTGGACTCCCTATACTCTTTATTCTACGCACATTTCAGTGCATCATCCGTGGTTTTAAATGGCTTTTAGAGTAATTCAGAAAGAAATACCCTGGGTTATGCTGCAGATTTCAAAACTCATATATTTATGTCAGAAGCAATACTAAACCACATTCAATACATTATTGCATAACTTATATCAAATACCAGTCAGTGTTTGATGAATGTATTTTAGGATGAAAATGGCACAGGTTATCAATCACACAGGCGTTAACGTTGCTTAAAAAAGCTACAACAGTAAAGGGGCTGCCTACAGGGACATTTTTTTTGCCTCTTTTTTAATCCACTTCTTCAACATCAGAGACTGACGGATGCAGATTATTTTTCCAAATTCCATCTATAGGCCCAGATAGTTGGTCCATCTCCAGTTGTGACTGTAATGTGGCTTCTCCTTGCAATATTATGCAACATCTACCCTGCAAAAAGCATAGTCAGGATGGCGGTAAAGTTACTCTAAAACCTGTGTTGTTCAGCCTTTATTGTGGGCACAAATGCAATGCACTTTTTTATGTAGAGTGTTTCTACTTACCTCATTCAAATCAATGTCATAGTTTAAAGATGTCCCAGGTGTATTTTAAGCATTACTTAACCTACAAAGTGTTTTGCTGTTCCTGTACTAACTATTCTGAAAAGTGGGTCTGTCATCAAATTTAAAATGAGCTTAATTTTTTCAATGAACAATAAAATTTTTGTTTGTAATCTCTTTCATTGACTAGTTTCCAACTCTTTTTGAGGTTATAATTAATTTACTTCTAGGTATTTCCAAGGTTTCCTACATTACAGTGGAATTAATTACAGAGCTCTGTTATCTGTGCTGCAGGTATACAGGATCAGCTGGTTTTATTACACAAGCCTCTTTGCTGTTATTGGCCTTAAACACTTCTTTTCCATTGAAAGAGATTTCTCCAGTCCTCAGATGGTTTGTGCTTTTTGTCCTTGTAAAAAATTAATTAGACTAATCGGAGCACTTCATGCAGCACGTATTTTTATGAGTGTTAGTTTAATCAGCATCAGCATGCCTCTGTAATCTGCCCACGGTCTTTGACATTGCGCTGACAGGGACACAGTACTAAGAATAGTGAGGCAGGGAACAATGGAGGTGAACTCTGATGGTCAGTAATGAGGCGTGAAAGGGAAGCAATCACATGGTTGTTCTGTGCCGTGAAGCCATCGCGGTGATGGAAAACTGTGATCTATGTCTCAGCTGTAACAGCAAAGCTTCTCTGCGGTAGGTCCATCTGTTGACTCTGTTAATGTGTGCATGGCAAAGTGCACAAGGCACTGAGAAACAAGATGGCTAGACCGATAAGTCCTTCCTGCTGTGCACTATTTTTTTAATATTTTACTTGTGCTGCACAGGTGTACAAATACACTCTTCATGTGGAAAGCAGTGTTAAACATTGTCTCTATTTTCCACTATAAAACTCCTCAAACAAGTGACTCATCTAGAAATGTTAAAAATAGATCCAATTTTTACAGTATCTTTAATTACATTCTTATCCATGCTCACATGCTTAGCCGTGACATCTGCTGTTCACCTGAGTTAAGAGCAGTGATGCCAGAAGAGGACCCAGGGCCTCGAGGATGTGTGAAACTGTAATGGGAAACGTTGTCTTGCCATGTTTAATGCATGAAGTTCACCCACTTCCACACTCAGCCTCCAGGTCAGAGTGTGAGCTGGTGTGTGTGTGAATGCTTCTGCTGAGAGCTACAAATCTACACCTACATAAATATTGCCATGAAGGAACATGCATTAATAACTGTTGTCTGCCAGAAAGGGCTTATTTTTTGTTGTATCGACCTCTGAGCAAATACAGGATGACCCATTTAACTAATGCCTCTTAAAGTCTGTTATAGGGCTTGGCGAAAATTTACAGATACCGAAATTTATGACAATAACCAGTGTCATTTTGCCCATATCGGTATATTCTGTGTCAAAAAAACAAAAACAAAAAACTAATAGAACAAATAAAAGTTGGTTTTGGATGTGTAGGTAGGCTATGGTCTCATGTCCCTTTTAAGACACTGTCCTACATTAGAGACCTGACTCCACCCCATTCTGTTCGTAACAAAGAGGTGAAGACGGGTGTTGATTTGAGGCCATATCGCCCAGCCGTAGACTGTCGTAGTATCTTCCGAACAATGAGGACATTATGGTTAAATAATAAAAAAGTATTTGCCTAATATCTAATATTGGAGTTGAAGGGCCCCATTGAGCACCTTTCGTGTCCAGGGGTGTGTATGTTTTGAAATGAGGTGTGGTCAACAGGCGCCATTGTGGTGTTTTGCTATCTTGAAGATGCAAAATGTCTGCACCTTTGACCAGCAAAAAGCTGGTTGAAAGTGGGAAGCCCTCGGTGTACGGCCCTTCTAATATTTAAAGGGCTCATCAGCAAAATTATAAGACAGGCATTAGGGTTAACAACGAGAGATAGGGCTGTCACGATTAGGAATTTCTGGAGACGATTATTTGTCAGACAAATTATTGCGATTGACGAATATATTGTCAATTTTTTCCCTTCTTTATATTCTACTATCATAATATAATGAAATTTAATAATACACATTCTATACTGTACTGTACACTGTACTGTACTGTCTGAGTTCAGCATACTGCTGTGGATGGTGGGTCTGGAGATGTTGTTTCAGATTTGTTGTGTGAGTGCTCTTGACCAGCACTTTTTATGGCAAAGTTTACATATCGCTTCCTCCACGTTACCGGGCTCTCCTTAATCGTTCGGCTTGAATTCAAAATACACCCACAGTGGTGCCGTGGTACGTGGCTTTGGAACCAGAACCTCCTCATCCTCTATCCCAACATCAAGTCACTGCCTATCTGACCAAGATGAGAGGTAGACAACGTGTGGCTGTGACAGCGCAACACATTGACGTCAGATTCGGATTCAGCATTGTTTTATGCAACTTTGTGGATAAAATAAATAATTGAAGGTGATCGGGAATATGAAAAATAATTGTGCAAATATTGTAATAATTGCGACTGCCCTTACCAGAGATCCTCTGCTGTTTATAAACAGACAATACGTGTACATGCTGTATAAAAAATGTTTTTTTTTAATCAATCAAGGTGAAACTAGACTTTTATACACCTTAGCATGTTAGGCTGACTGCACTAAAATCTCAGGCCACTTTAAGAAGAGGACATCCTTGTTGCTACCTCCTCATACACCAGCTTCACTCTAACCCCCACAGACCAAAACCCCCAGAGCAAGACCGACACAAAGCCCTCCACTAAGAGAAAATGTATGCAGAAAAGACACACACACACACACACACACACACACACACACACACACACACACACACACACACACACACACACACACACACACACACACACACACACACACACACAGTCATGCTCTTACACAACTGAAGGGTGTTATTTTAAATCCTATATAACAACAAACTTTAAATGACATTGTCCACAGAAATAGAAAGGAACTAACATATGTTGGACACTGAACTGAACTGTGCAGTATTTCTGTCTTTATTTTAACCTTTTATGTTGCTTGATTGTTGAAGTCAAATGTTTGTAAATGAGCTCATGTCGGCAAAATCCAAAGGTAACCTGAACAACATGTCCCTTTGTCTGATTTACCTTTAAAGTATTTATCTGACTGGTACATGGTTGTTGCTGCATCTCCACTCAACAATATCTTATTTTTTCATGGCTGTGGATTAAGGTCAGTGGTCTTTGTTGGTGTTTGTTGACCTTAAAGCAGCCTTTGACATAACTGCTCAGGCTACACTGGTGAGCACAGAAGTATCTCACTCTCAATCCTGCTTTTGTGTCGAAAGTTTTTTTTGTAGTGGTACTTCACACCACATTAAAATGGTATGCTGGAGTAGCTGTATCTGTCTGATGTTCACACTGACTCTTGCACTTTGAGTTACATAATAGAGGGGTTAAACTGAGTGGCCCAAATTCAACTTCTCCTCTGTATTTACTAGAATAAAACCTGTTTTTGTCTGATTAAATTTCACTTCTTTCATTGTACTTTAAGTTTCAGGCTGTTTTATTGGCAGTTTTATAAACACTTCAGCTGCTTGGCTGCTGTATGACAAACTCCCCCCTACCTCAGAGTAGTTCTGCTATTATCTCTAGTATTGCTGTTGTCAAATCCCATTTCTTTTAAGTCCACTGGATCAGCTCTAAGATCAGGCCTTTTCTCACTTGTCCCATTTAAGAGAAGGCTTTTCATGCCTCCACTTCCTCCAGGCTAGATTACTGCATGGCTGTGTTCCTCTCTGAGTCAGCAACAACAAAGCTAAGATTTACGGGGAAGAGCACATTTGTCCTGCCTCTAAATGAATTACTACAGGGTTCTCCATATGGTGCTGCTTCTGTAAGGGTGACATACATTTTTTATTCTTAAAGACACAAATACCATCTCTTGAGGAGATTAAGTTTCAATTTCAAACCTTTATTTTTTCTCGAAGAGGCATTGAAGTTTCCCTCATTTCCAATGTCGTTGAGATTACAACAGTCAAACAAGCAAACATAAAATTTACAAAACAACATAATCATTTAAAGCATACAATCTTAAATGAAAGGAAATTGATTTATAAAAAAAAAAGGAGTTTCAAATTCAAAAATAGGTAGTTTTATTCACTTCAGTTTCCACAGTAGAGCCATTATACTTTGCATCTTTACTGCAGCTCTCTGACTCAAATCTGATTTCCCTTCTCCACAAACAACCACACATCACACAACCAACCAACAGCTTTGATCACTCTTTGTGGTTGCACTGCATAGAAACTTCACTGTGTCACTGCTGTAGTTTGTATCCAGCTGCTTCAGGCTTAACTTGTGTGTTTACTGCCGGATTAATGCCCATCATATTTCACTAGGTGTTGTTATCAATCAATCAATATATTTTTCTCTACCCAGGGGGGTGATTAATTTTGCAGAGGCAGAAGCGCACGAGACAAAATATACAAAACACATGGCATGATAAATTACAATACATTACAAATCAAAATACAGACCCTTATAAATCAATATAATGCAGGTACAGAAGCACAGAGGTGTGGCCAGGTTGTGGCTGTTTTGGCCCACACAAAATTAGGAAGGTGGTCTTGATGGCTGACGGGTACATAATCATGGCTCTAGTTCTTGTTTTCAGAAGAGTTAACAGGATTTTAGAGAAATAAAAAAATTAAATATTTTGATTTTTTTTTTGTTGGCTAGTTCTTGTTATCTCTGTGCAGTGCTGCATGCTTTCTCCTCTTTTTCTCTGGGAACATAACTGTCCTCTCCCCCCTGGAGTTTTTGGCTCACCTCATACTGAAGATCCCCTGCTAAGAAAAACTGATCAATTGTTTTTCATATGCATGCTAATGGTGTGGAGTGCAGATGGTTTTGTTTACTACTTACTTTGAGTCAGTGTTAACTCTACCTGACTCTCCCACAAGGCTTAGACTCTACTCTGACGTCTTGCTCTGTGATGCTGTTTTTTTTAACCGTTCCCCATTTTATATATTTATGTCATCTTGAGTTTGTTTGGCACTTGCACCTGGAGAAACTGACAAGTGTGTTTTCTGCTCAGAGTAAGCCAAACTCTGGGATCTGTCAATGCCGAGATCAACTCAGAGGCTTCACAGAACAATTTCATGTGGGGGTTTATTTTGTTGCTGTTTGGTTCGTGTCCTCCTCACCGGTGTGCACTTTAACCTCTAAAAGCATTTACACTAGTAAGATAGCTATTGTGCAGGCTACATTGTGTGAGTTATCTCTGATTTGTGTGTGTTTGTGGACATTGACAAAATGTTTAAAGGTCTGTGATACACTGAGCGGTGTTTTTAGGGAAGAAAGATGTTGAGGGTTGATAAGGCTGTGCTGATGGATGGTGGTGGATAAGGCATTGTATGCTTAATGGATCAGAATCTGGCCGTGATTGAGTGTGATTGATTGGGAATGCACCCTATCAGAGACGCTGCCTGTTTTCTTTGATTAGTTATCATGGCATGTGTCTGTGAGTTCCTCTATTCTGTGTCTGCCTTTTTAATCATCTATCTGTGTGTTTGTGTTTGTGTAGCTGCTTAACTAAGTCATCATCATCATCACCCTCAGCCTTGCTTGTACCTTGCAGTCCTTTCACCTCCTTCTTAACCTGTAGGAACAGACTACACGGAGACAGCAGCACACCGAATGGTACAAGATGGACCTTACCCACGAGTATGAGCGCAACCCAGGCTACAAGTGTTTCTCTCTACTGCGGCAACTTTGAAACGATCACAAAGTGACAACAAACAACCTCCCAGCCTCTTCACATCTCCAGCATCAACATTCAAGGGCTGTCAGTCGGTGCCTTCCACTTAAACATTAGCAACAGCAACTAAGGTAACAGCCCTGGCAGCTCGGACACAAGCGTAGCCGTCGGTAGTGAGTGTGTTTTTCTTTTTTGTGTATGTGTGTGACTGTAACTTGGCCTGCCGTTCCCCAGGGAGGACCAGCAAAGGAGTTGTGTTACACTCCCTGACAGGCCTTATACATGTTTCATCTGCTGCTCTCAGAACAGAAGCCCCCTTTGTTATCTAATCCAGCCCTCTCCTGCCCAGCCTGAGAGACTGAGTTTACTGCCACAAGACTGCTCCTCACAGTCTGTCAGCCAGCCACTGAACTGATACTTATCAGCCAACAGCTGAGGAGCAGCAGAAGGACTTGGTTAAGCCCAAGATATCTGCTATCAGGACTTCTCAGCCAGACTTTTAATCCATTGGCTGGCATGTGGAGAAGGCTTAAAATAAACAAGAGGAACTGAGGAGGCTGTGTGGGGTCCCTTCAAAGTTTGGATATTTATCTTATTTGTGCCTCAACTTGATTCCTCTTTGTCTAAAGCCCTCCAAGCTGCATTTTAGGAGTGCTAGTCCAGGACCATGAGTGACACTCTCAGACTCCCTTCGCTCCAGGTGAGCGTCCCAAACGATGGTACAGCATCAGATGGAGGAAGCAACGTTATTTCAGATTGCTCCATTAACTCGTGTTCCTCAACACCGACTCTCAGGCGGAAGAGATTTAAGATGAGGCGTATGAGGAACGTGCCGAGCGAGAAGGAGAGCGAAAGAGGCCGCCTAGCCGTCGGTCAACTCACGGCTCGATCTCGCTCCAGTTCCAAGGAGTACCTCCAGCTGCCTTCTATCGAGATCACGCCATCCAGTGACGAAGATGGCCCTTCTTCCTGGTCCCGCTGCTCCACGCCCAGTGCCTCGCCAAGACGTAAGCGTTTCCTGTTGAGGAAGTGGCTAAAGGTCCGAGAGAAGAAGGAGCAAGGCAGTGAGAGCAGGTTGGTATCATGGGCCAATCCTACTTACCTTTCCTCATTCCCTATTTCTCTCTTAAGTCTCCTCTAACACCCCCATTCTGCTTCCCTCCATCTCCTCCAATGTCTCGGATCACCAACTTATTGAGAGCTGTTGCCCTCTAAAATAAAAACTCTACTGTTGAATCCCTTTCAACAAACAGCAGCTTAAACAGCTCAGAGTTTACCACAGTACCTTATATTTTCATGCACTTCTTAAGAGTCTTGATTTCAGCCTGAAGCACAGTGTGCCTTTTTTTGTATTTAGTTCAAGAACTTCCATTCACTCAGAAAAAAACATCTCTTCCTGTACTTGAAAGACTAAAGATTAACATGAAGTTCCTTTGAATCTTATCTCTAAAGCGGTTTTGTCCTTGCAACAGTTCTGGTACTTTTTTGTGCTTGAGTTATGATTCAGGAAATCTCACTGCTCCCCTGCATTATTTCAAGTTTGATCATGGCAACACTCTGTTTTACACCAATTTAAGGGACCACAGGTTTTAATGAAAAGTCAATGAGTTGAGTTTAAAAAAATATACAAGGATGTTGCGCTTTTCCTACTATTTAAAGAAACTGATCATCAGTTTCAAATTAAGAGTTGTCTTTATTCACCGTATAACTGATAGGCTCACCTTTTTTGTGTGCAAACATTAGATCCATCTATGTCGGTAATTTGGAGGTTGGAAGTGTAGATGACCCTTTGTTTACATGCATGAGCTGCTGCAGCAATTGTTAACTTTGAGAGTCTTGTTAACAAGGAAGAGCAGAACAGAGACTTCTACCCAGAGATCAGTAGAGTCTTCAAGACACCAGATCCTGGGAACATGTATCAGACATTTAGATTTTGAGGGCACATAAAAATGTTGCCATTTCATTTAAAACTTGAAAAAGTTGTGTGATTGTTAAAAGAAACTCTGGATGAATGTTTTCCCACTTAAAAAGTCAATTTGCTGCTGGTTAGTAAAATGACTGGGTATGGAAAGGCTTTCCAGAGAGGCTGAGTCAATCAGAGGCACTCCTATGTAAGAGAGGGTAAGTCTTTAGGGGTTTTAGTAGATGTCTTAGAGAATCTGAAGACATCTACTTTGTGGACACTAACAGTATGTTTGAATGCACAGTTAAGTTGTGCTACAGCCACAGCTGGATTTGGTGATCTAACTGGACGACTGTCCTTGTCTTAGTTACACTACTGGGCAAGAATCGAATTATTGGCAGATGCATGTCTGCCTCTGCTACAGTCGAGGGTGACATGCCCCCTTTCAGCTCATTACTGTTGCTTTGTCAAAAAAAAAAAAAAGCAGAAAAAAAAAACACAAAAGGCATAAGTGAGAAGCAAACCAGACATCTCTTTCACAGCCTTCTGCTGTCTGTTAGAAAAGTTTCAACTTTTTTCCATCCTCATTTTGTCTGTTGGGGTTTTATCTACCACTTTGGCCTCCCACCAATACATCTGTGCTCTTAAACCACCAACTCAGAGCCTGGCAGGCGAACACTGGGGCAGTTTCACTTTGATTGAGCTGTGCGTACATGACAGAGAAAATCAGTCCCGTTCTTCATAATCCAGGTATGTTTTCCGCATAATCCAGGTATGTTAGTCTGACTATTAAAAGTTAAATAACAGTGCCATCTCAGTCTGACCAAGACTAACATGTTTAAATGCATTTTAAAAGCCCAGTTTCAGTTGACTTATTGCATAAATCGGTTTTAATGCATGATAACATAGTGTATGTCTCATGCATTTGTCCCTGTCAAATTAACAAGTAAATAAAAAGATGAATCTGTAAAAATTAACAAGCCCAACAAATAACCTTTGATGGCCAAGATCCCCAGGTCTTCAGGTAGTAGCACTGCATTAAAACTAAGGGCTGCGTGATATTGGAAAAAACTAACATTGCAATGTGTTTCAACCCTTCAATATACATTTCGATATTAGAAAATACAGGAATTTTCACCAGATGACCTGAATTGCACTTTGTTTTATGCTGCACTGCTGAAATCTTGTAGACAGTTAGCCTGCACTGATCTTACCTCTTTTTGTGAATGTTAGTAGAACAACTTCTGTCCGTCTTAGAGATATTTTTAGCTTGCTTTTATTGTGCTGGGACTTGTTATCTCTGTTGTGGGAACAGATGAAAGGCACTGCCGTGTTGGTCGACATCATCCTTCTTGTAACCAAAATAATTCCGGATGACTGATGTTGCTTTCCTTTTTGGCAACAAGTATTCATTTTCGGTGGTTTTCTCTTGTTCATTTCTCATTTTGCGTTTGTTGTTGTTGTTACCGGTGTTGTGCTGAGAAACGCATGCCCACGGAGAATACCAAGCACATCACAGAAACGCAAACAGCTTATAGTAGAGTGGTCCACGGAAATATACAATTTAAAACCCATACAATTCTTATTTATGGGACTAAACTGTGATGAGTAATATTCTGAAAGTAATTCTCGGCGGGCATGTGTTTCTCGGCACAACACTGGCAGTGCCAGCGACTCACTCTATGTGCAGAACATGTGCAGGGGCGTGGTTTCCTCCTCTCTAATTTTGATTGACGGCTGGCAGAGTAGTCTGATTGGCAACTGAGTAAAGAAGAAATGTGATTGGTGGATCGCTGCACAGCACACGCAGTCCCATGCATGTGCTGTGCATGTCAACTACCCTTGAAATTAGATGAGTTCATTCGCCTCCTACATCGCAGGCTCTGCAATGTGACTATCGCGCACACATACAGCGTGATGACAATGCTCAAACGATATATCATGCAGCCCTAATTAAAACAATCATGACCTTGCAGAGGAAATCACTGTATCGGTTTAAAAATCAAAACTAAATGCCAACATCTGTCAACAAAGTTTGATGCAGGTCAAAACTATTGACTGGAGCCAATTAAGTAGAAAACTGTCCAGTCGTCCGACAAATCAAAATTTAACTTTGTCCAAAATTTCAGGGGTATTGCTTTTAACAGGAGAAGGACCACCTTTTAGCATAGATCAGAAGCCTGATTGTCCTGGGACATATGCCCATTGAATGGGTAGCTTTACCATCTGGGAAGGTACCAGTAATGTTGAACAGTATACACAGGTTTTGGAGCAACTTTTGTGACTATCAAGATACTTGAGTTTTGCAGTGGAGACCAAGAAGACGCCAAACTATATTTCAAAAGCATTACAACAGCGTATTCATGTGTTTGTAGTATTTTTAGCCTCATGAGAGGTTTCAGTGTTCTGCATCCCATCAAATTATGTGTAGTCTGTATTTTGCTCAGTCGCACATCAATCAAATGAATCATCTGTTTACAACGATGAGTCAGTTCTGCCGTTGTAATATTCTTTTGTCTTATAGCAGGTTTTGTGTGTATATGATGAGTCAGTCATGAGTTTAACTGACCCCATAGAGAAAGTAATGAGCCCCCTGGCCATCTCTGAGTCCCAGATATTCTAAACAACTATTTTTCATCCATTTGTAAAATTCATCAAGTACACCTTTATTCGTTTTGTTCTACTTGATCCATTAGAAAGAATTGAGATACTACATGACCCACTTCTATTGCTGTATTTAAAATGCTCTCTTTCACAGCCTATTATAAGAGCAGTTGTCTGCCTTGTTAAATGAAGAGTCGGGTAGTTATTCCACTTCTGTCTGTGCTGTTTCTAAAAAGGTATCACCAGTTCTGGTTGGTAGGCAGAGACAGGTTCATTACTCACTCCATCCATGTGTTCTGTCTTTGCGAGTTGAAGCTACTGTTTCCCCCGGGGCGTGAGTTCACAACCCCATCAGCCCTCCCTGAGTATGAAATACTGTCATTATCCACAACGTCATGAGTGCGGCTCAGCTCCCCCTCAGGCGGTGCTCTGGACTGTTCTAACAAGCTTAATACCTACTGTTGTGTGAAGACAATGCAGCTCCTCCTCAGTCAGCTGTTTTTTTTTACCCGCTGCATGTAATCTACAAGAAAGTTCTACAGGATTAAAACAGTGTGAGGTGACATTAATAACCCAGACCTTCATGTTTGTCTTCACTTAATTATTCATGAAACAGAACAAGCACAGTTTGTTGCGTGAAGTTGCGAGGACATGCTCTGCGATACACCACTTTCTATCAAGTCAGCAGCACTGATCCCCACATCTATCTATTATTAGTGCCTTGTGGGCAGTTATCTTCGAACTTATACTTTTTCAACTTCTTCCACAATAGAAAAAAAATAACCATATAAAAAAAATATATATATTTTCTTGTCACAGTCATACAGCCTATGCAGCATCATTATGTGGAAAATAAATGAGGACGCTTACTAAGGATGTTCAGGAGACTGAGCTCGTGTTCTAGCCTGAGTTGCACCTGCGTTCACCGTTACAGAAGAGGGACAGCTCAGTCAGGCTTTACTGCATTTTCAACAGGAATACAAATTGCACACTGTGATAGGAAATGCTTTCTTTTGGAAACAGACAAAATGATTTCGTCCAGCTCAGACGAAAAGTGCATGTCTTCTTTTAAATATTCATTTGTGAGACATGTTTTGAAACCATTTAGAAATCGAGCTAACAATATGACTCTGCTTTTAAAGCGGCCACCTTTGAAAGCAGTGTGAAAAGCTTAAACCCTCTCATTGAGGGCTGAGTCAGTCCAATTGTCAAATGGGTTTAAAATGCTACTTTTAAACACCATCTCCTGTTAGAGTGCTCCTATTGTTACTTTTGTTTTTTGACAGGGAAAGAAGCAAAATAAGCTGAGTTTAGACAGGTATCCAGTACTGTGTTTTACAGATCAACAAATAGTTCTGAAAAAGCATCAGGGACTTGAGCTGTGGTGTAGGTAAATTTAGAGTTTGTAAAAGCAGTGATATGTTTGGTGGCAGAAACCAAATAGATTTCAGGTAAACAACTTGAGAGTTACCAGATTGCTAGTACTGGGTTGTACCCCCTTTTTGCTAAAAGACATGTTTTAATTCTTTGTGGCATACTTTAATTTTATGTGTCGGAAACATTACTCTGAGATTTTTGTCTATATTAACATGCTGTAGATTTGTCGGCTGCATGTCCATGATGTGAATTTCCACTTCTACTATCTGATCTTCTGTTGCTTTAACCACCTGCTTCAAGGTTGAATGTTTTGTGCATTCAGAGATGACATTCTGCATACCTTGGTTGTGATGAGCAGTTATTTGACCCACTGTTGCCTTTTGCCCATCTCCAACCTGTCTGCCTATTCTCCGCTGATCTCTAACATCAATAAGGCATTTTTGTCCACATAACTGCTGCACACTGGATATTTTCTCTATTTTCAGACCATTCTTTGTGTACCTCAGAGATAGTGGTGAATGAAAATCTTTTCTAAAAAAATCAGACCAACAACCATGCCACGTTGAAAGTCACTTAAATCCCTTTTCTTCCCTATTGTGATCCTCAAGCTTGAACCTCAGCAAGTGCCTTAACATTGAATTGCCGCCATGTGATTGGCTAATTAGCTATTAGTGTTAACAAGCAATTGAACAGGTGAACCTAATAATGTGGCTGGTGAGTACATATCCTAATGAGGGACATTCTGGCTCCTTTTAGTGATCCAGATCATTTGACTCATTAAGAGCTGGCTCTTTGTGTTCCCAAATGACTCATAGTACTGCTCACATTCAGCAGTTGACTTTTTGAGCCAAATCGTCCACAATCAATACGCTGTTGGGATTGAACATGTAAAGACATTATCACAGCAGATAAGAAAGACAAGGATGACAAAGTCCTGCAGAGGCAGATGCTTTTGGATTCTCATTATACTGAATGTGTCACAAGGGAAGATAAAGGAATTAACTGTGTGTGGATTTTAGATTTTAGATCTGAGTCCATAAAGGCTGAAATTCATGGTTAGGCTTACGGGGTGTGTTCACTTTTTTCTCCTTTGGTGCTGCAGAGAAAACAGAAGATCAACGTTTTTCGAGCTGCAAAACTTAATTGGCTAAAATTTAACTGTCACACAACCACACTAAGTGTAGCAGGCAAAAGCAGCCAACACTTAAACTACTTGTAGTCATGCCTTTTCTTTAAAATGGGGGAGTATAGGGTTTTAAAAGAATAAACTTTCACACCTTACAGTATGAGCATTTTGTTTTTAATACAAACTGGAATTACAAGACTGCATTTGAGAGCTGTTGTGTCGTTAAGTGTTGTCCAAGTTTTTTTTCTACAACAGCTGGTTCATTTTTTACCTAATGTGTTAACTTTTAAAACCAGTTTTTAAACATTAACCCTGAGTCTGACTCACATTACTAACAGCACATTGTTTCTGACTGTGCTGTAGTAGGGTTTTTTCAGCCCTGCGTCTTTAACAAGAGTCTGGACCTTCACCTCAGGCAAGGATGACACTCATGACTGGCCAAGACTTTGTTCCTCTGAACAACTTTTTTTTTGTGTGTATATATGCCATTAACCACCTCAGCTGAAACTGTGTGATGTGAGAGGGTGAAGCACTGTTGTGTTTTTGAAGGATAAAGAGCAAACGATGTCAGCATGGCTTTCTCCTTTTGGCAGGTGTTGAATGTACTGTGAGTATTGAAGAACATTTGATTGGAAAATGCTGGTTATAAAGCCAAAATATCGTTCTTTGGAGCACTTTTTGGGCTTAAAAAGATTCAATTTAACAGCTGCACATCTGGCTTGTTCAGATATCATTTGAAATACCGTAATGATTAAAGGTCTGTGGTTGAGTTTTTCCCTCATACTCACTCATATCTGTAAAACTTAAGTTATTGGTTATAAAATCCAGATAATATTTCAGTCCTTATTTGTTTTAATCTGATTTGATGTCATACTCTCATTGGTAAATCTTTCCCTGTGAGGTTGTGTCTGTAGCTATGATTGTTGACTTTTAAGTACTATTATTCTTCTCTCTGTCCCACCTTAATGTATTCAGTGCTCAGGATGTGAAGTGTGTGTGTTTGTGTGTGCATGTGTGAGTGTCTGGGAGTAGTAGAAGCTTGCAGAGACACAGAGGTATCTGCTGTTCTGCTGCTTGATAAGAGCAGGGCTATTTTGAGGAAGTGGTGCAGTGTCTTTCAGACATGCTTCACTGCTTCTACTTCATCCTGCCATTTATACATTTCAAAATCGCAACACCACCTTACGACGTCGCTGTAAAGTCTTTAAAAAAGTGTATGCGCACTTCTTTACATGCTTCTCTAAATCAGCAGTATGGTAATGATGATTAGAATGAATTCATCTCTTTCAGGAGACCATGTGGCTTTACAATAATTGAAAATATGCAAATATGAATAAGATTTGGTCTTATATGGGTGGATTAAATCCTGAGTTGACCCTTAAATTGGTTGGCTTTCTTTCCTAAAATATGCACCTTACAGTACAATATGCGTACACACACATCTTTAACGGTATATAGTTTGTTTGTCTTGCTGACCCTTTTACAGCCCATATTGCATCAATTGTGAATGTGTTGTGAATTATTCAGTCAGGACATGCCATGTCATTTTTCTGTCCTTGTGATTTTGATGCAACATGCTCAAATTGACAGAGATACAAGAGGAAACACTCGCAGAAACCTGAACAAACGCATCTGCTTTTCCAAAGCATATGCCCTCCTCTGAGAGAACAGCTTGCAGACATGCTCCACCTGCTGCAGAGGAGACATGAGCAACAATATAAGGCAGTGAAACTCAAGTGATATTGCATGGATAAAAATTTTCTTTTTTTTTTTTACTCTAAACTGGCTGATTTTTAGAGTTTGCATCAGTTTCTGAATGTAATAATCACAGGCAGTGATGATGCTATCAAATGTTGATTTACAGCCAAAGTACTGCTATGTTGTAAGGTAATCTGAGCGCTGAGCATGTGAGCAACACAGCCCTCATACAGTGTCAGTTTCATCTGTTTCCATAACAATCACTCAAATGTGGGCGTGGGAGTGGAGCTGCACTCAGAGTCTGACCCTGATGCAGCTTCATTTTCATTCATATACAGTGTAAATACTGTTTTTAAAGAGACTGCAAAATAAACTACACAATTTGATAAAACTGGGAGGGATATCACCATGAACTCACATTGTTTTGTTTTGGGGTTTTTTTCTGTGTTTTTCCTGAAATATAATGAGCTCAAAACTTTGGGGTTTATCAAGAAGCAGGAATTTTAGTTATAGGAGTAACCACTGAGTTAACTTTGTTATTTCTGTGATGTGAAGCTGATTAACCTTCTTACCTGGGTACTAGATCACCATAGTAACTCATGCTGGACTTCTATATCTCTATATTTGCTCTGAGGCAAGCTCTGTTGTGGATAAATCTCTAAAAACCCCACCCACTCCCTAATCAATTAGCATGATCATAGGTTCTGAGCTGATCAATGGAAGAGAGATACTGTAGATATTTTAGCCAGGTCTATTGTGCAGTAATGATGAAAAGGGTTATAGCTATTAAGCCTTACATTGCACATTCACTGTTGTTCTTCCATCATTTTATATTCTTTAGTTTAAAAGCTAACTTTGCAGTCTGGATGACATGCTTAACTTTTTTTTAATGCAAAAGATTTTAAAAGATTTCCTAGTTTGGAAATCATACATGAAATACATCTGAAGAATATAACATAACAAATAAGATATTCCTTTATAAGTCCCACAGGAGGAAATTCCAAATTACAGCAGCGTAAATACAAGTACGAACCAGAAATTAAAGGATGAGAATAAGAAAACTTGGAGTTAAAACTCAGAGTTAGAGTTAAGAGTTATACAAAATATATCCCAACCTTGAAAACTCAGCTTTCAATACATCCCACCATCCCCTCCAGCCTGTTTTTAGAGTGCTGCAATTGTTTGAACCAAAAAAGTGCTCTCTGAACTAAGAGCAAGAATTAATGAAGACCTTTCCCAACAGGCTGGCTTTATCCTTAAATGTCAAACTGTTGCTGGAATGACAGCCGAATCTTAAAATAGAGGACTCCTAAAGTTCGAAAATAAAGACAGCCAAGCCTTTGTGTTTTTTTTTTCTTTTTTTTATCCGTCTTAAACTATTCACTTATGTAACATAAACTGTACTGCACTGATGATTACAATGAAAGTTAGAAATGATAACTCATAATCAAGTTTAGATTTGTTCCTTTTTGTTTAAGTAGTATTGAAAAGAGGAGCCTTTTTTCATTTTAAGTGGGTACAAAAATACTTTTGATTTTATCTGTATTCATTCATGATTTCCTCTCTGAACACTGTGACCCTCTCACTTTTTGTTTTACAAAGTGCATATCATATAGCTCCCTCTAGTGTTACTACTGGATAGGTGCAAGAGCAGGACAGGTCCATCTTTATCCAAGTTACCATGCAGATGCCAACTACAGTTGATTTCACAGTTGCTGAATATATTTGACACTAAATTCTCAAAGTGTTGGAAAGCAGAGGGGATTTTTGAACGGCACCTTGAAATTGTCGTCCAACAGAGAGTTTCTGCGACGCAAAACCACAAACATTTATCATCTGCTGAGTTTATATGAAAGAGTGTTTTTATGCTGTGCTCTGATTTTCTCCAAGTGCTAAACTGAATGTTTTCAGGGGACTGTGATCTCGAGCAATAGCATGGTACCCTTGTGACTTAACAAGATCATTTGCATAAATGATTTTATCTGATAACTTATATTCAAGTGTACTCGAATCAAAAGCGATGATAAACAATCTCACATCTTGTCATGCATGTGTCCTGCAGCAGCCAACAGAGCAGCCAGCAGAGCAGCCAGCAGAGCAGCCATGAGGACGACAGCTCTCGCTTCTTGACTCCATTGATCAGAGAGGAGAGGTGAGTCAAAAATGTGTTTATTGATGTTCGTATATTTCCCCTCCATTGAAGTGATTTGTGGCAAATGCAATGCAGTTTTTTCTTATCTACCAGGCTGCGTGTCGATCAATGCTGCTGGGTGGTACAATCAAAGGATAAATAAAGTATATTCCTTTATTTAGGCCACATATGTATGTTTCTTCCATGAATTCTCCACTAGGAGGCGCTTCTTCTTCAAAATGGTGCAAAACTGCATCACTGCATGATTGTTCCCGGTTGGTTTGCAATCAGTGTAGGTGATGCTACAAAACTGTGGCATGATTTTAATCGGTGAAATTTAAGTGACTTAAAAACCACAAAAAGGTTTAAAATGATGCTTCAATTATGAAGAGAGCCATGTCTTTATTATGAATAATCCCTTGAGGATCTCCAAATTCAGCTCCCGGGGACTAATGGCCATGTGTGAGAGCAGTGCACTTGCAGGAATGTCAAACTCTTGTCATTTTTTCGCCGTGTCATTAACTCTCCACAGTCCTGTATATATGCCACAGTTGTCACTGGAGCTCCAGTTGCAGGTTTGGACAGTAACTTAATTATTGGACCTGGAGTGTAGGTGTGTGAGTGTTACCGTTTTGAGCTGGAGTGTGGTCCTGGTAGTTGGAAATACATTATTCAGTGTCACCTTTTAAAATAACTCAGCCTTGTAGAAACTCTGTAAAAGATTTTGTGCCTATCAGGAGAAAAGGAGGGAGAGTGAATAAGTAAAGTTGAACTAACTGCATTTTAAATCATGATATGGATTTATTTTTGGTCCTGGAATACAGCCAGGAAGAACCCTAATTATGAAAAGTGCAGCACAGTGATAATATCAAAGTAATGTTATGGGGGAATATTTTTTTATTTTTATTTATCAGCATTATAAATCTTGAGGTAATAACGTAATGCATCCTACATAATATTTGTACGTTATCTTTTAACACTACTACAGGGTGGCTTAAAGTCTCCTCATTAAACAGCAGCCATGTCTCAAGACACACACGAATAGAAAATACAGCAATTTTTCTCTTTTTTTCCCTGTATGTGATGATGCACAATCAGCTATTTTAACATCTGCACCACAGAACTCGATATACCCCAAAATAGAGGCGAGTCAGTGATTGGTCCTGTGCCAGCACGAGTGTACCGGCTGCAGAAAGAGAGAGAAGTTTATCCTTAATACTACAGGGATCTTGTAATTACAGAGTGATATTGATTAAGAAAAATTGTGCAGCAATACTCTCCGTCTAGCCTTACAACCACCCACTGAGCTGTCTTCGCCTTTAGCTCCGTCTGCCATCCACTACACCTCTGATCCCTCTCTCTCAGTCCTGCACTCTTCCCTATGTTTCTCTCTCCGGCTCTCCCTCCCGCGCACTCATCTCTCTCGCTGTCTCCACTTGCTCAAATTAGGAGCAGTACCTGTCAAACCTATGGGATTTCTCGCTGCGCTACACTTTTCTGTGCTGGTGATAGCTAGTGAGGGGCGTCTGCAGCAGCTGCAGGGAGAGCAGCGTTCTGTAGCCGGAATTAGAGGGCACGGAATGTCATGTCTCCTCTGCAGGTAAAAAAACAGCTGCATTTCTGCCTGCAGGCTGCACCACTGCCGCTCTACCTGTCTCTTCCGTCTTTGCTTTTTTTTAAATCACAGCTGTCTGTTTGTCTTGTGTGCTGCAGTTTTGTTCAGCGTGCTATGTGCAGCTGCATTTTCTGGTGGAGTTACAGCTGGCTGTCGGCTCATATGTACCACTCGCTGTGATTATAGCTGTCTCTGCCAGATTATCAGGGCATCAGTAGGGGGGGTTCAGCAAATGACAGGGTTGAAATCTGGATGGTGACACGGGGACAACTTTTGCTCATTTGTTGTCGTTTTTTTTTTCATGTGTTTGTATCTAAAGCTTTTGCCAAGTTCGGCTCCTCCGCTGTAACTGCAGATAGAGTTATGTAATAACACAGTGTGACTTTGCTCAGACAGTGTTGTATGACTCATCAGTGAGGATGACGCAGCAGATGAGAGTGATTTGTGGATCGGGATTACACACAGTGAGACATGTCGGCATAAGGTCACCATATAGTGAAGATTACATCATTACGTAACCAAAGTGAGGTTCCTAAATTTAATGAAAGGCGGGCTATCTAAGGCATGTGACACTTTTACTTTAATGGGACCTATTTTAGGGACAGGGTAAGAGTAGTTTACTCATCAAAACTAGAACATGCTGTGATTTACATAAGACAATCTTTTTAAGAAAGGATAAAAAAGAATAAGCAAAAGAGAAACAATGTTTTTTTGTCTTTTTTAGTTAATGGAGATGAGAATAAACCGAAATACAAGAAAAAAGTAAAAAGCCAGTAAGCAAGATTAAAGAAAAAAGGGAACACAGTTTTAATGCAAGATAAAGTAAAGGCCAAATGTCCATTTGAATCCATTTTTAAACTGTGTCTTTGTTTTTGTGTTTGTTCAGTGTGTGGTGCATTAGTGCTGATGGCTGCTTTAGTTTTAACTCTAAGGAAATCAAACTTGGCCTGCTGTGAGCAATTTTAAGGTCCTTAGATGATTATTTTTGATGACTGACCCTAACAGAGTTATTAAAATCTGCTCTTTATGATACTATCAAAGGTTTTCCATGCAGTGTAGTTTGCATTTTTTAACACCTCACAGGGTTTTATAAGCAAAGAAAATCTGAATGCAGAATTGCAGGTTTTGTTTTCCACTTTAGAGATACATGTGTATTTACTTATATTTAAGGCCGCAAAAACGTGATATTTTGCGATTTCTTTTCCCTTATTGCAATAAATATATGAAAATTGAATACCAGATTGATGTGCTATATTTATAATTGTATAGAAGTAAAGAAAACCAATAACACAATTACTCTATTTGTAATTTGGATCTTTTAGTTCAAATCAAACCCCTCTCCTCCTACTCCTATCCCAGTGTCCTGCTCTCTGACAGCAGCTCTGACACCCACATAATCAACCAGGGAGACAGGTGGAGTGACTTGTTATTACTTTAACTCACTAATTAATGCAATCAACTCATTCACAAGTAATCAATACACAGGCCTTTATACGAACACAATGGCATTTACAACTCACATACGGCTGACACGTTGACGCTCATTGTTGGCTGTCATCTGGATCGCAGAAGTGTCACACCACCTTATTGGCCATACATATCAGCAGTAATTTTCATATCTACACATAACAACAATGATCTTAAAAGCTTTTATCTGCTGACACCAGTGTTAATCTGTGACCTTTATGCACTGCTGACATTTAGTGGTGTTTTCTGAACAAGCATGAGAATATTATGAAGACCGAAACTGTATCAGCGGTTGTGGTTCACTTCTGTTCAACAATTTAGTTTGACGCAAAAAGAGATTATGTACAGAGAGGGTTTACCCATTTTGACGAAAATGGCTATATCAATATTATAGCTGTCATTTTCAGTAGTAACATTTGAAACCAGAGATGCACAGATCCATTTTATTTTGGATCCAGTCTGATACTGATACCCGGGCTGAGCGTATCGGCCGATATCCGATTCTGATCCAATACTACTGTTGAATGAATGAATTGTATACCTTGCCCTGTGATATAAATTTTCATAATATTATTTATTAGATAACAAATTGCACATTAGCACACATCAAAAAGTAGTAAGACTTCCATGTATTAAAAGAAAAATTAATTTAAAAAAAAATAAGACTGGATTGAAACGCTGGATCGGTGTCATTTATCCAAAATTGATCCACTTAATTTGTCAATATCAAATCCAAATATCGGATTGGTGCCATCGTTTTTGAAAACACACAATTATTTTTAGTTGTATATTAAGCTCCTGTGACAAGTTCTATCTGGTCATAAACAGAGTGAAATGAACCGTGATGCCTTTGTATGACCTATAGAAGACAACACGACTAAAACTGCCTGCCACTGAAGAGAAAGCATGAACAAGAGCAGGACTGTGGGTTTGATGTCCATGACTGAGCTCTCTCTCCCTTTTCTGTCCCGTGCAGGTCTGACAGTGCAGCGGACAAAATCAGGTAGGCCTGCTTTTTGACTTCTTTTGTGTTGTGGGAGCGTGAGCAGGCATCATCCTGCGGTGGGCTTAAAGGGCGAAGATACAGTGGGACTGGCCTCACAGTCACCCCATTTGCCCCAGCCCGCCCACCCCACATGTGACACAGTTTCAGAGCTTTGTCTGCCAAGCAAGGTGTTTGAATGAGCTTTGCATTCGGAGGGGCCAGCAGTGAATACAGTTGCAAGCCATGGAATGCCATTGTTTGCTTTTATTGGACAAACAACATCAGACACAAACAGGGCTTTGTGGGACTATTGTGGAGCTTGTAGCTGTTTAGCTAGCCGGCCGTTGGCAATTCTCTGCAGCGCCTCTGACACACTGCAGGTGCAGATACTTGATTCCTGTGTGAAGGTTTCACTTTTGCAGGAGACACTGTTATTTCTAAAGCAAAGGGGTCTGAAGTGCACGCTGAAAAGGTAAGTCATGGAAGATGATCTCATGAGACATGTTGAGACAGGGAAACTTCAGGTTAAGCTTGGCTACCATGCTAAAGTAATTGGAGCATAACTTCGCTGTGCATATGCAGCAGGTAGTAGGATACCAGAGGGGTTACAACAAAAAAGGGTAAAACATTTTACCTTTTTTTCCCCATGAATAAGTGTTTTTATTGTTATTTTTTAAATGAAGGTCGGGTTTCGAAACGATATCTGCATCTTTGTAGTTGCGTGTCTTACTGCTTGTGTGCATAAGTTATAATGGAGAATTTCCTCAAATGCTGTCTGTTGGATACCCTTTTTATTTTTAGTTGGGTTGTTGTTGTGAAAGCGATCTCCACAGCTTGTTATGAGTCTGTAACCATGAAAGCCCTCTGCTTTTTGGCAGGTGCGTGAGTGGTGTTTGCCTGGAGCACTTTCGGAGCTGAGTAGACACTGTTATTTTTGTGTATTTGTGCGTGCGCGTGCGCTCTGGTATGTGTGTCTTTGGATTGGTATGCTTTGAATGGTCAGTCATGCGAGTTGGGTGAAAACCAGGCCAGCAGTTTGGACCACTAGGCGTCTCTCCACTCAGACACATGACCACGAGCTGGGTTGTTTGACACAGTTTGTCGTCTGTTTTCACCCCTTGATCTAAGGACATCTTTTTTTTTTTTTTTCTTCTGAGAAATAGCCTTCAATAACTGAAAAGTTTGTAAAGCTGATTACTATTGCCAGTCTGCTGCCTGAAGGTTAAATGTTGTTCCTTGGCAGCAGTGAATGCTGAAAGATTTATTCTGTTATTATGTTTGCAAAGCCAGAGGCTTAGACTTCTAATGGAAATTTTGGAAATCTCAGTTCTTAAATTACAAGTATGATTGTGTCACATTTAAGTAGCGCCCTTTGACTGAGTGAGCACAGTGGACCCAGTAAAAGACAGACCAGAAAACTGTCTGCGATTGGACATTACATTTTAACAAAGAAGCATCTCAGTAAAACTGGAGTGGAGGTGTTGAATGTAATCCATCTCAGAGGTGTAGCCACAAAACTATGTGATATATCTCTTTGCACAAGAAAATAACACCTGCATGTCAAGTAAAATGTATTTGTTTGACTGTCATGACTTTTTTTTTTTTTGTTGAAGTGCAAACTGTCTCTCTCTTTATTCACAGAGACAGGTATGTGACTGTAAACATGTTGATGTGACTTGACTCGTTCTGAAGCAAACAGCGGTTCTGTTTGACATATGTGTAAACAGGTGTGAAAGTGGAGGACCCCCGGGGTATATATGCTAAAAAATGACTGTGAAAACGCTCACAGAGTTTCAGTGATGTTACCCGTTTCTCTCCTAAGCAGTGTTACAGTATATAGCCACATATTGGCAGTCTCTATGGGTGGTCAAGCTAACTTGAATCGATGAAGAAACAAGGAGGTAAAGCAGAAGCGCATCTATGTGGAGCTGCACACAGCAAGAGCATGAAATTGACATGCATCCATTTATTAGGGATGGGAATCACTAGTGGCCCCACGATATGATATTATCGCAATACTTGGGCCATGATATAATATAATTGTGATTTTTAACTTTTTGCAATACAGTGAGTACTGTGATACAATGCATTGCAATTTATACAATTTAAAAAAACTTTTTTAGCTAATTTGTCTTTCCTTTATGTTTGTTTTATTTACGCTGTATTTTGTTATTTTCATGTAAGCACATCTTGCAAACCATTCCATTATCATAGATTTGACATTATATAAGGAATTAGTTTGAAAAATCGATACTTGGTAAATGAGACGATGCGATGTATCACTAGACAAAATATAGCGATACTATGCTGTAAGGATTTTTTTCTCCCACCTCGACCAATTATGCAAATCTAGATTTTGGCCTCAGTTTTTTGTTGAGTTAACCTAACAAGTGAAGAAAAAAGGCATACAGACACAAACCATTTTTATATAAACCTGTTTCTTTAGTTCAGCTGTAAAAAAAAAAAAATTGGCAGTTTTGAGGCTGTTCTGGCCTTTGTGGACAGACAGAGGATGGTGGTTAGGGCAGGATATAGTGGGGAGGGAGAACCCAGGAAAAGGGGGCTGGAATTGAATCCTTTCCACCTGTGTTCCGCCTGCCTAGACTGCTAGGCTGTCGGCGCCCCGTCTCTGACTTTCCAATAAAGGAAATGTTGTCTGTTCTGCACTTGAACTTTGAAGTTTGGGTAAATATTCAACAGCAGGAAGGTATTATATGTACTGTTCCTTTAGATTAGTAATCTTTTTCTGCAAAATTGCACAAAATAAATACTTGAAGTTAGGGCTGGGTGATGTGGCCTCAAATCAATATTACGATAAATTTAGCCGATCACCTCGATAACAATAATTGGATGATAACTTCTCCACAAGCTGCTCACCCCCTCCCACATTAACTTCGTCTCCTTCAGCTGCAACTATTGACCCGTCCTCCAGCTCCTCAATCATCTTTCCCTCTTTGTTACGGACTGGATGGGGTGGAGTCACGTCTCTGATGTTGGACCGCATCTTAAAGGGACACGAGACCATAACCTACCTACACACCTACACACATCCAAAACCAACTTTCATTTATTTATTAAATTGTTTGACACCGAATATACTGATATGGACAAAATGACATTGGTTATCGTCATAAATTTTGGTATCGGTAAATTTTTGGTTTATCGTCCAGCCCTACCTGAAGTACTGTAGTTTATAAATCTTGTAAGTTATTTAAAGTGATTCCTAAAGAAAACTTGCAGAGCTAATATTTTCATATGTTTTGTTTTAAAAAAATAATAATTTTGACCACCATTCTGTACAAAAAAGAGTTGTCAAATTCAAACTAAAGAAACTCTAGCATACCTTTTGCATTATTTAACAATCACACCTCAGTGACAGCTTGTGGTGGAATTAACACCTCCATTCATCGTGATGTAGCAGGATCAACAGGGTGTAAACAAATAGAAAAGTCTAGGCAGAGAGAGTCAGTGAAAATGATAAATCAGTGGCTAAGCTGCAAATACTCAGACACTAAGTAAGCACTTTTTTAGTGATTTAAGCATGATCAATTAGGTAATGAATCTCCGAGGATAATGAAAAGCTTCTTTCTTATGCCAGTGGCCTCGGATAAAGTGGGAAAGAGCAGCACAAGTACAAAACTTCACTGATGTCAGGCTCATATAGACGCACACTATTGAACTCCCAGTCCATCTCGTAAATCTTATCCAGTAGCTGGGTACACATCCCTGTGCACTGTCTTGTTTCTGGCTCCCCTGTAAATCCACTGCAGGTATTTCCTGAGTGGTCATGAGTCACATTAACTCAACTAGATCGATATTTATTTCTTATAAAACTAACTGTAAATAATGCATGCAGAAAGCCCTCTTGCTGGAGAGGGTATGCAGGATGGAAATGCATTTGGAAACATCTTGGTTTGCATGTTTAGAATCGAGGTTTCGAGTCATTGTGAGTATTTTTACAGGGCAGAATGAAGCTCTGAAGTACTCTTTGAATGACTAAAGGCATAGCTGCTGGATTTGAATAACATGACAGCAACTATTTTTGTCCTTTTACCGACTGCTCTTTGAATCTCCTGCCGCTGATACCAGCCTCAACATCACATTACTCTGTGCCTTTGCAGTCTCTGCTCTCATGTTCGCTTCGCTCTTCCGCCGTCTCAGTTGCATCATTATCGATCATTGGCTGTGGTTTGAGACATTAGGTTCCATTGATGGAGGTCAGCATAATCTGATCTCATCCTTTACTTTGTGCAGGAGCCTCAGAAAAGCAAGGATCCAACACATATCGGGTAAATGATACTCACTAAAGAGACGAGTTTCTAATTTCTTGGCTGTGGATGACTTTTGAGAAAGGAGGGGATAAGTCAGCTAAGATGGGTGTGAAAAAGATAATATGCAACAAAAACGAAGATTTAAATTAATGAAAATATATTTGCTCTGGGGTCGGTCAATTTTCTCTTTCTACATTTTTGTCTTTTCTTTTAAAATCTTTCATTATGCATCAGTCGTATCTGATTCCCAGGCCAATTCTGCATAATGAGTCGTATTATTGCAAATTAGCTGTATACAGTATCGTATCATGGCATCAAAATGATGAAGAGGAGGATGATCACAGCGATGGAAAAAGGGTTTAGGATGTATTTGGGTCAGGGTAGTTACAAGAAAGCTTCAAGATGTTATGACTTCATGACGCGGCTGCTCTCACTCCATCAAATTCTTGTGTGTATTTGTGGGCGTGCAGCTACATCATCGCTGAATTTTGCTCCACACTCAGGCGCCGCAGTGCTTTCAGCAAAGGACCACGGGTGTATGCCTGCAGCCTGTAGTGCAGACAGGAAGACAGAGGAGGAGGAGCAGCAGCGACAGAGAAAGTGGAGGAGAGCAGAGCAGAGCAGAGCGGTGGAGGGAGGCTGATAAAGCAAGAGGAAAGGAGGTGAAGGACCACCCCTATCAAGCATAGCCGTTCCCAGGAAGCCTACCAAAGGGACCTTCCCACACACACACCATGGCCGGCCAGCCAATCAGAGCGCTCGCATCCTTGACCCATCCTCCCTCGTACAACTGCTCATCCATGGCTCAGTGAAGCAGATGTGAGGGGATGCCGTGAAAGCGAGGATGAGAACCACCTGGACAGAAAAACTCATTATTTTCTTAAATAGGGAGGAACGATGGTGCTTTGGTGAGAGCTGTGAGGGACTGTGAGCTCGGAGGAGAGCTCTGGTGTAGATTGATTTGAGTGAGGAAAGGGTTATATTTACAGTCTCTGTCTGCATCCTGCAGGCTCTGTGAAAAGGCATATTAGCTTGTAGTCTTTCTCACCTCTCTATTTGCAACTTTTTTGCAACACTTTTTGAGCCAGTGACAATATTTTCCTCTGTGCTGAGTGAGAGAGGAGGACAAGGTTTTTATTTTATTTTTTTCATGAGGCTTGGCGGTGATGACAAAGCATGCTGGACAAGTGACAATCTGACAACGAAACAGCGGGACAGGGATTGAGGACAGGCCATGAGAGCCAGGAGAGAGGCCAGGATGGTGTCTGCCTGTTCACCATGCACAAACACAAGGTCAGGTGTGATTTCTTACCTTTCTTCAGCTGTGGCACTTTGTTGTTTTTGCTGTGTGGAGTTCCATTAACCAGTATCAGCTTACATGCATAATGCAGTAGGTGCATGAAGTTAGTGTGTAACTCAACATGTTGTAGCATTAGCATTTTAAACGGTGTTATCATGCACATAAGACATGAAATACAATCCAAGTTAAAAGAATTAAATGACAGCAAGTTTTACCAGACTGAAATATCTTAGCAGCATTTGTCTTGTATGTGCAATTTGCACTTTTGCATCAAACCTCATCTCAGTTATTTTTCCCCCTTTCACTACTATACATCCTCCTTTCTTACACCACCCATCGTCTCCCCTGGCTGTCTGATAAGCATCCTTTGATTATCTACTGAGCTAAGTGCTAATGTTGTTTCCACTGAATACACCACATGACCCAAATGGGCCTGGTGTTGTTTTGCAGCTGCACCCCTCTCAGCTTGACCTTTGCTGTGAAATGCACCAGCTTACAGCAGTAAAAAAGAAACCCAGTTACATCACCTTTTTCTAACCCCACAATTCTAGATCGACAGCTTTCTCCGTGTCGAAGTTATTTACAGTAAAGATGCATAAGCAACTCAATGGTTTGTTTAACAAACAGTAAGTAGAAACAGGTGATATTTGAGATAGTAGTTGGGATTCCACTAGTGGTCAACCAATTACAGGTTCCACATTTGTTCTTGGTGGAGTAGCAGGTTGTAAGTCTTCTTCAGAGCGTCCTCCATGTAGCGGGTCACCCATGCTGGGCAAATAAATCAAAAAGATGGATATACACATGCATGTGTCTTGACATGAAAAATGCTGGGGATGGTGACAGAATTCATCGAGTGTCACTCTTTCTCAAATATACCCCCACACATGCATGCACACACGTTCACACACGCATTTGAGTTCAAACGATTTTCCAGTTGGCTTCCAGGCCTCCTAAATCTCTACTGTGATCTCTGCTCCCCAGATCCATTAAGGGCAATTTGGTCAGATTTACTGAACCAGGCGACGGGGACACAAGGCAGTCCCAGCACTGGTTCAGGTTGTCCCTCTGTGATATATAAAACTGGCAGGTGTTACTCACCGTCCTTTTACATGACTATCTTAAAAGGGTCCTCATGAATCACAGAGTAGTAGTAGTTAGTGTAGTCTAAAATTAAAAGAGGCTTACTACATTTTCTTGATGCTGAAAATTGCTTTTATTACTACTTTTTTTTTTTTTCTTTAAAATACCTCGTGACCTTTCACTATGTTGAAACAGTTAGGAGTATTTGCAGTGTGAAGTTAAACATCCTAGAGCACACAACCCTTTGGCAATGGACAAAAGTGCAAAAAAGAGGTGATCATTTATGACGTTACATAAGGTGCAATAATGTTGGGAGCACCACAGCGCAAAATACCAATGGTTTTTATTGAGTGCATACCATTTGCTCATGTAGTATTACTCCCCAGTCTAACACCCATTGACTGTACATAAATGGGAAAAAAAGATCACTTTACAATGATTTTGTCTTGTTTTATTATTATTTTAAAGCTGCAGGACACTAAATCTTTTTGCCGATATTTCAGTAAAGTAATATCTTGTACCTCCTGGTTAATTTTGTGCTGTGCACGGTTTAAAAAATCCTTTCTTTCTTTGTTTTTCAAGTCAAATCTGTCCTTCAGTGTAAACACTAAAAATTTAAAAAAAGGGTTTTCTTCAGCAGGCTTTGAATAATTTGTTTGATCCCGTTCCCCCTCATAGCAGTTAAGGGCACTAAAACTAACAATACAGATGTGTAGGATAATCTGAATCTATTTAATAAAGTATAACTATGTTTTAATTAGTTTTGTAAATTTAATCGATTTTATAAATAATTTCTGTGTTCATTTTAAGATCTTTATAGTATTTGAAAAACAACATATCTTCTAGCTGAACAGTACAGCAAATTTAACTTTCTGGAAGTATTTACTGTGCGTGTTTAGACACCTGAGAGCACACAGTCCTATGGCACGCAAAACTGTAAAGTCGACATGATTATTATACACAGATATAATATAATATAAAATAATATAAAATAATATAATATAATATGATATAATATAATATAATATAATGTAATATGATGTAATATAATATAATATAATATGATATAATATAATGTAATATGATGTAATATAATATAATATAATATAATATGATATAATATAATATAATATACAACAGATGTATTACAAACATTTGGCTAAAATACCAACTTGTTTTATCTTGAGTAACACTGAGACTACTCTGCTTTTTATGTTGTGAAATAGAAATTAAAATTATAGTCTTTTCAGAGAGAAAGAGAGAAAAATTACTGCCCTCGATTGCTGTTGTTATTTATGAGCTTCTGTATCTGCAAAACTGTAGAGTTGAGAGTTAAGGCATTTGCCCAGATTTTCCTCTTACCGTGTTTTTCACGTCAAGATTTCCTGGAAGTTTCATTTTTAAATGGGTGTGTTTGTGCAAGTTTCATGCCAACTTTTTAATGCAATGAAAGAAACACTAAAAATAAGATCTAGGAGTAAAAAAGATTTTTGAAGGTTTTTACCATTCAGGATGTGAGTCATCGTCAAATCAGGGTCTGTATTTTGGGCCAGCTGTGGACATCAGTCGCTGTAGGTGATTCATTAAGTCCCCCTGTCTGTTAAAAATCTGTCTGTCACTGGCACACCCACTTACTGCCTATGTGAAAGGTCTTCTTTTCATGCTGGGTGGACATCTGCTTCACTGTGGAGTTACACAAGGAGAAATGCCATCCACATATGTCTTTTCATGGTATGAACTGAACTAAATTTAGACCTATCTTTGTCTTCAAGTGATCCTTTTCCAGAACTCCTGTGTCAGTATCCCTCCACAGTTGCAGCTGATATTGATACCAGCGCATTTGTGGGTTGTCCAAAGCCCTCTCAGTTTACTGTCGTTTTGGTGGAGTACTGGTTGCAATGAGGTGATGAAGCTTGAGCTCATTTAACAAAGTAGTATGCTATATTTATAGCCTTTACAGAATACAAGACCAGATAAGGGCATAGCAGGTATGAAGCCAGCTAGAAATGATATATATCCTAGCTTTATAGCCACTGCAGTATGCATCTGAAGAAGCCATGTTGTGTACATTCAGCAGCCCTCCACTGCTGACTAATCACAGAGCCTCTGGTGTCTCGCAAAGTAATTCACATATGTTCATCAGCTAATCAATCCTGCTGATACTCTAAATGTCTCTATCTCTGCCCCAGCAGGGCAGTGTTTAATGCAGTTTTTTTTTCTGCAGATATGCACTCTTGGCCAGATGTACATCCACAGGGGTGGAACTTAAATACATTTTAGATTCGGATCCATCTGTCAGGTTAAAATGAATAATAAAGTTGAATTAACTCCATGGACCTGAATAGCCAAATTCACTTTTCTTTACCGCATTGCATTTCTTAACCATAGCTTGTCTTTAATTCTTTAAGGTTTCATACTGCAGGTTGTGTAATCCGTCCTCTCTGGATTCCCTTCCTCCATAGCAGAGATGATTGATTCCCCCTGTAGCTGCTCCTTAGGGGCCATGGATTATTTTTACTGAGGGTGTCTTCTGATACTCCGGATCCAACATTTGCAAGAAAATGAAGCACCCTGGGTCATTTTAAAGATCCGCTTTAACCAGAGTGAACATTGCAGTGGCAACACAGCAAATGTTGATGCTTGTGTGCTATGTCTTAACGGGAAATTCCTCAGACAATCTGCGCCTCTCAGTGAGAGGATATTTAACTTGATTACCTCTCTGACAAGCATAAGGTGTTGCACAACTGCAAGAAACGTCTCAAAAGGCGCAGGGAAGCTCAGTCAGGGGTGAAGGAGTGGGAGGAGATTGCTGTGACTGGAGAGGCAAATGTATTATCAGGTGCCACAGCGAAAAATGAATTGATTGAATAGATGGAGGAGTGGTAGAGGGCCTGTGATCACAGTGATTCATGGAACATGTGGGCGCTCTGTATTGAGTCACAGGCAGCAGCAGCAGCAACTGGAGTGAAAGCACTGCACTCTGCAAGCCCAATTACCCTCCTCTATGTTGTAAACAGTCACACACCAACAGAACTTTAATTTTGTGGGAAACGTTGTTGGTTTCAAATATTTGTTTGCAAGTCCCTTCTTTTGACTGAGGCGACAGCAAATGTCAGCTAGTTATAATACAAATGGACTTTGAATTGAATGCCAACCAAAAACAAAAAAACAGGCCTACATGACTCAATGTGTCATTGTTGATGTTCTTTTTAATACCAGTGACATTGTGTTTTCTTCACCTGAAGACCCGAGAAGTCCATTTTAGCATCTTTCTTTTTTTCGTCAAGGGCTTTATAGACTGTAGTAATCATCAGTGATTGTGTCTAGTGTTTTAGTAAGCATTTACCACCATCATCAGGGCAATCACATCATAATAAAGAAACGAAATAGATAATCTACCAAAGTCTCTCATGTATTCTTCTCTACCTTCACTGATAGGCCAAGCAAAAGAAGTGGAAGAAACTGATATGGAAACCTCAAAGGTAGGATATGACTCAAAAAGCCAAAGACACTCCACACATGCACAGTGAATCTATGTGGCAGATTTGATATGGTTCATATCATCTAAGTGGACCTAAATAGTGGTTTTCCAGAGGGACTGATTCCTGTGTGTGTGTTGCTATACTGTACTGAAGTGCATCTAGCTCCTCTAAGCTTCTTCTGCTCCTCAGATTTCACAGCATGTGAGATCCAGGAACAAAACTGCTGTATTGTCATTTACTGAAACGCTGTCAGCATTGTTCTCTGAAGGGGCACTAGGGGGTTGAAGTTAAGGAGAGTGGTTTTTTTTTGGTCCAACATGGCCGAACTGTGGTCTGAAATACTCTTTAAAGGCTTGATCTGGTGTCGGAAAGCAAACTGATGAGAGTTACAGTGTAAGTTATATCTAGGGATGAGGTCACGTCTTAACTGAAGTAAAGACCTGGCACACACTTTGTGGTAGGGGTGGGAGAAAAAATCGATACAGCACAGTATCGCAATATTTTGTCTGGTGATATATCATATTTTCTCATTTACCAAGCATCGATTTTTAATTTGTGATGAAGTCAAATCTGTGCTAATGGAAAAACACAATCAACTGTTTGTCCAGTTAGGTTGTTAGAGGTGACATCATAGAGCAGGAGAAAGTTAGTACAACAAATATATATATAAGGTTTGCAAGATGTGCTACATGAAGATAAAATACAGCGTAAAAAACAAACATTAAAGGAAACCAAATGCTACATTTTATTAATTGCAATATATTGTATCACAATACTCACTGTATTACAAAATGTAAAAAAATCGCAATATCGCATTGTGTGGCCACTAGTGATTCCCACCCCTACATTGTGGTCTAATGAATCCAACCATTGACTGTCATCTTGTTTGTGTTGGTGTAGCTGTGTGCAATTTCAGTTTATGCAGTGTTTCAGACATGATTCAGACGAAGTGCAATCAGATAAAATAGCCCTGAAGTTGGAGAATCATCTTATCACTCTGGTTTCACCAAGAGTTTTTTTTAACATCCCAGTTATTACTATGTCCTGTTGAGAGCTGCCTACCAGGCCATGCCTTCCCCTTGTGTCCCCCTGTACACTAAATGCTAAATGAATTACTGAACCCAGCCTGGATCTAATTCACTTGTGCGACCTAAAAATCAGGAAAGAATCGGCTTGAAATCCCAGTGAGTGTTAGGGGTGGGAAAAAAAATCGATACAGTATAGTATCGCAATAGTTTGTCTGTTGATATATCGTATCGTCTCATTTACCAAGTATGGTTTTTATTTTCAAATAGATTGCTAATGTGAAGTCAAATCTGTGATAATGGAAAATAAAATCAACTGTTTGTCCAGTGATTTTGGCAGAGATCACATCATAGAGCAGTAAAAGTTGGTACAACAAATATATAAAAGGTTTGCAAGATGTGCTACATGAAGATAAAATACTGTGTAAATAAGACAAACATAACAGAAAGACAAGTGCTTATTTAGTTTAACAGTTGAAACTTTGTTGAATTGTATTTAAATCGCAATATATTGTATCACAGTAATTACTGCATTGCAACATGTTAAAAATTGCAACAATATCGTATTGTGGCCCAAGTATCGCGATAATATCGTATTGTGGGGCCACTAGTGATTCCCACTCCTAGTGTGTGTTTGTGTGTGTTTCTGGCCTAAAGTTTGAGGATAATATGAGCATTAGGGTCCAGTCTCTGCCAGCTTAACCAAATAAATGAATAAATAAATAATCTAGGATAAGAGTATAGATGTGTTTATTGTCTGTAAAAACCATAAAGCATGCTGGACACAAATTAAGACTTAGCATTCGTCCATGTTAGCATGTGATGTGTTTTCTTCTAGAGACCTGACAGTCATAAACCTCAAGTAAAATTTACAATTCTCATCTTTTATCGATCAGATCCTTGATTTAAAGTGCTTTTCCAGTGATGGCTGATGCTAAGCTGTGTCTAGTTCAGAGGTTTGTGCTCCCTCTTAAATCTTCTTGTCAGGAATCAGTCAAATAATCAATCTCTGTGTGTTCAAGTAACCTTCCACTCTGTTTTTGATAGATATAAGGTGCTGATTCAATGAAAAATAATGGATTGAAGAGTGTAAATGTTTCCACATCTGTGCTGTGAGTGCAAGGCCATATCAAAATCCTGAAGGGTATCTATTAAAGGAGTTTTGTAAGATAAAGCTGAGGGTTGTTTTTATCTAAGGACATTAAAAAAAGGAAAAAAGGCATCTGTGCAGTTTTTAACCTTGTAGATCTTTTCCTGGGTTTGAGCCTTTCATCCACAGCGTGGGCTCCCTGTGGAAAAAAGTCTTTGTTGTGATTCATGACATTAAACACTAGGCGTTGCAGATTTCCTCAGTGCAAAGTTGAGGTGTTGAGGCCTTGTTGGGTGACTGTTGCTTTGTCCCTTGGAGTGACGTGGGTCATTTGTGAAGCTCAGAATAGCTCGAGTGCTGTCCTTAAAGGCCTTGTGGGTGGTAATGGCATAACAACCTGTAGTAAGTGATTGCAACGTCATTATGTGTGTGTGTGTGTGTTTCTGTGACGCTTGGCATTGTGTTATCCCTGTCAACATGTCTGACTGGAAAGAGCAGGCAAGGCCCACAAGCGGCCCTGAAGCAGCAGGCTGGACCGCTCCCAGCTCTGATGATGGCAGGGTTGTCTCTGTGGCAACAGCCCTCAATGACTAGATAGAGGGATTGTCCGGGAGGGGTCAGTCAATATCTGTCCATCCAATTTCTTATTTCATCAACACTTCACTATCTGTCCTTTCATGTAAAGATAGCTCTCCTCAGTCTTTCTACAAGCCGTCTGCCGCTCATATACTAAAAAAAAAGCACGACATAAAAGGAAAATTGATGAATTCAGACAGAATCAGCCATGCTGCTGTCGGGTTTCTGTAATGAAGCTGTTTTAAATAAAGGTTACACAGAAGTTCCTCTGAGGACAGAGCATGAGGGCACAGATGGGGTGTAAGTGTTAACAACAGCGAGCATGCCCCCAGTGACAGCACATCCAACCACATTGGCCTCCCCACAACGGTATCTCTTACTGACTTGTGATGAGGTCATGTGAAGCTGTTTTATAATTGTGTGACGACTGAGCTGACACTGTAGTTATGTAATCAGAAAAAAATGATAATAGGAGACCATGAATTTGGAAAAGTTTGTCGTACTGATATGAAACAAGACAAATAAATACCTTGTGACCTCTGTTTATTCCAGTGAATATGGTAACAGATACTCTCCTGATTGACTGACATCCCTGTCCTCAGATGGCGGGTTCAGCATTGTAGTGAAACAGTAGCAGCTTAAATCTGTACATACATCCCTAGTTGTCGACTGGATCCGGAGAGATCAGCTGAACCTGAGCTCCCTGTGTCGTGACATTATTTTTCTGAACACAGTAGCTCTGTGTTTGAGGAGCTCAGGGTCATGGATGTGATGACTCATTGATGTACTGCACAGCAGCTACGGCACCAGTGAAGGCTGGAGATACACAATCTTATTGTGCTTTATGTAACGTAGCCTATAGAGGTGGACTGTAGTGAATGATTATCAGTTTGTTGTTATCGACCAGCTGATCATCACCTCTATAGAATCTATATCTGTCATTACCACCTGACAACCTGAAGGCATGGATCAGCACTAACCACAAGTCTGATTTGAAAAAAAAGGAAAAATACATCACAGTGTGTGTTGTCTTGGTGCTTTGGTCTGATTCATCTGATAGCAGAAAGAATCACTTTAGCTTTATAAAGACAGGGACTAATGATGGTTTTAAGTGAGTCTCATAAGTAATATTAGAAAATGGCTGATCCAATTTACACAATAGGGTCAGTATTTTTGCTAGGACTGGGTGATTTGTCAACAAAAAAAAGACACTCATAAATTTTGTCATATCGTCCGATCTTGATTATTATCACTTTTTTTTTGTATTTTTTGAACTGCCAGTTTTAAAGCATCTGTTCTAAAAACAAAAGAAACAAGACATTAGTTCAACTTCTTATTAACATACAAAGTAAATAAAAAAGCAAATTAAATAAGATAAATTTAGAAGAAAATAAAAACCACTTTAACTCAACAGTAAAAACACTCAAATGTAGATAAGTACAGAATAATACAGTGAACTAGTTTACAGTCCTGAGTATTTTTGCAAGTATGCCAGAACCAAATAAACAAATTGCTCCCTTAAGGATTAACAAAGACACCAACATGTAAACATTAGATGATGTAAACGTAGATGATACGATTGATCGCTGCTTTGGTCTGGTGGCTGCTCCGCTAGTTGAGGCTAAACTGCCAATGCTACTTGTGCTACACGGTGGCAGGCTGTACAGACTCTGCTCACATTTTCATGCTTTACACATAACCACAGTAATAATCAATTACTTCTCCTGTTTACTTCTCTGGCAACTTACAGAAGTGAGCAGGAAAAGCTCGACTCTGATTGGCTGTTGTCACGCACATTTCTGCTATGTTTGATCGAGTAAATAAGCTCACAGCTGATCAGCGTGATCGAACTGAAATTTATCACGATCATTTAATCGCCCAGTCCTAATCTGTGCATATATTGATTTACTGACTACTTAAATTATGAAAGCAGTAGCAGACAGAGTCCATCGTCCTAGTCCAAACAAACTTGAATCACTAAGTGTTAAAACTTAGATCAGGTCCACTCCCTCTTAAGCCTCAACCATTAGTTTGCTTTATTAGACGCATCCTTAAAATCAATTAATAATTCTTTTTCTCTCTCTTCCTCCTCGCTCCTGCTCTTTATAGTAATTAAGAGTAGAATCTGTTCGAGGTTTGTTGCAGAAGAAATGCTCTATTTTCATCCTGCTTGCTGAAGCAGAAAGAGGAAATTGAGGGCTTTTTAAATGAGCGCTTTAATGTCAGCACATGCTTTACTTTGTTCTTTTATTCATGGCACACGTGACATCCTGGCAGAAGGCCAGCTGTATTTCACTTCATCACTTTTTGGGTTGACCTGATATTGAACATGGTGTCTATCCCTCGCAGTGTTGCTCATATTTGCTATTGAACATATTATGTAATTCATCATCACTGTCATCATTCTGTCTTTTTCTCCCCTCTGCCTGGGCTGCTTTTATATTTCAGTCAATTCTGGCTGTCTGCGTAGTGTCTGCACTGTCCTCTGGGGGACATCCACTGCTGTTTCTGACATATTATCAAAATCTACTCCTTGCTGTCTTATGTTACAACAAATGAGCCTTATTTTTACCATTCCATTGTCGTCTTTTAGTTTGACTATGGTCCATCACTCTCTTAATACTCCCACACTTTTTTTGACTTAATCATCATCGCCCTTAATATTCTATCTGCTCTAATGGATAAACTTAGTACAGCCACACGCATGCAAACTGTTAATGCCTGTCTTTGCAGGCTGTAAAAGCACTTCTACAATCTGTCTTCTTGCTGTGGCCTCGAGAGGATTATCCAACATGGTCAGTTCAACAATAAACAAACAGCCACCCAGTCACATGATCATCCATTTTTCCCTCTGATCAGACAGTAGGGATCAATCAATGGGGATTTATTTAACATGAATAGGAGAACAAGCGCAGGCATAATCCATACTGTGCTGCAGAATAAGGAACGCCCACAGGGCAGGCTTCCCTAGCCGTCCAATCCCACAAAGCACTGTATAGGGATTAAACCAGATTATCTGACTAAGCTATTCTTGGAAACAAATGAAAAATCTCTGGTCCACATTAAGGTTCAAGGAATGCTGAAAAAGTAGCTGATGTAGCTCTCACTTGATTACTGTACTTATGACTAATGATGAAGACTTAATCTGTCTCACTCCATGATACATCTCTTTACATCAAACAAACTAAAAGCAACCCAGATTATTATGTCGCATTCAGTGGATAGACAGTATTTATTCAGGAATACAGATTAAAACAAACTCAGATTATACAGAAGTTAATTCAATCCTGATGCTCATAACACTTTACTGTAGCAGAGCTAGTCTGTGATCTGGTCAGCAGGTGGCGTCAGTGAGCGGTAACATCTCTGACTCGGAGAATGACTTCTCTCTAAAGGAGCTGTCCATTCAGCACCACTCTGAAGCGTCCTACTCTTCAGCAGGCTGGATAGAGAGAGAACAAGAATCGCTGCAATCTCATACACAGCAGCAATAAATAAAAAAAAAAAGGAAAGTGAAAAAGCAAAGGAGGGCAGACTGCAAATGCCACAAACAGCTCAAATTCTGCCCGACGTTTCCCTGTTGCAGCAAAAAGCTACTGCATGGTACTACAGTGATAATTGTGACATCCTCTACCTTACAGGCTTGGCTTGTTTACAGAACCATACACATATGTTCCTACCTCTGCATGGACACAGTAATTGGCACATTATAAGAAAATGAAATAAAATGGACAACTAATTAAATGTTATCAACTTCTCCAGACCATCTGTATGCAGGTTCTGTTCTAACATTGGAATAGTGGAGCTCTTTAATGTCACGTCTATCTTTCAGGCTACTTTGAGGCTGTGCATTTCTTGTTGCAAGCAAAAATAAGACAATGCACAGGCCTTGAAGTCAGATTGGTAGAGGAAACTGGGTCGAGATGAAACCCTCACATTAGGTAATGATATTCTTAGGAGTCAGTGAGCTAAAATCCTCCTGCCGGAGTCGGCTGCAGGAAAGAATCGTGATAGTCAGTCATGCCTTGCACAGATAACATACTACTGCTCCGTGACTTCAGGTCATGTTGTTGTTGCTCGATGTTTGACACCAGATGGACTCGGTTGGAAATGACTTACTGTCCTCTTGCTCGACTGAGGCTCAGATTACAGCTCCCACTGCTCCACCCTGTGACAAGACAGGTACACTCATATAGTCTTGCTTCCTTTCCGATTTATTTTTTATTTTTTTTATTTATCTTCTTCTCCCAGTCAAACTACATTTGCGGTCGTCCTTTGGGAGGGATAACACTTTCTGAGAAAAAGAGTAAAACTGTGTTTTCCTGGCTGTTCCTGATGGTGGTATAGCACACGAAACACACAAACTAGAAAAATGATCACAGCCGGGTGTGTCACATGCTGAGCACAGAGCATGCAGCTGCCAGTTTTTCATCACTATAGATTTATTTAGCCTTTTTTAGCCCGAGATGTACTTATGGAGGTATGCAAGAAGTAGGAATGCGAAACTGGCACATTCACAAAGTCATAAAAAGATGTGTTTTCATGTATGTGGCATGTCTACTACTACTGATCTACTGATATTCACTTCTCTCTTTGTATGTAAGTATTCACAACAACAAGATAATAGAAGGAAGGATAATGAAGCATCCAAAGGTGTTCCAGAGCATGTAAGTTCTGGACAAGAATTGAAATTCCAATTAGCTGATTGGTCCAGTGGCAAGAAAATACTCTGAAAACAGCCATAATTGAGCACAATTTCCTTATTCATTCAATTATTTTTTTCATATCTGAACTATAATGTGCCGCTCAAACTCATAAGAAGGTACAAGGTTCCATGCGCCCTATGGGTTTGTTTACATCTGGTTAGTAAAGCATTTTAACATCATGGTAGTAACCACTAACTGGTGCAATGGCCCTTCCTAGTGGTGTGGCTGTGCTACAGCTTTGACACAAGGACGTTTTGAGTCTTCAATGATAAAAATATTAATGATTAATTTTAGTGCCCTACCGATATGGATTTATTGGGGTCGATGCTGAAATCTGATTACTGATTAATCAGACGATTTTTTAAATTTTTTATGAAGTTTTAAAACTTTGTTAATTTAAGTAATATATCTCCATATTTACTTTTTTTTAACAAATGGCTGCTTTTGAGCCCTTCTAACAATTCTTCAAAGAATTAAAGGCAGAAAAATTTTTTTCAAATCCTCAGTAATTATCCACATATTTATCATGAATCAAACTCGGACCAGAAAAGCATTTTCAAGAACCCCCCTGCTGATCGGTGCCTCCGCGTCTTAACTCGTAACTCATTTCCAGTCCGGTCTCATCTGGAGACATGCAGCTGCCTCAGTAAAAGAAGTAGCTCGATCACATAATGTGTACTGTTGTTTATTCTACCGTTACTGGCACGGCTAACAGTGTAGCAAGGCTAATAGCAGATGGCTCACTCTAACTTAAGCTTGCATATTACATGGTGCTTCACCGTCAACTCGGCGTGACCGAGACCAGCACAGCGGGGAACAACGTGAAGTGGGTTGAACTGAAACTTGTTGACTTATTGTGTATTTCACAAGCTGGTTTATTTACCGTTGAGGCGGACCACTCTCCTCCGAGCGACCCTGCCGCCGTCTGCTGTGCTGTGAGGTAGTTAGTGGATGAAGATTGTCATGAGGTCACTGCGCCATCTAAAGGATAAGTCGGGGGATCTTTTCAAGTGGCGGAACATTTTGAAACTGAATCTTATTCTCCACATTTTATTTCTGAAAATATCTGTGACAATCAGCGAGCTTTGGCCGATTACCGATTAGTCTCAAAGGGGCTAAAATTGGCCAATTTAATCAGCTTGCTGATAAATCGGTCGGGCCCTAATTAATTTAGCTAACTTGTAATCCTGGTGCAGAGTACCACTTTTTGGTCAAGTAAATATACACAACCCGAGAAGCAACAGTGGCATAACTCAGGAGTCATCAACTGCTTTTTCAAGCATCATGTTTCACAATTTAGCCATCCTTAAATTTCCAAGGTCAGAAAAAGGGACTATTTTTGAATAACGTGATGGTGCTTGAGAGGAGGCTATTAAATATGCTAGCTGTACTTCACAATCTCAATGCTAAGGTAATCCTGCTTAACAAGTTAATGAATGTATGTGTGGCACTAGAAAAACTAGCCCACCAGACTTTTTAGTTAGTGTTAGAGACCACAGACCAAGCCCTACTGTGTGTCCAGCGATGAATAAAAGATCCCCCAAAGGAAACAAAACAAGTTTAGTTACCTAATTAGCAAAAGGTTAGCATACAGCCTCTAGCTGTATGCTAACTGCCACTTAAAGCAGTCATACCTGATTTCCATGCACTCACTTCACTAACAACTCAACATGTGATGAATGAGCATGACAAACATGTTCTTGCTAGTAAATGCTAACAATGTAACACTAGCTGTAGCATAGTTTGCACAATGAGCCGCACAGCAAGCCTTCATCTTTGTCCAATATTTGCATGAATAAATCCCCAGAGGCAGCAAAACAAACACTGCTACTTTTTTAGCAACTAAATGGGCAGAAGTGAAATCTGGCAGACACGCTGCAGCAGGGTCCAACCACTACTCTATGAAGTGGACACGTTCCTTTCTTCTGACTTCTAGTAATTTAGTGAGCCTAATTGGATATTTTGATGTGGGACTGTAATGGAGATGGAGATGGGTCTCTCAAGTGGCCACTCAGGGATCTGCAGATTCAGAGGTAATGTGTTTGCTAGATATCTCTGCTACCTAAGTTGCAGCTTGGAAAAAAATACATTACCCATTTGAAAGAGAAGCTTTTCATATACTGTGATATTTAACACAAGGGTCAGTGATGTTTGTTCCCAAGTATTTGACAGAATGTCTGTTTTACTCTGCGCCCCAATGTTTTAAACTATAATGAAAGTTAAAGTTTGTATTCTCATTGCAACAGAGCTGAATCATATTTTCCTTAGTTTTCCTCCGACTGTAGAAAGAATTTTTTTTTTAAAATATACATAATACATAATATATAACATGCCTCTCTATCAGTCAGCCATGCACTCACTCTGTCTTGCTGCCATCTGCATGTGAATAAAGAAGAGCGAGTGAAAGGAGCTTCATGACTCAGCAGCCCAGTCTGAACAACAACAACAACATCACATTGTCTTTCAAAAATTGGGGTTTCGCTTGCCAACAAAGTGGCAACTTCCAGTGTTAGAAAAAGAAAAAAAGCTACTGTAGAAGTGCAAAAATCTGCTGTCTTAACCTGGACCATATCAGGGTGTCCTTTTACCAGTATAAATAAACATGCTGACAGCCAGTTTTGAACTCTTCTTCTCACTTCTGTTTTAGTTTACTTCATACTTTATTCTAGACCCACAGGTCCATACTCTTTACAATTTCACAAAGTTATTTATTCATTTGTAATAACACCCTTCTGTTTTGGTTATAAGTTGTGCGTTATTACGTATGATCTGAGGAGTGGCTGACGTGGCTGTCTGGTGAATGCACTTTCTCCAGATTTCTAGATTAACCAGAAGTTAGTTGCAGCATTTCCAAAATAGCTACTGCCATCTTTGTGTTTCATAACACCTCTTTAGTAACTTGTGAATGGAGCCTCTGGGACTATTTTTTTTTAATCCAGTCTTTAAAGCTTATACAAAACAAATCAAACAATCTCTTTGTCTACATACATTAGATCAAAAAGCAACAACAAATTAGATAGAATTAATCTGTCGATCATCTAACATAATTCAGATCAGCATGCACAGTATGCTTGGTCAATCTGAATGTCATTTGTGAGGGTGGTGAGTGATTTGAATGAGCAGTGTAAGCCAGCTTTAATGAGGTGTAATTTGGAGAGCTTTAGGAGATTAAACAGAATGAATGCTTTGCTCCCTGACCCAGGTTATGTGGAGAGGTCTGCTTTTTTTAATCGTTGATGGTTCATTTTAAAGGAATGGGTCAGTTACTTTCTGGCCTCCATGACCTCAAGGAGCTGGGATGCATGAAGCAACTGCACGGAGATGTTATGAAAGATACATTTTTACAAAAGAAGCTGATGAATCTAAATCATGTTTGATTCAGATGACTCTTCTCATCATAAAAATATATATACTATATTTTAAAAGTTTTTGTTTATGATACCATTGTAAAGAAAAACAGTTGACTTGTGACTCGCCCCACCCTCTTATACTAACACTGAGACACCTGTCAAGCCTGTCTCTCTCACATAGCCCTTAAAGCTTTATACATTCATGTGAGTTTCACACCTCTAACCATTCATCCATCAATGAGCCACTCTGCTTATCCCATTAAGGGTTGTTGGAGGCTGGATCCAGTCCCAGCTGCTATTGGGTGGGGTACAGCAGAAGAGATTACCAGCCTATGGAAGGCCTGACATGTGGTGACAACAAAAGAACCATTCCTATTTAATTTAGAGTCACTTTTTTTACCTGACATACAGGTCATAGAACTAGAAACTAGAGGATCCAGAATGATCTAATGCATGAAGAGTAGAATATACTAAAGGTCCTTACACAGCGGGCAATAGGCGAAGCGACGCGAAAAGGCGAATAAAATCTGCTAAGCGAATTAAGTTTGGCGCTTCTATAACATATCTATAAAACCATATACAAACGTTTACTGAACTTTGAGTTGCTCTGAGCTGGTTGCTTAGCTAGCTTAGCTTCATATTATGCTAGCTACATGTTACACATCTATGTTTGAGGATTGATAAGTTGAGATCTTTTATTTCCTGCCATATGTTTTCTTTGAGGAGAGTGTCGTTGAATATTTCAAAGGATTTGTCCCATAAAGCAGGGCGCTCCTGCACACTAATGATAAAGCGCTCAGTCATGATGAATGAATGCAGACTAGGGTTGAGGCTGCCAGTAAAGTTTGGATGTGATGCCTTTTCGCCTCTGCAAAATTCAACACAAGAGCGAATAAATAACAGTCGCTTTTTGCTTCGTAAATTTTCACTGCCAGTGTGTAAGGTCACTTTGACTTCAAGAGTTTTTTGTTTTTTTTAAAACCAAATTATTCGCATCACGAATTCACTCCCTGTGTGTAAGGACCTTAACTCCCCACAGAGAGGTCCGAACTGTTAGTTAACAGTTTAAGTATAGCCAGAGTCTTGTAGGCTTATTTGATACCCGAAGGCAACGTAGTTTCTTACTAGCTAAATCTACAGCAAAAAATCTATGAGTGTGCCTGCGAGCTGAATGTCTTTAAGACTGACATTGAAAGGCATTCATATGAAAACTTCTGATTAAAGGAGTGTTTGAGCCCTCAGTTTGTTGGTTTTCCAGCCTCCTTCAGGTACTTTCCCACTCCTAACTGGCAGCTTACCTAGCTAGTGTGGCATTTACAGCTTACTTTAAAACAGAAAGAACTTAATCCATCCCCTGCACTTTGTGCATTGTTTAAAACAGACAGAAATAAGCCAAAAAAATACAATTTAGATCAGAGTGCCAAGTTTATGAGGGATTAATCAGTTCATGCAGCTGGTGAAGAAAGCCAGAATTTGACACACCTGAGATGCCAGTCAGCTCGACTAATTAGGACAGCCAACAAGAAGATTCACTTAGTTTTAAATTCAGATTATTGTAGTTATAAAATTAGCAAGCTGAGTCACTCTAATGCCCATCTCATTCATTATATATGTAGAACACACACAGCACACAGCTATAAACATGGGGAGTACCCCAGTCGATTCAGTGCATTAAGAGATTAACAAGGCTAGCTGCTGACACTGATCAGGGCTTGAGTCCAATACAAGAGGAAAGACTTGCAGCAGGCCAGGGCCCCTCCTTAATGCTTTTTCCCAACATATCATAGAGGGTGAAGGTTGGAGTTGGGACGGGGTTCACTGCACAGAGGAGGTTATGGCCAGAGGCTGCTGTCCTGCTCTGGCCTTACACTGGGCCGGCTAGGCTTATCTCGTGTAGAGAAATAGAGAAAGAGAGCCATCTAGGGAAGAGGATAGAGAGAGCACGAGAGAGGGAAGGAGGGAGGGAGGGAGGAGGGGGTGATCCTGCGCCTGCTCACTGTGAGCGCAGCAAGTGCAGCTTTCATCCGCAGCAGAGACTGAGGGAGAGACAGAGAGAGTTTAAGCCAGCAAACAGTAGCTGTGAGGGGCAGTGTGAGAGCGTGAGAGAAATACAGAGTTAGAAGAAGAAAACAGTGACCAGCCATTTTGACATTTATTTACTACTGCTAGCCCTCCTGCCTCTGCTGCATGCTCTAGTTTGCAGTGCGAATATTACCGTGCAGGTCACCTCCTTCTCTTTTGGGAAAACTGAAGAACCCCAGGGACGTGTGAATTTCTGGCACAATTGCTCAGCACTGCGGCATCTTGATACAAACGGCGGAATGTAGCGGATGGGAGGAAAAAAGCTTGAGGATCATCCTTCCAGACTTCGGTCCCTCACCGTCCATCTGTCTCTGCATCCACTCCGTGCTTCCTCCCCGTGTGCATCTCTCCTGCTCTGTGTATGGGAGGTGAAGCTTTGGCAGGCTGTCAGTCAGCATGCGGCGGTGTAAACGGGCAGCTCAGTGCCCACAACACGCTATGGACGTCAGACACTCCTCGCTGTACTAATGAAAGGCTTCAAGCTCGCCTGGTAAGGCTCAACAGAAAGTAAACATAGCCTTTTCTGTGTGTTTTCTGGTGGATCGAACCTGTTTTCCTCTTTAGCTCTGAGGATTTCATGTATGCAAAGCACAACTCAGTCAGGGGCTTCATGTCTGTCATCATTTTCATGTGTTTCTTTGGACTCTTGCTTTAATGACAAGTCTAGATACTGTCTCTGTGTGGCTGGTTAGACTGTAAATATTTAAGGGTTTTTCTAGAGAACTACACTAAATATGAATCATCTGTTTGCCATTTTATTTTCCATGTGGTTATGTAAATGGGCAAATAGCAAATTGGTAATCTAGACTTGACCAGTGCACTACCAAGCTGTGAATCCAGTGCAGCTATTGTGGGCTAGTGCTTTTTTTTTTTTTCTCTTTCACTGAGACTGAGGCGACCCCGCTCTGCTCCCCTCTGGCGGGCTCAGTATGAGCGGAGCAGCTGAGGAGAAAAACTCACGTGGCTGCCTGGAAAAGAGCAGGCACATGCTCCCTCTGTCTCTCCCCGGCTTCTGCTCCGGCTGTCCCCCCTCGCTCGCTTTCCTCTTCACTCATCACATGGACAAACAGATCCACGTCCAGGTGGCCTTACCCCTCACTTTCTTTTTCAACCTGTTTCACCACATTATGCGCTGTCTGCGCTCACTTTTCCCTCCTCCTTCCTCCTCTCCTCTCCTCCCTTCTTGTGTTTGTTTATGCTCCTCCTCCTTTTGCCTGATATTTTTAGAGACGAATTACAGAGCACTGCTGGAGGAAAAAAAAAACAGAGGGGGAGCAGTTTCGGCAACGTGCGTCCCGCTTCCTTCCGTCTCACTTTCATGGGGACCTTTTCTTTCCCCACAGTCTGTCTCACTCTCTTTATATTTGTCTGTGTCATCCTCATTTGCATCCCTCTCTTCTCTGCCCTCTCCTTATTTTCTATCCTCTCAAATCTTTTGCTTAATCCTCCTGTCTTTTTTTTCTCAAGGCTATTGGCTGGAGCTTTGAAAATTTCTTCTAAGGGCTTCATAACAATAATCAGATTGAGTGCACACTGTCAGTAAATGTTAGTGGCATGTTGTCTTTATCATTCTGTCAGACAGGGACACTATTAAACCTGAGCCTGCCGTCACTTAATCTGTTTGCTGCACCCTGATAGACACAGGTTACTATCACAGCCATCTGTTAGCATCCCATAGACCTACACTTTGAGGTAAGCTGGCTGGCTAGCTGGGTATAGTGTGCATGCCATGCTGCTGAGTTATATAACAGCATGTGTGCATATTTACCTGATTTTGCTTACAGAGAATAAACTTTGCAGCATTTTCATCACTAATGTTCAGCTTTGGCCAAGAATAATGATCTAAAAGCTCCCACTCTTTCCTGCCTGATTGATTTTTCTCCCCATGTCAAAGATAAATGATAAGGTATGAGCTCTTTCTGTGCATTAATCAATGTGAGGATGCAGCTGAAGTCCCTCTCATTTTATCTGCGTCTGTACTGTCAGAGCTGCATTTTCTGCTTTCAGGGACAATCTGCTTTGTAGGCAAAACGGCATGACCTAGAGGTCACGCCATCAATCAATACCTCAATCAGCACGTTTGTTATACTGGGTGGTAGAGCAATCACTGTAACTGGATAGAGCAGCGTATTTATCAGCACTAGATGCAGCGGTCTAAGTGATTTGAAGCTCTCTTTATAGTTGATTGAACTGGACAGTGATACTCGCAGTTGGGGCTTGAAATAAAAAAAATAATTGAAACCAAAATTAATAATCTCTAACTAAGCTGATCTTGCCCATGTCAGTGATTTCCATTTTTTTATGTTCTATTAATACTTTCAAAAAATGGTGACCCCCCCACTACGTGTCAACATGTACTGTCCGCTTAAAAACACACTATCAAGAATGTAAACTGTGATAAAGATCACAGCACTGCTGATATTTTCAAGCTCATTTTCATTGATACTGATATTGATACTAATATATATAACTCACATTTGTCTTTGCAAGGAATACAAAGTTTCTCCTTTTACATGAAAAATATTTTACTCTTAATGTGACAGACACAAAAAAGTCAAATAACATTTGCTTATGCATGATCATTGGACTTTTCCAAATAGAGAGGTTAAGTTGTGCATCCACTGTCTGTATCCAACCCCCCTAAAATACCTCTTTACAGCCAACATTTGAGGGATGTCATCACATGTACATAATGAATTGGCCAATAATTATTTTGGCAGATATTTTCATACTTGCAAATGATAGCATTTAACTTTTAAAGCTATTATCTGCTGAAACATATATCGCCCACTCAGATTTGTTTCTGACTCTTTATACAAACAGAAAGGCTCAAGATAGTCGTGCAGTCCTTTTTAAACCTTGCACTGCAGCATCATAATTGATATAAATTTTAAACTCAAGTGCATCACATACAATGGAAATCATTCTACAGGTGGTTAGAATAGCAACACACGTTGTCTAAAGGATCTAAATATCAGACTTACTGATCAACAACATTTAAAACCAGAGATTGACTGGTCAGCTAATTAATTGGGACAATTAAGGGTATTATTAAGTAGTCAGTATCATATTGGTATTGGTCCTCACAGTGGATGTGCACATGACTTTTTTAATGATTTAAGATGGATGGAAAAACATACAAAATTCCTTTGTGGACTTTTTTACTTAGAAAATCAGCAATCAACTGACCTTCTCTCTTATGATCAGTATCGGCTTCAACGATCAAAAAAATGTAATCTGTCTACCACTATTCAAAACTTATTTGACCATGTTTTTTACTAGCCTAGTACAGAAAGAGTCACTTTTGTCCATGGGAGTCCTGTCTGAAGTCAGGGTGGCTTGACTGTAATTATCAGGGGTCAAGATTCTCATCAGGATCCCTATTTTAATGTCATCATTGTCTGCACTTGTATTGAGATGACCGATATACTGATTCAAGATTAAACAAAGAATTTGAAGTGACTCAAATTTCATTAGAATTAGCCAAAAGAAATTATTAAGTTTCCATGGATACAGTATAACTTTGACATATGAATGTAATTCTCAGATATCTTCAGTCTTACACTATAGAATGATTCAGAAAGAGTGAGTGTCGAAAGGTTTTCAGATGACAAACCAGGCTGCCCTGCTGGGTGTATGACCGTCATAGTGCATGCTGTGATTGAGAACCAGAGTGGTGAGATATTTTTGCAGCATTACTTACTTGTCAGAAGACAAGAAAGAGATAAGAAGAGAGAGAGAGAGAGAGGGCGAGCGAGAGACCATGTGTGCAAACATGCATGCGTGTGAGAGCGAGAGGGAGATTGCTCAGGATTTGGCAGTGGCCCCGCAGTGGGGATGTTTGCTCTTGCTATGACATTTGGTGCGACTTAAATCTGGACACAAATACACACACTTACTAACACATGCACTGAGACACAGATGTGCACACACAGCCAGCAGCAGCAGCTGTAGCAACAGCAAGGCGCTGACAGCCGGCTGGAGCTGGAGTTGGAGCTTTACTCCCTGCACGTGGCACAGGGGACAAGCAGTTTGTTGATGCAGGACAGTTGGATTGACTAAGTGCACACTCGCATACATAAGTACCTGTGTGTATTTTTACCCCAAACTTGTCTGGTAAAGTGTCAAGCGCCTTTATCTTATCGATCGGTGCTAATCAGAGTGAGAGACGGCAGCTTTTCCTCGACTCAATGTCATGGCCACACTGAAGTCGAGTTCAGAACTGAAGCAAAGGAGTGAAGTTTCGCAATGTGTGACTTCTGCCTGTGCATGGTTAAAACACTGCAGCTTTAACTCTATCAGGAAACACAGGGGTGCATTTTTCTGCATGCTCGCATACAAATTAATCCACACAATGCGTCTTTTTTGCTGAATCAAAGAAATTTCAAAACATGCAGAACTTCTCACGTGCACAGGCTCTCCGTTTCCTCACTTATACACATTTATGCAAACCTCATCCCCAGGCATGGGCTATCTAGTGCTGAGCTACTAATGTCTCTCTGGGCTATTTTAAACTGACTTAAAAACTGTGGCTCCCGGGCTCCTGCACCAAGAAGATTGTTGATATTAGCATATTAAGTACTAAGACTTAATAAGGAAAGTGCTCTCTGTAGCTGCAGGTTCGCTAATCGTGAACAAGCTGATCCTCTAGATCTTACAGGTTCCTCACATGTGATGGTTAAGCCCCCAGTTCCCTCAAGACCCACTCTGATCATATTTTGCTGATGCTAGAGGACATATCATGAGAAAACTAGTAGCAAAATTTCATTTCTGAGTATTTCTGCATTCAAATTGCTGTGAATCTCTGGCAGACTCAAACGGCAGGTTCAGAAACAGTGGGATTTTCTACATCACAAATCCAAGCTCCGCCCCTGGCACCCCACTCTGCAGGCCAGACCCCAAGAAGTAGAGAGGACGATGGCAATGTGCAGCAGCAGATTGCAATGCTCGTAGGAAAGCAAATTATGATAGCTTTTATCATGCCCTCAAAGACGTTCGCGTCTGAGAGCTGAATAGCTCCGATGTTACCTGCCACTTCTACTCCACCGGCAATATTAGGCTGCAAGCTTGCATGACGGGGAGGTTGCAGAGCAGTGCTGTCTTCACCCTCAACTCAGAGGCAAATTGCTTATGATCTACTGGAGCTCTGCAGAAGAAAAGCCCTTGAAAATGATAGGTAACGTGATCTAGGCTAAAAACTTCATAATCACAATTTAACGACCACTGAGAACACTTCAAGTAGTAAAAAAAACAATCGAAGGGGGACTTTTAAGCAACAGCATTTCTGTTTACAAAAACAAAACCCAGAAATGTCCACAAGAGATTGTAAGAAATGGACTGTGAGGCTTGGAACCACCTGCAGCCTTGCAGATAAAGTACTGCACCATCAGACAGGACAACAATGGGCTTGGAAGTTCACAGCATGGGCTTTGCGGTGAAAAGAAGCCACAGAATTGTTTCCCTCTTGGCCACAGCTTATTAACTCTCTTGCTTTCTCTCACTATCTTTCTCTCTTGTCCCCTCTCCCCTTTTTCTCTCTCTTTTTTTTTTACACTGCTGGCTTCCCTGGGCCATTTGTCATCACTGATTATGCTGTGTATTGTTCCCTGCTGCACTCCCCACTCTGCACCACACATAACCAATGTTTTTTTTTAACCTTAAGGCTCTGAATGGATAGTTGTGATAAAGTATTTTTCAAAAATGATTGAAATCGATTAAAAATATGCCAACATTGGACTCACTTAAAGACCGCATTTGAACTTTTATCAGGTGTTTTAACAAGACAGGCCAGCTAAGAAAGCCTTGCAAGTTTTGTGTTTGTATCCTGCAGCAAATTTCGTATGTTTTTAGACAGACAGGTGCATTACTCAAGAAACATTGTTTTCTCTGTCTCTATCAGTCTCATTTTTAATGGACTGATTGTTGCTTCCAGGGACAGACACTTGTGTGTTTCTCTCTCCAGTGGATGTCTGAAAAGACTTCACATTAGTGTGCCATACACTTGTTGCTCCAAAAGAGCCTATCCAGACAATAATGGCCGTTTCCATTAAGCTTTTTAGTGCACAAACAGAACCTGCTCTATCTCGCTCTCTTGAACCATAACAGCTACTGTGCACCAGCAGAACAATACAAAGCAAACCAAGCTTTTGTGTGTTCAACCCAGTGTCCCATACATTAATGGTTGTGTGCATAAGGTTTCATATGCTGGTTATTGTTTTCATAAAATCCTTGTGTTTTCTTTACATTTTTTGCTTGTGAAACTGTAGGAGACGGAGTCCATACTTTTTACCTCATTGAGTGTAGGATAGCGAACAATCAAGACCTACTTTGTTTTTCTTTATTTTGCCTACCAAAATTCATTAACAGCTTGTTAGAGAGGTTGCATATTAGACCATATTGCTATGTTAGGTCATGCCCAGGGAGGGACATTCATACATTATCATGTATTATCACTGTTTCCCAGGCTGTTGGTTGTATCAACTTTGAAAATTTGATGTTCGGTGTTTCACAGTCCGTTAGCTAACCACACCAGAGTACAGATAATGTTAGCATTAAGTCACTGAATTTACAGTTGGGTCTAAAAATCACAACGGAAATACAGAAATATTTGCACAAACAAACCACGTACTTTAAACACAAATATAGATTATTAGTAGAAGGGCTAATGTTAATGTTGGTTTGTATTTTAATGCCACAGAAGCCAGCAAATAATACAATAATTATACAACCCTAATGATAAGTTTGACTACTGTGTTGCTGTTAAATGAGTTACCCAGTTGGATTGAAGGTCACAAGTTAACAGCATTACTCCTTAAACCACTACACCAGCAGTCTGCCTTCAATATTATTAGTTTTGATATAGTGAATTCATTTACGATTAAAAAATGATATTACAACTGGATTAGAGCTAGTATCCTCAATGTTAAAAGTAAGGCCCAGTATTAGGTCAAGCATTGTGCATTTGGCCAGCTACCATGATGTAAAGATAGACACCAGCATAGAAATCATGGCCCAGTCTTTATGGCTTTTCACCATCTGTTGTCTTTGTAGTTGTTGATCAATCTGAAAGCCAGGAAAAGACCACAGTTTGTTGGATTGTCATGGTTTACAGTTTATGACCTGGAACGCTGTGATAATGCATGATTACAATGAAAGACAAAGAACAGAGCTTGTCTATTTGTTTTGTTTTGCTTTTAATATTTTTCTTTCTTTCTTTCTTTCTTTTTCTTTTCTTTTTTTAAGGTATTTTTTTTGGGGGGGGGTTGCCGTTATGGATAGGACAGTGTGGAGGACATGCAGCACATGGTCGGAGCTCGACTCGAATCCACGACCGCTGTGAGGATTGTGGTCCCCTTACATTGGGCTCACTAACCCGCTAGGCCATGTGCGTGCCCCGTTCCTTTCTGTTTCACACAATAAAGCTCACATAAAGCTCAGCCTCATTGGCTGATCTGTACATATTATTTTTTCCAAATTACTAATTGATTAATCATTTTCATTGTAGGTTTGAAATATACTAAATAGTGCAAGTGTATAACCTTCCAAATTTGATTGAATCTGACTTCAGGTTTTATCTAGTGCACCAGGCATGCATATCAAACATAGGTGGTAAAAAAGGGAGGAAACAGGGATGTTGAAAATACTGCAGTACTTTCAGGCTGGCCGGAAAGCCAAGGAGTGCTGATACTGCAAAAACGTTCATCTAGAAATAAAAAGCCATCATGATTTCAAATTACAGTAGACAGTTTTAGTAAGAATAGCCCGTTTTTCCATTAATGCACACTGTGTGAGTTTCTTTTAACATATTGAGGTCATCATAAATAACTGAAGCGGCACGGCTGACTTTACTGACAGGTGGCACAATGTTGCTGTGCTGGCTAATGGCCTGCCTTAAATCTGCCTTTTTTCTAGGCGCACTGGAAGTTGAGTTGAGTCAGCATTTCTCATGCGGTAACACCCACTGCTGGGTTTTACAACTCTATGTCAGAAACCAGTAGGGGATGTTCTTAACACTACCTTCATGTTTTACAGCATAGGGCTGTTTTCAATAGGCTAAAGGCTGCTGCTGCCACTGTGGGGCTTCATAACCTCACTGAGAATTCTCCATGTTTTCATTCAGTCCATGGTGCACACAGAAAGACAGGCATAGAAAGGGAATAAACTGATTTCTCTGTTTATTATCAGATTTATTTAAGCAAGATGATGAAGTTGAGTCTAAGGTTGTGTTCACACCTAAAGGTCTGTTTCCTGATTCGAATCCAAGGCAAGACGATACATTTGTTTTGATTGTTTAACTGGTCCGGTTTGAACTCACAAAGGACAAACTCAATCGCCTCAGAAAACGGAACCGGAAGTCCCTTGACTGCGAATGTCATTCGGTTGTTGGTCATTACTTTATGGCGGAATACAAACCCCGCTCTGCTGTCTTCACCTGTCATGGAACACCGTAGGCTGATTTTGCTTTTGCTACTTGTCTGGAGCGCGTATCAAAAGACGCTAGTCGATCACGCGTATGAACGGCTCGCTAGCCAGCGAGTGCAAACTGCGACATTAATTAATACATTCCGGAGTAGATGTGCTGCAAACAACAGGCATTAAACGGCGACAGGCATTAATGACTTGTGTGGTGCGTGTCCTGTGTTAGGTGTGGATGACGTTCACACCAGAAATGAACCGCTCCAGAGTTCACTTAATAGCGGTCTGAGACCACCTCTTCAGGCAGACCAGAGTTCGTTTATTTGGTTCGCACCAGAGTTCGAGGTCAGCGTTCACATCGACCCAAACGAATCACACAAAGGGTTCTGTTCAACCGAACTGAACGAGGGTGGTGTGAACGCGCCTTAAAATTAATGATTGGTTCAATGTTTTGAATTCAAGACGCTTCACTTTTTTCAAGTGGAAACCTGTTGATTCATGAATCAAAGATCAAATATACACTATTTTGTTTAAAAAAATTCATATTTCGTGAACTTCAGGCATCAGAATCTGACCATTCTTTGGTAACGGAAAAGATCAATTTTAATACAACAGTTAAAGGTAATTTCAGAAAGTCCTCAACCGCAGCTGTTCTCTGAGCAACAGCTGATCAGATGATTTCACCGGTCGACCTCCTCACCCTACCTTGTTTTTATTTTGCACTAAAATCGAGCTTATATCCGAAAAATGTCCATTCTGCTGCTCAGGGCTTTCTGTCACCAAGCCCACTTCCTTCCTCTTTTCTATCCCCTGCAGATGGCAGCCACAGTGTCCAGTGCCACAGGGACAACGTGTCCCTCAGGGGCTTAATCCGGTTGCCAGTTTCCTGTCCCCTCCTGCCCCTCTCTGACATCTCCAATGAGTCCTTGAATTACCTCACCGTGCAGTTGTGCTCTTGAATTTAAATCAGCGTGTTTAATTATAGCTTCGTTTTAAACAGGCTCTTGGACCCAGAGGTACCGTAGGTCGCAGCTCCAATGAGATCCCAAAAATTGTTTCAGGCCTGCCTATGTTAGGTTGCCATACTTTCGGGCTAATTAAGAATTTAATTAAGCCTGAGACTAAATGTTAAAGTTAAGCTCATGGGATTAAACTTAAATAGTTTAACAAGGTAGAAAACGCATGCAGTGGTTCCCCCTTTATTTGCGGCTAAAACATAGAAAGTTGTTTCCTGATCTTTCAAACTTTTGTCTCCTTGTGACGAGATATCAGCCGTCACGAACTCCTTTTACTTTAAACATTTTCACAGTCAGGTGAATTTAGCGTCAGGGCTTTGTTGATAATGATTGTGTGTCTTCATGCTTTCTGCCACATCTTGTTCAGACACACACACACACACACACACACACACACACTCCTTGAGCTTTCTCTTTTTCCCTCTAGTTGGGAACGCTTCAAGTGGCAGTGCACATGAATGGCTTGACAGGCTGCCATGGTAACTGCATGGCCAGGACGCAGTCTGGCTGACAGACATTTCCGACGCAGCCAGGCGTCGCCACATTGGAGTTGCCATGACAACTCAGTAAACAGCACGCCCTCCACTCAAACACAGAGAAATTAGTCAGCTTGTAATGTTGAGGGTGTGATAGTTTAAGTATTCATCAGATTATATATAGAGAAAATGAGACTTAAGATACTGAAGCGTGTAATCGTAAAGCTGCTGACTGTTCATATACATGTTCTGTGGGTGTGTGGTCAATTTGACCATGTGCGTGTCCCCCTGGATGCAATAACAAAGAGTGCAGAGGTCCTCTAAGTAGGTCAGTTGTTGGTGTGACGCTGGGTAGGCTTATCTGGGCACACAGTGGTCCGGCTCAGTGGACCAGCTCCCTTTGTTCCACTGCAAGGCTCCGCTTGGTGCTCCCATAGAGGCAGCCAGCATTACTGCAGACCCGGGGTCAGGTCTTTCCAGCAGCACGGCTCAGGGCCCTGTATGCTTCTTTACAGAGATACAGAGGTGATTACTGGCTGTGGGCTGAATGGTCCACGTGAAAATCACTTTTCTTGGCTCATTTCTAATGTTGATTTGGGGGAAAGGGAGATGTCACCCAAAAAGAAATGAGCAGTTGATTTGCTGTAATTCTAATGGTGCTGACTTTTTGAAATATGACAAATCAGGTTTTATTTGCCTCCTCTATGTAAGAACTGCAGTTAACCAGTTAGTCAATGAATAGTACAATTATTATGAAATCAAAATTCTGTGGCAATATCTGATGAAATTTGATCATAGCTAACTTGATAATAGGCTTATAGTTTCTGTAGCAACCGAGCTGCCATTCAAAAACACAGATGTATCCATCACAAGTATTTATAAAAGTCTGTGTAATGATTCAAATCATTTTCCTCTGCACTGGTGTGATGTTTCCATGAGCAACTTTCAATGTTTACCAATTTTGATGAGCAAACAGCAAAGAGAAATATTTAACAACATCTACAGGAACATTCTTATACTGTAAATTATATTAAAAATATAAATACATAAAACGCAAGCAGCTCAATGAAAGAGCACTTAGCTCCTAATAATCAGAATATTGTAACATTAGTATACATGTGTTCATTTTTCAGCTCTGATGCATCAAAATATGTGAAAGGTTCAAATCCAAACTCAAATCTGCTGTCATATTACTGAAACTGCTATCAACTAAAACACAAGATTGGACTTGGACACTCATTTTTAAGTTAAGCATTTATGAAATTTATCTTTTTTTGAGTAAAAGTGTAAAAAGAGAAGCACATGTTTACATAAAATGTGCAGTATTTTTGTATAGGGATTATTAGATTCATTTTAACTTATCTCGTTTATTGTTTTGAACAGATAGAAAAAGAAAATCAAGACCAAAATCAAGACGTGGTTGACAGTCATTGTACAAGTTATCTTACACAAGAGGAGGAGTTTTAGGAGAAGATGATCTCCTCCTCTCTCCTCTCTGTGGAAATGGGACATGTTCAATACCAATCTAAGTGACAGATGCAAATGAAAGGCTGATCTTATGATGGCCCACGTGACTGTAATCAGGTGCATATAAGATGGCACTGTACAGTGTTAGTCTGATGAAGAGCAGGTTTGTTCAAATGTTGCTCAACTGGTGAATTAAACTTCTGGTGTATTGGTGTCCTGCAGTGTGCAGCCGTTTCCTTCTGTCTGTTCACTGCGGTTAACATTTAGCCTGACTCAGCACCTGCCCAAAGGTGGTTTGAATATTTCGATGCATGTTTCATAAATTTTTTGACTTCTTCTGTAAATCTTGTGATAGAAAATTTATCAAAAAAAAAATCAAATGACTTAAGCCATTTCAACTGTTGCAGGAATGACTGACCATACTTGGGTGCACTTAGGAGGATGCATTAAAGCTCCACTAAGGTACTTTGTTAATTTTGGCACCTCCTGTAGGCAAAACGGTACCTGTTTGGATTCTGTCCTGTAAAATATATATATATATATATATATATATATATATATATATATATATATATATTTATACTATTTGTTAAACCTTTTTTTGTATCATAACATTCATTTCATATCATTCTTGATAAATATGGAGCAGACACAACAAGCCATGTATGCCTGTATTTCCAGATATGAACTTTTGGTTTTAATAACTTGACGTCGGTGTACTTCCACACGTAAAATACTGCTTCGGATCATGCCTAATATGCATGTTTAATGTGTAAGTTTTGTATTTCTGAAAGATAAAACTAGTACTTCAGTTCTGCTTTTCTTTGTGGGAGAATAGGTTATACAAATATGTAAGCGTGTGTATCTGTGTTTAAAACCATGATTTGTGTTCACCACATAGTCTGGTCTCAGTTATTGTGCAATTTAGAAGGAGCCCGGAATGTAAAGTGACCTGAATGCCGGTGATGTCAGCCCCTCCATTCATGAAACATGAATAATTGAAGGAGCAGCAGGCTCAGTGCAACAGCACCAAGCAGAGGTGGAATTCAAAGTGAAAGCCATCTCTTTCCTCATTTGCTCCGTCTCTCACTCCCTCCCTCTCTCTATCAGCTCACGCATTCTCCTTCAATCTCCCTCGATCTATTGTGGGTCTGCGGCCGTGAAATTTACTGAACGAGGAGGCTGCTAAAGAAGAAGAGCCTTGCTCGGATACTGGCGGATGCAGTAATCAGGCAGAAGATCCGACCACTGGGGGACCAGAGGAAGAAGAAAATGGAATGGACGAGCAAAGGTTGCCGGAGAGAACTGCTGCTTTTAATCTTCAATTAGACAAAGAAGAAGAGAGACCGAGAGAGTGATAGGAAGGGAGACATAGAGACGCTGCCTGAGCTACAGCTTCGGTGTTTTTTCCTTCATCTGCCAGGAATACAGCTTTTTTCTTCTCCCTCGGCTGCATCCGCTGCCTCCTCCTTTTTCCCGACATCTTCCTGGCATGGTCACGAACGCGTCCACCCTCCTCCCTTTTATCCCCCTTCCCTCTCTCGTCTCTCCTTTACCCCCCCTCCTTCCCCTCCCCCTCCCCCATCCTCTACCATGCTTCATCCACAGCTCCTGCTGCGTGAATGAAGCTGTTTGAAAAGGGCTGATCGCTGCGGAGCGGCTCTCTACATGGCTACAACCAGGTTAGTGCTGTAAATGACAGCCTGCCTACATGCCTGCATTCGGGCAGAATGACATAGAAGCTGCATCATGACAAGTTTCCTTTCTCGGCAATATCAACATGCTCTATTTAGAGGGAGAAACCAAGGGGGAGGGAGCTGCACCTCCGACCACCAGTGCCTCTTTTATGGCAGGTGGTGTTAAGGGCAATGTAAGCTGGTTATTAGGAGATCAGAGCTGGCCGGGGAAGATCAGTGGCCCTAAGCCTGCTAAAGAAAATCTCCCTGCCTGCCTCTACCATCTTTTCCCTCTCTCTCTCTCTCTCTCTTGTACTCCTCCTCCATTCATCTGGCCAGAAACCTGTCTTCTTCTTCAACTCAGAGAGAAAGGGAAAAGTGCAGCGGACAGTCCTTGAAATGATCCGCTGGATGAACAGCTCATTACTGGGGGCTTCCTACGAGGATATGGTGGTATTTGAGTGTGTGTCAACGGCCCACGAAGGTTGTCGCTGCCTGGAGGGCTGCTACGGCGAGGTGTTGAGGGACTCTGTCTATCAGTATGGGTATGGCAGGCTTTTATATGCGTGTGTGAGGGCGTGTGTTGGTGACAGTGTGCATGTGCAGGGAAAGGCTGGGTCGGGTGGGGTACGTTGGGTGAGATTATGCAATATGTCCATTTGTTGTTTTGGTGACTTTGTAGAATCTGATAGATGTATGATGTTGCGAAGTTGATCATTCCAGTGAGATGAGTCTAAAACGTGATATATCCATGCAGTGCGTGGGCGTGTGCTTTCTGTGTCACACGCATGCCCATGTTTATGTCTGCCTGTGACTACTGTATGCGCAGTCCTGTGTGGACATGCGCAGTGGATGTCAGTGAGCGTGGCCATCCTCATGGCTTTTTCAAACCAAGTGGAGCCGAAGAGCCAAAGCCAGATGGGTATTTTCCAGGGTCAGCAAAACAGTGAAAACAAGCGAGGCCCTCAGAAAGGCCCGGAACTCTGTTCTATTGTGTAGCTGAATGATTGGACAGCTTGAGCCGGCTGGATTTAGAGCTTTACAGCTTATTTAAAGAAAGACTGTAACAAAGTGGTGCAAGCAGCATGCTTGTTTCTTTTTCCCTTTTTTTTTTTTTTTTTTTCTCTGTGCTTGACCTACTTTGAGTGACTGTCATGCAGGGATACCGTCTGATCACCACCTTAAAGTCAGCTCCTGTCTGTGTGTGTCTGCACAGGACTCTGTAATGCAGATGAGCTCTGTGCTTCAGCCTCTGGGACTGATGCTTCTCGTACAGTATGCTAATGAGCATGATGTGCTGCACAAAATATGATACTGTTGTGTTTTAATAATCCAGTAGGATATTAACATTGCAAAATACGCTCTGATTTAATGTCTTGATACCAAAGTGGGACGTGCATTTTCATGAGAGATGCACCAATCCATTTTTTTCCGATCCAATCCGATACTGATCCAATACTGCTGTTGATTGAATGAATGAACTTTATACCTTGCCCTGTGAGTGAAGGCATCAGGCTTGACATTAGCCAAATTAACACAGATTTAAATTTACTCAATATTTATTAACAAATAAGAAATTGCACATTTGGAGTAAGACTTCCTTGTAAACATTTAGTGCAAAAGATAGACAGACATAGAATATAGAGTGAATAGAATGGCTGTGTTGCTGTGCGTATCAATTAAAAGAAAAAAAAAGACTCGATTGGAACGCTGGATTGGCGTCATTCAACATATATCTGATGCAGAAAGAGAGAGATGGACAGAGTGGAGATGAAGTGGAAGCAGCTAGAGAGCAGGCAGGTCTATGTCAGCAAAATGTCTGCAGCAGTGATCTAGAGTAGTGTTTCTCAAGTCCAGTCCTCGAGGCCCACTGTCCTGCACACACCTGATTCAAATGATCAGCTCGTTATCAAGCTCTGTAATGGCTTGATAACGAGCTGATCATTTGAATCAGGTGTGTGCAGGACAGTGGGCCTCGAGGCCTGGACTTGAGAAACACTGATCTAGAGGAACTTAAGGCATGATGGTGCCCAGAGACTCTCAGAAAAGACTTTGTATTGGTGACTCTAATGGGACATGACGATTCACTGTTTATGACATAGACAAGGGATAAAGAAGGAGAGAAAGGTGCTCAATGTGCCAGTACTCTGAGAAGTCTAAACCTATGACAGCACATCCTAGAGCTGACCTGACCTGAACCAGCTTTAACTACAAGCTATATTCAGAGGAAAGTTTTGAGCCTATTCTTAAGGGTATAGCGGGTTTCTGTGCCCTGCTACTCCAGAAGAAAGCAACTTGATAACTGAAATCACTCAGACCACTTTTAGAGACTTAAGGTGTGATAAACAGGCCTGCATATTGGGACCACAGTAGTCTGGTGGGGTTAGTCATGACCATAAAGGAGTCATTTAAATTTCTACCCTTAAATTTAATAAGGAGCGAGTTTAGAGAAGCTAACACAGGGGAGATGAGCTCTCTTCTCCTGGTTTTGGTCAGTATTCAGGCTGCAGCATTTTGGATCAGCTGAAGTATTTGTATGCAGGAATTTAACTATCCATCATTAAACTTTAAAAAAAAAACAAAAAAAAACTCAGGCCTCATGGCCCATCATGCACTGTCTGTCACCTCCCCCCCTGCTGTAGTTCCCGCTCAGACAGCATCTCTAACAGCAGAGCGGCTGAAGTATATTTAGTCACTCTCCCTGAATATTTAAACTACTCTGCTGTTCCTTGTTGCTATAGTGATATTCATTCGAAGCTACAGTCCGATTGAGCGTTATAGTTGTATGTTGTAAGTAATAGAATAAATTATAGTTTAAAGTGGAAGCCTGAAACTTCAGATTTTTAAAGAACAAGTATTTTTAAACTTAAAGGACATTTAACAACTTTCATTTAAGGAATCAAAAATGACCAATATGCCATATGTTTTTATTTAAAGACCACAGCTGTCTGTTTTGCTCTCCATCTGAAGGACTCTTTGTGCTTTTTGTCTTATTCTCTGTGCAGTTCAGTCCTGAGATAATGCACCAACAGGTACTCTTACTTGATGTGGAGCTCTCTCAGTGTTTTGTTTCATGAAGCTATTAAGAACAAAGCAGCTGTGGTAGAAGCTTTTGTTTCGTCCTGTTCAGGCCAGCGCCAGCTGCATGTTCCCTCCATCCACACCGCCATGCTGGTTCAAAGAGCAAACAGTGAACGTGTGAATGAGTGATATTGGGCTTAGTCATCCATTTGCTGATGATGGAGTCGTGTCCCTATTGTTTCCTGCGCTGTATCTGGAGCAGTGAGGTGATCTGTGAGTTTTTTATCTGCTAAAAACAACAAGTGGGGGTTCCTGTACCGCATGAAATCCTGTCAGTTTCTACATGGACGGAGAGAGTAAAGTACAAGAGATGATCCTGTCGTTAATGTTCTGTTTTATGTAACACCGTTTTTTGTGTCTTTTAGTTGTGGCTGTGTTACCCAACCTCGGTTTAATCATAAAGTCTATTGCCCCTCAGACAACCTTTAAAGAACTTTATATAAAGCCACTAACTTTATATAATAGTTTAGTTGTCTGAGAGGCACATTAATATTACTTTACTTTATTTCAGACCTGTTAAAAATACATATAAAAAAGCAACACGGGGACAATGAAGCAGAGAAAAAGTCACTACAGTCGAAAGTTTCACAGTGATTGAAACACAAAGAGGCACGTCTTCTTCTGATGCTTCCAAAACAAAAAGGAGAAGTTGTGTCACTTAGTCAGGGTGAGTAAGTGCCATAATGATTTCATTTTCTGAATCAATTAAATGACACATAATTTCAACATAAAGCCTCCCAGTGTGGCATTAAAGGTAGAAATATCATGAGAGACAGAATCAACCTTGGTAATTTGAAGAAGGTTTCACTTGCATCAGTATCTGCTACTTGAAGCTTTTTCATGCTAGCTTGATTGTAATGAGCTGCCAAAAGTGTAGAAGACTATGCTCTAAAAAGCTCCTCTTGGACATTATCCATGCATTTTAAAAAACTTAAATGCCAGCTTGTAAGCTTGTGCATACAGTTTTCAGCACTGGCATTGCAGATCTCTCAGAAGTTAGTCCTGATAATGTGCCACAGAGAATGTACTTTGTCCTCCACACACAGGTGCGTGAGCAGAAATAAAGGTAGCTTTTGATCGTCATTTGCTTTTGCAATCATTTCAACACTCAACTTGACAGCATTACAAGAACAAGTCCTGATTATTTGCTACACATCAGCACTAGGATGTGATTATTAACTTGGAAAATTATTAACTTGGATTTAACCTACATGGATGAATGGCACTGTCAGAAGATAAAAGACTTTTAAATCATGCAAGAGTTCAATTTATGAGGGAGAATCAAATGAAATTTTGATTTATTAGTATTTAGATAGACTGTTTACATGGATAATAAATACATTCTAAAATTCAGTAATGACTAAAGAGAACAGCGGTAAAAGAAAGGACAGCATCCTTCCTAATATTGGTCTGTTGCTGTTCATTTTCAAAGCTGGTATCCACCCATTTGTTTTTGAAACCTAAAAAGTAAGAATAACTTTATTTATCCCCGAAGGCAAATTCATTTGTCTGTAATCTCATTTGTCATCTCTCAAAAAGTCATCTACTATTTATAGTAGAATTGTAAGAATCTTGGAACACCTACTCCAACTTGTGACACTTAAGGCTTTGCCACTGAGAAATGTTTGTCTTATTAAAGGCTTGCCCTTTTTTGTTTTAGTAAATATACCAATTGTCATCAATGTGCAGAGACTGGTTATCTGCTTATCAGCCACCTAATTACCTCTTCATCTCTAATCACCTTTCTTCAACAAATTCCAAATCATATAAGTAGGCTGCTGGGTATCAGGAAGTTTGGTCAGTAGTTGATTCCTCAGGGTGCTGTTGATGATGAATAAAATCATGTTTTACATCCTTCTCTCTCTAAATAATAAAAAAGGATTATAAATGTATAAAAAAGTGCACAACCTGTACCCTTATTGGCAGTCAATCTTTGGCTTCTACAAAACAAATGGGGGTCCCTATGACTTGGGGAAAATCAAGTCTTCTCAACCTCTTCCCACAAGGAAAAACGGACATCAACTTTTGGATGAACTGTGGGTTTCTAGCTTGGCAGCAGCACAGTAAACTATGAGGGCATTTGGAAGCACTACAAGTATGAGGTAGAAGTGTAACCATGATTCAAGATTTCTAAAAAAACAATGTCTTATAGTGGTGCAAAAGACAAAAATGTACAATCCAAAGCACCAGTCTTCATCCACATCACATCTTGTAACAGTTTGAAAATTTCAGTTCTTTCATACTTAATCATGTCAGTCAGGACGAATCATTAGCCCATCCAGAGTACCCAACATACAGAATAATCAAAGTGATCATCCCCTGATCAGTATTAATCAGTATCAGAGGCATCGTAACACACCAGATATGATGAGCTATCCCCCCACATGTGAAGCCTCTGAGTTTTCTTTGCCTTTTAAATTGACGTGGCTTCTGGTGCAGAGAACTGCAGCTTTCAACAGAGGTTGTCAGCGGTGTCTACTCTGATTCAGTGCTTTGAGCCACACTGAGGGCCCAAATGTAACAGTAGATCAGTAATTCATGGCCACTTACAGCAGCCATTGGTTGGCAGTGACGTAATGGCTTGCATAATGCCATGTCAAGTAACTGTGCCTGTCGGGCGCACAGCCACACGGATCACTTACCGAGCCTTTTGTAAGAAGAAGGCTTCTTGCTGTGCCAGTGGTCTGTGTGTGTACGAAGCGAAAATGATCGAGTGCTGGATCAAAGAGGCTACCTTAAAGGCACTGTGTGTACAATGGGAGGACAGGGACTGCCTGTCTTTGAACAACAGTCCTTCAACTTTGCATTTGTGCCGTAAGTGGAACAGAAAATCCCCACGCCACAGTCAACATGTACTTCAGTTTGAGCTTGTAGTATGAAGTGTTATAGTCCTACTTTTATGACAAGAATGATACATCTAATGTATCTCTGTGGTGATGCATTATGGTCATGTTTTTCACAAGGACCCACCTACTTCTATGGAACGACTTGAATCATTCAAGAGGAAAAATGGTGTAATATTCACTTTTTATTTGTGAAAGTCCTCATGTTGTACATCATATAGAACAAACAGCCCAGTAAACATCAAGTCACAGTGTTTTGGTTGGGTATTTTTCCAGTCTCTGGTGCTTTTCTTATTCAAACTGGTGATGCACTCAAAAGCAAACATATTGATTTCTTTTTGCTGTTTAAGTCCTTCACTAGTGAGAAAATACTCAGGTTGTGTCTGATGGTGTCCTGCCATATTTTCCCCAGCTGCAGCTACATTTGTTGATGTTGTGGTTGTTGTTGTTGTTGTTGTTTTCACATATTAGCTTAACTGTTAGTAGCCAGGTTAGCACACAGAGCTTCAAGCCCATTAAGCCTCTGGTGATGTAAGTACGAGTAGGAGAGGATGTTTGCGGAGTGCTGCTGTCCTCACTGATCTCTGGGCTTAACCCACATTGTGTTTACATTGATATATTCAAAGACTATTTTTGTGGTTCATGTAATGCAGTCATAAATAAGCATCCAGGGTTTAACCATCAATTTGTCCAAAGAGATTGTGAAGATTGTGGGTTACATTCTCATCCGACTTTCTTTTTCTGTTTTTAGCACTGCCAGTAACTCAAACAAGAGCACACCTGCCTGCTCGCCAGTTCTGCGTAAACGCTCGCGCTCTCCCACACCACAGAGCCAGGAGGGTGAGAATATGGTCGAGAAGGGTTCAGACCACTCCTCTGACAAATCCCCCTCCACACCTGAGCAGGTTGTCCAGAGAACATACTCCCTGCAGTCAGCAAGAAGCGGGGGAAAGAACTCAAAGGTGAGTGACCTACTTTTGCCTGTTTGACACTTTTCCCCTCGTACCTGATGGATCAAAATGGAAGTTAGCTTTGTAATATGAAAGGAGGAACAATTACACAAGACTTGAAAACAAATGTATTCAGCCCTCAGCACCAAAAGCACATAAAGTTCTATTGAGAGTGCTCAACAGTGAATCGTTTCCTCTGAAAAGATTTGGTGCTGTGAGGCGCAGTTCCCGGTAGAAGACAATCATTGAGCATGTTGTGGTTCACAAAGCTGTTCTAACATTTTCACAGAATTACTGTTGTGGAAAGCTTCACTGTGGGTCACAGTTGTCGATTTCACACACACTGATTATGCTTAGACCAGTCAGGACAAGGCTTGAGTTATCCTCTATCGAATTATGAAGAAGTAGATATTTGATTTACAAGAAAACAGCTTAAAACTGCACATTTAAACATTTTGGAAATGCTAAGAAAATTATATTTGCATCATGTTAGAGTAAAAAAAAAGTTATTCTGATGTATGTTGATGCTGACACAGAGGGAAATAACAAGAGCGAGTATGTAAACAGCTTTAGATAACATTGATGTGTTGTAAAGAGGGAATAAATCAGACTGTGGCAGGGTGATGTTACAAGCTAAGTGTTGAGTTGTGTCTCATAGCAACTTGACAGGGAACGTAGTAACTTTATGATAGTGTAGTGCTGTTTATATGGCGACTCTTTCTGTCATGTGTGCAGCCATTCATAAACTGTGACAGTAAAAGCACGTCAGAGCCGGCCCAGATGGATTCTTTTTCCTCAGTGTAGTGACGCAGCCTGTATGACTGTTTATTGACTTCTGCACACAGATTTGTTACTGGCAGGCTGCTTCTATCACTCTACCCCCTTCAGTAGAGATTGCACCTCCCTCATCATCCCAGACTTTGATTTTTACATCCCATACACTCCCCGGTCTTCAACTCTCTCCTTTCTTTTGTTAACTTTACAAGCTTCAACTTATAAATGATGTTAAAGGTGATCTCAGCTTACTTACTAAGTTTGTCAAAAGGGAATGACTAAATCATGACATGTGTCCACTAATGGCATTTTTGTGTTAGCAGCACCCAAGACCTAGATATCACAGAGCCTCATACTAGTGCTTACTCTGGGTCAGTTATGGGAATTGATTGATTTATTGACTTTATTGAAACAAATGTCGTATGAAGTGGAAATCATTCAAATTCTTTATCAATTCCAATGGATTATTCTGTGACGGGGGGAAAAAAGCGTACCTGCACAGGTTTTGCTACCTTCACTTCCCTGCTGAGACCGGCAAGTCTGGCTTTCTTCTGGACCTTTACAGTTCAGCTGCTCACAGATTTAGCCTCTAAGCTAACAACAGAAATGATGCTACTTCAGTAAAATTTGCCAGAAATCATCACAGTTAGCTGATGTTGGGCAATACGAAAAAAATATTGTATCACGCTGGTGCGCCACGCATCTTTTGGCTCTCATGATAGAGCTTGGCGTGTTTCATCTTTTCATTGGTGAAAGAGGTCGCTGATGTTTCCACCTCCAGCAACAACAGCCACATGACACTCTTAGTACAGTATTGTTTTTTGATAATTCTTTTTTAAATCCGAAGAATCTCCAGACAATCGATGTCGCGACTCGCGCCCTTTTTCAGAACAAGTTCTTCCTCCCCTTCCTCATGTTGGGTGGGTTGGGCTGCCTCTGTTTGCTCGGTACTGCCTCTAATCTCCGCCATGACAACCACCAGTGAAGCTGTTTCTTCTTCGTCGAAACTAAGCCAAGCTGTCCGCTGGACACCCTGGTGATTATTGGGAATGCACCCAAACTTGACCAATCAAACTAAGCGAACAAACTCCGCACGACATGCTAGTGAACATAAGGAAACGCACCCAAACGGATGCGCTCTGGCTTTCCTGTTAGCAAGCGTAGACAACTGCACACTGACTCAGAGAGATGCTGCAGACATCTGCTCTCTCTCTCTCTCCGGTATAAACGATACAGCAAAATTTCTACCGGTGGACACTTTTGTACCGTCACACAGTATATACCGTAATACCGCCCAACACTACAGTTAGCCTTTGTTGTTGAGGGACTGGAACTGGACAGTTTGAAAATAAAGTCCCTGGATGTTGCTTAATTAACAGAAAACTGTCAGTCTCACACAGCAAGTGGATTTTGGTAGCAAGTGAATTTAAGCTACACACAATAGTGGTTTGGACCACTCCTGCCATCTGACCGGCATGATTACCTCTCTAACTCTTCAACTCTTTGGTTGTCATTCAAACTGACAGTTTTTTGCAATGTGCCACATTACTGTCTTGCAAGTGATTAAGTGGCAGGCATCGACAAAGAAACCCTTTAGCATACAAACAAATGATGTCAATGGCTCAAACTCATAGGAACCAGTTCTCATCTGGAACAGGTTCTCAGTTGCCATCCCTAGTCCCATGGCGCTCTGGCTTGCCTTGTCGTGACTGTCAAATGTGTTTTAAATACTTATGCTTCACTTCGCTCATATTCGATAGAACTTCACAAGAAAAATGGAAAAACAATCAACAAAAATTGTGTGATAGGAGTTTCAGCTCTAGATCTGGAAATCGTGGTTACAATTACAAATACTACAAGGCCTAAGCACCTCATGTATAGAGGCTATGATCTCTGTGGCAGCGGTTGGCTAAGTTCTCCACCCTTTGCTTCATATCTTTTCCTACCCTCTACTCCGCATGTTTTCTGTCTCTCTTGAGCTGCCTTATCTAATAATGGCAAAAATGCTTAGAAATTTATCCCTGAAAGAAAGACGTTTGATTGGCCAGTGAAGTAGAAGTGACATCAAAGGTTGGATAGTGTCCTTAAAGTCGAACTATTTTCAACCAAGTGTGCTGTAAACCAAGGATGTATTGGTCTCAGTTGTTTGGTTTTACTGTGAAGCTGCAGACCGTTTCCCACCTGGTGGATAAATAAGGTTCATTCGTTCTAAAATGACATTGTTTTTGACAATAAAGTTAATGCTGCTAGCATAAAAAATGCCAAAAGTGGACACACGCCCTAAGAAATAAAATTAAAAAAAATGCTTCAAAAGATAGAACAGCTACTTGGTGTGAGGGTTTGTGGACGCAAGAGTCAGCGTCATTTTATTTTAGACACTTTAACTTTAACCCCTGTACGATGGGTACATCCAAATCCCAAATGTCACAACACTTCGCACACAGACATTTGCCAACATTGTAAAGATAGTGGGTAGCTTGTTTTTTTTCGTAGCAACATTTATTCCAAGGTGTTTTCATAAACAATGAATTGATTAGTTTGTAATGTTTTCACCTACTTGTTATAGACTTCATGTCATGATTTAGTGATGTACTAGTGAAGGGTTGACAAAGTTATAGTTGTTGGTTGCAAATAGTGATTATGGTAATAATAGGATATTTTTTAAACCCAGTTGTTTTGCTGAAGTTTAGCCTGCTTAAAGTGTGTTTCTTTAACTATTTGACTTAGGAGTGTGTCTTTTCATGACTGATTTAAACCAGCAAAAAAAAAACAAATGGAGCACAATAGACTTTAAAATGAAATACTTCCCTTGTTTGGCAGGTTGTTGAATTTTTTGCAGTTGATGGATCTGCTTTAGCGCTTCCTTCTTACAGAAACAGCTGTGCATGCAGAACTTGGTAGATAGGAAAGCGCAGGGATAATGCTGTTATATATCACACTTTTGTTGAATAATGCATAGACGTGGATAGAAAAGGATGAAAACACAACAGTTCCTCTGTTGTTGCGGTCCCTGCTGTCATCTGCATCTCTTCTTTACAAATGAACTTGGTGATGAACTAATCTGTCAGCTTATTTCACACAAAATGAGCATGTGGCTCTAATGTTTTGAATGCTCAGCACTTCGACGGGCTTCCAAAATGTTAGAAATAAGCCATGTCACTAAAATTTTCATTTACCAACTCATTCTGTTCTCATCCGTCTGACATCATCTGCGTTTTTTTTTATTTTAATTTCACAGTTTTTTGTCTCCACAACAAAGTGTGCACGCCTTTTCTCTCCGCTGCTGCTGCTACATGCCATGTGATAATGTGTGCCATCTGATAATGACTGTTTCCGCTCTTCTGTTTGTACTTTCAGCTGTTTCTTCTGGCAGTTGATTTCTTTTTTCTTTTCATTTTCTCTCTGATTTTTCTTTGTTCTTCTCCTGATTGCATGCTAGTCTCACAAGCGACTATCCAAAGTAAGCATTACTCTTTTTTCTGTTCTTCAAATATTTCTGTGCCCACCTCCCCTCTGCCCCACCTCCTGTCTTGTGAGCCGCTCTGTGGAAATGTCCGAACCCTGTTTGCAATGCTACACCCGAAACCCTACAGCTTGATCCTGTGCACACTGCAATCGCAACGAGCCCCATCTGCACCCTCGGTCACAGCAGATGGACATTTCTTAAAACAGACAACCCCACCCAGCCACACTCGCTCCCTTCCCTCCTTCACTCTCTCCTTTCCTCTCCTTCCCTCTCCTCTCCTGGTGATATGCAATGTAGCAAATTCCTCATTTTCTTATAGCCTGTAAAATGAAATCTAAAACCAGAGAAAAAGTAAACCAAAAAATGCAAAATCGAGTATATTTTGTGTAATTTCGCAAGATTTAAAATGAATGTATGCATCTTATTTTATACCTCTTTCCCTCTGCTCTGGCCCGTGTCCCACCCCTCTCTTTAAAGACATCCCGTTGTTACATTTCAGTAATGAGAGCTTTATATCTGTCACGCTGCGCAACTGCCTGGTTGCAAAGGGATAAACTCTTAAAAATCCTGCCAGCATCTCAAGCCCAGAGCTGCAGGACCAGATCATTATTTTAGCAGCGCCTCTGTTGCCACATGAAAGGATCCCCTTGCTCTTGTTTTCTCGCACCACATGCCCAAAATGCCCCTCCTCTTTCTGTTAATTTACTGCAGGCAAGTGTCACATTTTAGCGCATCGTTCATATTGTCACTCCATCCATCCAATTTGCTTTGTGTCGGTCCTCATTCCACTTTTTTCTTTCTTTTATTTCACTCATTAAATTAAGAGTAAGCTTTCCCAACAGTCAGTCCGTAGGCTCTCGTTTTGCAGACCCCAGTAAAGGTGGGACAGTCATATATAGCGAGGAAGTAAATAGAAGGTCGCTGTGGTTAGAAGCCTCATGATGATCTGTTTGCCACTCTGCAGTATGCAAAACCTATTTCACATACGCTCACACACACACACATGCACGCATCAATTGATTACATCACTTTTCATTTCTGTGCCACACTCAAAGCCCCCACCCCCCACCCCTGCCCTGTTGCAATCCCCCCACGTGAGCCTCCGCAGTCAGCAGCGGTCACATGACCCCAGACATGGCGTGAGGTCCTTCCCACAACGTGAGCTTGATCACCCTTGCCCTAATGCAATCCAAATAAAAGAGGGCATTCAGCAAAAGAGGTGTCATCATGCCTCCCTGCAGGAAGGGCTGTATGAAAATGACAGTCAGACTTATGCATCATGTAACATACAAGCGATCATAAATCCAGAGTCTGAATAAGCAGCTCGTTATTGTCGACCAACAGAAGACCTCTGGAGCTATGTCACTGCTCTGACAGTTTTTCCTCAGACTTCATAATGAGTCACAGACTCAGCAGACCGCTGTTTCTCCTCTCTCATTTTCTTTGTGTTCATGTTGCATACTGCTTTGGTTAACATTTTGTTTTCTCTTTAATTTTCTTTCAGTATGACAGACTAAACCTGATTAAAGTAAGCATTTCTTCTTGTTTTCATTTGACCCATTGACAATCCCCGCTGGCCCTTATTAATCCCCCGGCCCTCCACTTCCTCTGTAGACGTGGGATTGTAGGATCCCTTCGTGACAGTTTCAGACCCTTGTGTTTTTTCCCAAGCTTTCCATCCCCTCAATTAATGTGGAAGGACCCTGATTGTGAACTATGAAAGGAATGTCTTATAACATACTGTAATTATTATTGTATAGCATCTGTTTCATGTAAAAGTTAGTTGTTATCTGAAAATCCAGACATTTTAAAATGGAAGAGACTGATCATTCTGATCTCCTAATAGTTTGCAGAGACAAATCAGGTTGGTGGGATTTGAACTAGGGGTGTCCCGATACGATATTGATGTCAGATATCGGCCAATATCAACAAAATATCAAATATCAGATTATATCGGCCTGTATCTAGAATTTCCTACATCAGCACTTCGATACAAGCAGTCCATTCCAAACTCCGCTCCAGCACCTCTATCTAGCAGCACCCGGATCCAGCATGTAGAGCCCATGTGATCACAACAACAGTGTGTACCAAGTTACTAACAAAGTAGCAAGGAGTAGGAGTGATGTCGGCAATGTGGCACTAAAAAGACATTGCAGCTGAGTACAAAACTTATCATACACATGTTTGCGCTAATATCGGATCAATATTGGTATCGGACAATACTGAAGGCTATAATATCAGTATCGTATCGGAGGTAAAAAAAGTTGTATCGGGACACCCCTTATTTAAACCACTTCCTGTATTCTTGACTCTCCAGATGAATATTTTCTTCAACTCTTTTGATTCAATTGTGATGACAAGACAGCTTCAGTATTATCGGTGCTGATAATGATCATTAAAATAATCGATTTATTGGCAGGAAAGTAAACTTTTTAAAACTTTTTCAAAGCACCTCTTTACAAGACAGTCTCTCTCTCTCTGTCCTGTTATTACTAGTCATGTGCAGCCACACAAAGTCAAGCACAATAGCGCTGCACACCTTATCCAGACAGTGGCCTCAGAGTAATTCCTCTCTCGTGTCTCTGTCACCTTCAAATCAGATTAGCCCACATTAGCTTAGCTTTCGTCACAGCTAGGCCTCAGCCTCGCCACTGCAGCTCATCGCCCGCTTTCATCATGCAGACGACGATAACCACCAAACCCTGTCAGGCACAGAGAAAATACTGGAAACACGACGAGGTGTTTAGGGTTTTTAAAGACGACGGGTTCAGTGAACTCAGCTACAATAATGCTCTTCATCTTTAGGTTTAATATGATTTGATATAGAATTATCTGACAAGGGCTTATCAACAGGCCCAACCAATCATCTTGATAAGTTTTCAAAAGTAAAGTACAACAGAGTTTCTCATTTTTTGAATTTGGTACCTTTGCTTATGGCGCTACTGGAATCAGACACTGGATATCACCCCTCACCCCTCTATGTCTTCTCCTCCCTCTGACTTTCTTCTTCCTTCTAAACCCTCTGAATGATCACCTGCATGTTTCTCCTCTGGGACTTTCGCTCTAAGACTGTTAGAGTGGAAAGTGTGGGGTTTTTTTGTGGCTGGGAAATGTCTGATGTCATGGTTAAGGATTTAAGATATCACTCTGCTGCCCTCTGCTGTTACAAAACCCCAAAGCCAACAATATAAGAAGCGGTTTTAAACCCAGCCTGAAATATGAGCGTTAACAAGAAAATGTTGATTTATTTAATATGGTTTGGACCATTAAACCATATCTTCACATGTATGTTCCTTCTCAGGAAGTAGGTTTTTTATATATATATATATATTATGAAATATGGAAAAAAAAATTCTCAACTCAAAATTCTTATCTTGAATATGTTCACATTCATGCTGCAGCTTTTTATTAAACTTTTGGACGAACAGTAAGATTAAAAGACATACTGTTGGGTATGTGTGGAAGAAAAACACAGACACAAATGTCTTGTCCATAAAGGAAATGTTTTGACATGACATATGATTTATGTAGCATTCAAATGAAAGGACTACAGGCCATTTTTATGTCCATTTGTCTGTAAATGTTGAGATAAGAAAATTGATGAGAATTTAATGCTGCCTTTGTGTCAGCAGTGAAGGTCCTCACTGTTAAATGACCACACAGTGCCTAGCTTTAAAAAAAAAAAAGTGTTCACAGTTTCAATAATTACCTGCAGTTTATGATATAATGCGCAGTAAGAACTTACCACACCCTCTGTGTGTCTATATAAGCCCACAAACCTGCTGCATCTTCTCAAAGTTTCTCTGAGTGATTAATATCCTCTTTTTCTCTTTCTCTTTCCACAGAAGAGCCAAAGCTGGTACAATGTAAGTCATGTCTTTATTTTTTATTCCAGTTTTCAACATATGTGATTTTTCAGGTGTGCTTTTGCGACTTCATGTAAAGTCATAGACTTCTTTAAGTCCCTTGGAGTTGATCTAGTGTCAGGTGCTGCTTACGTGACCAAAAGGTTGTTGTCCTTGACCCTGTTTACTGGAGCACCAGTTCACTTGTGTGGGTCACTGGTCCTCCAGGCAGGGATTAACATGGGTTTAATGGAGCAACGGGTAGACCTTTGTAATTCAAGAGAGCAAGGTGACTGAAAAATGAGAGTCTAGCAACATTTATTATGTAACATCAACACTCCTGAGCAGATCATCCTGTCATCAAAACTAAGTATTGCAGTTTTCTGTTTGGCCACAAGATGGTGTGCTAGCTCTGTTTTTGTTCCCATCATAATTCCTTTAGACGTGGGCAGTAACCAGTAACAACAACTTAATATTTTATTAAAACCTTCTTTAAAGAATCAAAAAAAGGGTGCCTGCTGTGTTTATTAAGCCCATGGCAGTGTTGGACTTAACACCATTCAGTGTCGAACCCTAGTATCTCCAGATGTGTGTTTATTGGACTTTTTCCCATTTTGTGTTGTTTTATTTCTTTTGTTTTATTCCCTGTGTGTACATTCTTCCCCCTCTCTCCCCAGCATGAAAGACAACACATCCTGAGAGTAAGCATGACTTGTATTATTGTGCAACCCCAGGGTATTTTTCTGTCTCTCTCGCTCTGTACTTAAGTTCTCAGACCACTCGAATGATAATAAACCTCCTGCCTGTTTCTCATTCCATTGACTTCAGTCAGTGCTGTTACCACCTAATGGCAAAGCTAAACTTTAGAGGGAAAAACACTCACTTATTATTCTAAAATATGTCAAACTTAAGTTTTCTTTAATTTTCTGTAATATTTCAATTTCATCCACATTATTATTGATATTAAAGTTGTGTATAATCTGTCAGTCACGTTGTTGTAGCTAAAGTATGGTAACAATTTCAACCTCTAATTTTGGCTCACAGCAGGTGGTAACAAGCTGTTACTCACTGAGTTTCTCACCTCACTAAACAGATCAACAAACCGTCATAAGGGCCGCTGGACGAGCCTTGAATTCCTTTGAACAACAGGAGTATGGAGCATGCTGCTTGAAGTCGTGGCATGTTACCCTGCAGCCTGACTCTATTTTTGTGTCCTTGTTCCTAATAATTATGGAAACTCTGACTTAAAGGAGCTTGGGTTCAGGTATTCATGTTAGTAAGATAGAAAAGAGGCTTGGTCCAAATAGTCCTGACAGCTTTTTTTTTTTTTTAACACTAATGCTTTGAAGTATTACTATATAAACAACTCATATTCCTTCTACTGACCCTTTATCAAGATCTGAGTGTCACAAGATATAACTTCTAACAAATGTACATGTCTAACATGGAAATTTCCTGTCTGAGTGTAGAGTGTACTGTCAGATACAATATGTAAAATCTCATCAAAAGAAATTCCTGCAAATCAAATCTCAATTTATTGCCTAACATGAAATGCAGAAGAAATTTTTTAAAGCATAAAAACAGTGAGCTGCATTGAAGACACAATATTTGCCCCGATAGTTAGCCATGTCTGATAATCAGTCTACCCTGAATAGACACATCAAAAGCCCAAAAGATATGTTAGTAGTAATGTGGCTGAAAATAATTGTAAAAGTAGGGTGACCATATTCTGAATCCCCGAAAAGAGGACATGACTACACAGGGGCGGAGTCACGGAGTCGTGCGTTGTTAATTTTTAGTGTTTTTCAGGTTGGATTGAGTGTTTTTATGCGCTTCTAACTTACTAAGTCCATGCAACACAAACTCAAAACTTCCATACAAAACCCCAAACATTTATGCGATTTTATAAACTCCCTCAGACAAAGCAGGACAAAGCCAGACAGCCCCCCCAAAAAGAGGACATGTACAGTTAAAGAGGACGTATGGTTACCCTAGTAGAAGTTATTTGAGAATTGGATGTAATGTGGTACATTCAGAAACTCAATCAACAGAAATTAATAAGTTAAATGTATCCAAAAGCTACTTGAACAATTTTAGAGTGTAGTTGGTTGTGCACCTCTACACGGCAATGATGACCTCCCATGGCACTGAACCCACAATGATTGACAAATCGATCCGTCCTGATATGAGTTCTGAGCCTGTTCAGAGATGTGCACACTGCCCGGTGGCCATCTTCCTTCAGCGCCTTTTCGTTCGCTTTGCATCTACACAATTCGCCGCAATGTCTCTGTGGCAACTAAAACCGCACGCTCATGTAAAGTTAGCCGCGAAAGGAAAAATGCAAACCATGTTCCTCTACCCTGCGATCGATGCGCACGTTAGACATAAATGATGGGATTGTTTCTAACAGGATGGACACACACCTCTATCACTCATCCCCACCCTCTTAAAAACACATAAACCCCACCCTGGATTACTGTACCAGTTCATCCCATCCCCTATTGTTTGTCAAGCGGGTTAATAATCAACTAGATCCATAAACACAGCGTATCAGCAGTCCCACCTCATTCCTTCTATCAGACTGTCACCTGAGCGCTGGACGCCGCATCTCTCACAATGACCTCTTTCTTTGCTTGGTATGTTGGAGAAAGTGAAGCGAATGAGCAAGAAATAAAAGTCTACTCTCCGCTCTTGGAGCCTTGGAGTCCCGTCTGTTTTTCCCCTCTTCACATTGTTTCTCTAAAGTCTTGTTAAAGTGGAGATTGGGAAATAACAGCAGAGGAAATTGCTGAGTTCCGGTGTACTGATGTGGACCACACATGAGCTTTAGCCACGCTGGTTTTATTTCTGCTGTGTTTTGAATTGTGGACATGCACCACTATATCCACCTTCTTGACTGCCGACATATTTTTAGTTGAGAATAGTAGGAGGGAATGTACACGGTTGTTTTTATAGGGCCGCTAAACTAGCAGCTGTAACAGTGGGCGATCAAGTATCAGTGCTGCGTGAATGACCGTGCCTTTTTTGTGTTTTTGCACTTATACTTTGGATTTCAGCAGCTGGTCATTCATCAAAAGAACAATACGAGATCAACAGACGAAGAAATATTTGCGTCGGATTGTTGGTCAAGCTGCTTAACTCTTTAACCTGAGCTCTGGACTGCAGCCCCATGCAGACCCCGTCAAGATTGATGGTGTTGTTTTGCAGGCAGAGGTAACTGGAGGTTATGCTCACATCTGTTCTCTGTAACTCAATCACTCAGTCAGACAGCAAGACGGACTCAACACACACTTCATCAGCCTGGAACACATTGGTGGATACTCTTCTATTTGCCTCGGGTTTTCATCCGTCTCACTGTATCTCCTTTCATCCCAGTGTTATCTTTTGTTTGCATTAGTCAGCCTCTCCACAAAGTAAACTTGCCTCATTCTTTGCTAGTCGTAAACTTGGTAATTGCAAAGCACTCAGGCCTTGACAGCACTGCACACACACACACATACACACACACACACACGCTTACGAGGAGGCGTAAGCAGAAAAAAAGGAAAAAGCTACTGGCATGATAATAAAGGACTTGTTGGCTGGGGTTACTAGAGGGCAACGGCCGTAACTCCTCTCCCTGTGTGTGAAAGGAAGAGAGAGAGCCAGAGAACGACAGAGCAAGACGAGGATCATGTGGCTGGAGGGTGCCGTGTCCACCACTTAGCACTGAACTGGGAATCAGGGGGCGGGTGCTGCAGCTTCCAAAACCACTGGATTCACAAGCTCTGAATACTCTTGTTTTCCAAAAACCCACTGTGACTGACAAGTCCTCCAGCGCCACAGCAGCCCGTTCGGGGGGCTTGTTTTGGAAAAATCGGCCACAGCACAGGCAACCGAAAAGGATCTGGCGCCCGTGAGTATGGAACCGTTTGAGGATTGTACGATGGCAGACTGGGAGGCCGTGTTGGAGCTGGATGAGGCGTTGGCAGGGTGGCTTCTGCAGGGACCAGCAAGAGGGGAGTGGGGTTGGGAGTGGGGCTGGGCTGCTTCGGACCTACAGGACCCAGAGTGGGACACAGAGGAGATTCCTGCTGTAAGTTGACCTCCATCAAACTGAAAACCATCAGAAGAGGAATGAGCAAAATGATGTGGAGAAAAAGAAAAAGAAATATCGTAGTCTAGGTTGTTAATTTTTATTCTTTTTGGAGAGTAAACTCAGAAAGAGTGGACGGGGGAAAAATGGTGTATCAAGCTGCTGGGGTACTTCCCCACTACCAAAGAAAACAACTGGTATGAGTATGAGTCATAGCTGTTTGAATTCTGGCTGAGCTCATGGAGACCTGATGTTTGGACTGTGAGTCGGGTTACTGTGAGAGGGAGAGGTGTGTAGCGGTCATGGATGAAGCTTCCAGAAAGAAACATCTTGAGCATCTGCGGTTAGTTTATTCCACATAACTAGTGAGGTTTCCCTACAGAACTTTTTCACTCTTCACAAAACTTTGAAGCCAAGTTTAACCAGAATCATTTACCTCTGCATTGTATTTCTGTATCCTCAACTTTGTTTGTTTTACAGGGGGTACATTTCATGGTTTTTGACGCAAACAAGCCGTTCTTTTCCCACCAGCCCTGACCTAAATATTTTTTTTTTCCCTTTTGTCTCAGTCTACCTCTTGTTACAGTATTGGCAGCTATTGTTTCCTGAAGCTTTCCTGTTGAAGGAAAGCATCTGGCACAGACAGTGAGAGCTCTCACTTTGGCACACATGCAGAGATTTTATACATCAGAGGGTTTCTCTCAGCTAATAATCGAGTCTGCCGAAGCCAAAATGAAGAAAAGTGTGATTATGCTGAATAGGATATCACTCTCAGGCCAGAGAGAAAGCATTCATTAAACCCTGAACTTCTGGTTTTTGTTTGCACTTTAGGTTTCATCAGCAGCTCTTCTGGCTCTTCTCACTTTAACAAAAGCCTCATTGTGTGACACATGTTGCTCTGTTAGACAAATCTGAGAATGTGACTCATATTATAGTGCTCATAATAACAGCAGCATGATAAGTAAATGACCTGCAGCGGGCTGATGTCTTGGAATTGCGCTTTGAGTATCATTAATAAAGCAGCCTTTAAAAAAAACAAACTCCACATACCTCTGCTTGCCATTCGCTACACCTTCATTTTTTAAGAGCCTGTCAAAATCACCCACAGAGCAGAAGCCGATGTGTAATTCCGAGCTAACCATCCATCCTAATCGAACCTGTGGGCGGTTTTAACATGGTTAACCCACACGCTCACGGAAACAAATAACATGCACTGCTCCAGAGAGTCGGCACTTGTGAGTGAGAGCAGACGAGAGAGCATGAAAAGCGTGCGTTTTTGGACATGTGCACGTGTGTGGTAGTGTTTATAAATTTGCCTGTCGCTGCAGGTGCTGAGCCCGACGTACAAGCAGCGCAATGAGGACTTCAGGAAACTCTTCAAGCAGCTCCCTGACACAGAGAGACTCATTGTGGGTGAGTGGGCAACATAGACAAACAGAGGCTAACTGAGGACTGGCTGGGTGAAGCTAAGCTAAGCTACCATACACCTTCTGTTGCTTGATTTAGAGGTACTTTTAACCTGAAAATGAACTTTCCCAGCTGTCATAGCTCCTTCCTGCACTCTGCCATCAATACACGGTGTCACAAGTTAAACAGATTTGTTGATGCATAATTCTCCCAGCTCTGGAATGAATACTGTCTCTGTCTAAAATGCCCTGAAGAATAAATTTTGAGGGTAAAAACCAAGCTCGGAGTCTGAATTTGACTTTGTTTTGGCTTGTTGACGTGGAGTTGACCACTAATGAGTGTGACACAAACAGGACTGGAGTGTGCTGCAGTGAAGTTTATTTGTAGCAACGCTCTTAAAAATGCCTGTTAGCATAGATTGGATCATTGGATAATAGCATGTTCCCATGTGTGACCTTTTGATGCACACACTTCAGTAAGCAGTTGTGTATCTGTGGGAGAAGGTTTCTGTGTGGCAGCGTTACACACAACACTAAACACTTTTTCTCTGATCATGTCTTATCCTCTTGTTCCAGACTACTCCTGTGCGCTTCAACGGGACATCCTACTGCAGGGACGACTCTACCTCTCTGAGAACTGGATCTGTTTCTATAGCAACATCTTCCGTTGGGAAACCCTGGTGTGCAATTTGACACTCAGTACCTCTTTTTTTTCAAGCTGGTTGAGGTTATAATGTAGTTTTATTCGTAATAATTGCGTGCGTTTGTTTTTGTGTGTGTGTGTACAGCTGACAGTGCGGCTAAAGGACATCTGCTCCATGACGAAAGAGAAGACAGCCCGCCTCATTCCCAATGCCATCCAGGTCTCTACAGACACTGAGAAGGTAAGGACTTAGACTGTAGCTTTAACTCACACAGAGAAGTCACTAATATTGTTATACCTACAACCAGAGAGGGAATATCTTTAAGACTTAATCATCTCCGTCTAAAGAGGCAGTTAGAGAGCCTTGTGGTACATCGTCTGGTTGGAAAGAGATTGATGAATTCATCTTTATGACCAACAGGGGGAGCATTTTCCTGTTACAAATTGGTGACCGGAGAATAGTTGGCTTGAAATGAATGCTGCATCATGACTGCAAAAAATATGTCACTGCAAATTATAATAATCCCACATGGACAACCCTTTGAAAACTCTCTTTAAAAACGGCTCTGTGAGGGTCGTGTCGTTTAATTTCAGTGCCAACAAGACGTGGACTTAATCACCTCATATTTCTTGCAGCACTTTTTCACCTCATTTGGAGCCAGGGACAGGACCTACATGATGATGTTCAGACTGTGGCAGAATGCACTCCTGGACAAGGTGAGCAAATCGGCCTTAAGTTCCCTCTTATTTGATAAGTTAAACTGCATCACTTTGTAGTTTTCTGATCTCTCTCTCTCTGATTGGTCGATGCATCCTGCAGCCCCTGTGCCCAAAAGAACTGTGGCACTTTGTTCACCAGTGCTACGGCAATGAGCTCGGCCTAACAAGTGACGACGAGGATTATGTTCCGCCTGATGATGACTTCAACACCATGGGGTAGGTCTTTTTATACACCAGAATCAGTTACTATGGTTACTCTTGAAAACAAATCTCAGTTCACTTATTCATACCCAGTTAGTAAGGTCATTTGAGAGTTTAGTAAAAGCAGCATTTCATGCAAATTTCGGTTTCACCTACTAGCCAAGCTGAATAATACGAGGGTGAGCATACGTCCTCTTTTACCCAGACATGTCCTCTTCTTGGGGGGTTATCCAGGCTGTCTGGCTTTGTCCGGGAAGTTTATATAATCCGTCAAATGTCTGCGGTTGTGCTCGGAATTTTCGAGTTTGTGTCACGTGGACTTACTGAGTTAGAAGCACGTAAAAGACACTTGATCCGACACGAAAAACTCAAAATTAGTTTTGTGTGAAATTAACCTCCATGACTCTGCCCCCGTGTAGGTGTCTCTTCTTTTTGGGGAGTAAGAATGTCGTTACCCTAAATAATACCAATTCAAAAAGTGAGAAGAACTCAAATGTTACTCTTCTGTGGCTCTGTCAGGTTTAGTGAAGAGATTCCCAATGAAGAGAACGAGATCAACAATGACAACTTGTCGAAGGGCAGCGCTGAGGCCAAACCTGAAGGGAGCCCACCACTGTTACACAAGAAGGTCATCCCAAACAGCACCATGCCCAGCCCAGGAAACCAGGACCCGCCCATCACAGTAAGTGCACTGAGTATCAATGCCGCGTTCCAGTTGTACTTGAAAGTCGGGAATTCTCGCGCTCCAAGTCGGAAATTCATCTGGAACACCCCCCGAAGTTGGATTTCCGACTCAGAAAGTCAGACAATCTTCACCAACCCTGACTTGACAACAATGACTTGGCAGCGCAGTGCATCAACAGTAAAGAGTAACAGTAAAAGCTCTTGTAATGTATTTATTAGCACTTCTGTTTTGTTTTTGTGAATTTAAATAAGTGGTATGTGTTGTACTGCCAAACGTCTAACTTTGAACACGGTGCTATGGTGTTTGTAAGAGTAAAATACTGTGTTATGCGTTGTTTACAACTGGTATAGCCAACAACAACCAACAACGGCTAACAGTAGACGTCCATCTTGGTATTCCGACTTGTTTACTGGAACGCCATCAACTCAGGTGTAATGTCATTCCCAGCTCCGACTTCTGAGGTAACTGGAACGCAGCTTAAAATCTAGACCAGATCAAGTGCAACACCTCTGCAGGTCAGCAGAAATAGACCTTTCATTATCAAGAAGTCACAATGTTTTTCGTTTTCTCCGTAGTTTGGCCTCCCATCAGAAGAGTACGCTGACTGCCTACCAGATGGTGAGCTGCTTGCTGTGCCGCTGGTTGTGGAAGAGAAGAACAATGACACAAGTGGACCTGGTGGTCCTGTACCCTCTCCTTCTCTGGACTTCAATGACAACGAAGACCTCCCAACAGAGCTCAGTGACTCCTCTGAAACACATGATGAGGGTAACTCCACAGAGCAGATTTCATATTAAACACAATCTAGTTGACATAGTTCTACTTTTTTTAGCCCATTAACCCAAGATCTGATTCGTCATCTGTGCATCCTCTCATCATGCAGGTGAGGTACAGGCCTTCCATGAGGATTTGAACGGCAGGCAGCACATCAACGAGGTCTACAAGTTTAGTGTGGACAAGCTGTATGACATCCTCTTCACAGAGTCGCAGTTCATGAGTGACTTCATGGAACAAAGACGGTTCACCGGTGAGTTTATAAAGATGGTAAACTGAATATAAAAAGGTCGTCTGTTGGCTTTATTATTTCAATCATGATTCTCAACTTCATTATTTTGCTCTTCAGATGTGGTGTACCACCCGTGGAAGAAGGAAGACGCAGGAAACCAGACCAGAGAGATCCTGTACACCATCTCGCTTTCCAACCCCCTGGCTCCAAAAACCGCCACAGTCACTGAGACACAAGTACAGTGAAACCCCACACACCAGAAGCATTTCTCATTATCTTTGTTTCTGTAAGGTTTGAGAAAGCTTTACTAAAATGTTTTCCGTCTTTCCCCAGACTTTATACAAAGCCAGTCAGGAGAGTGAGTGCTACATCATCGACGCTGAGGTTATCACACATGATGTTCCCTACCACGACTACTTCTACACTCTCAACCGCTACATGCTCACCAGGGTGGCAAAAAACAAGTGTCGGTTACGGTGAGTCACTGTTAGCCTCAGAGATGCACTGATCCATTTTTTTCCGATCCAATCCAATACCGATACCTGGGCTGAATGTATCGGCCGATATCCGATTTGACATTAGCCTTACGCTCTGTTTGCATTAGTAACTGCATGCTGTGTGTGAGGACGTAACCGGCGCAGCAGACATAGAATTTGAGCGAACAGAATCACTGTGTTGCTGTGTATGATATTAATTAAAAGAAAAAAAAAAGACTGGATTGGAACGCTGGATCGGCGTCATTCATCTGATATCTGTTCCAATTATTTGTCAATATCAGAGCCGATATCCGATCCAGATATTGGATCGGTGTATCTCTAGTTAGCTTAGCGTTTCTTCTGAATAACAAAATCTGTTTTTTCATTAAAACTCTGATCAAAATAAAGAAATGATCATATGTTAAGTTAGGTGCATCTGTTAGAGCGCATCAGCTTCATTAAAAATCACTCCTGTACCATCTGATGATCACTGCATGTCCTCGAGGGATCACGTAATGTATGCATTATCATACACTGCTTAGCATCTGTCTAATGACAAACACTCGAGGGGCATACAAAACTTCACCCATACAAAATTTAACACTAATCATCAAAGGGTTTATGCGAAAAACAACCTGAAATTTATTGACGAAGCCATAAAAGAGCTCAGTTATATAGTGCAAGGTGGCGACAGTACTCCTGCTAACAAATGTTTGGATATTTCAGTTTAGGGAGCTTGATTTTGCATTGTTTGTAGTTTTTAGTTCCAAGGTGCAGGAAAAAGATAGATCACAAAAAAACAAGTTACCAAAGCTTACACCTCACAGATGAGACTTCCAACTTTTCATGCTGATCTTAGCATTTTGACCATTTTTTTTATTTGCATGGTATCAGTATTCCTGTGAGGAACTCCTAACTGTTAAGACTATTTCCTTCATGTTTGAATGTCTTTATTTTCTGTCTTAGGGTATCTACGGAGCTGCGCTACAGGAAACAGCCGTGGGGTCTCGTGAAGGGCTTTATAGAGAAAAACTTCTGGAGTGGTCTGGAGGAAAACTTCCGCGTTCTAGGTAAATTCGAATGTTGTGTTTTAGTCTATTTTTACAATATAAATCTACAGTTTTGAGAAATTGCAATCCAAAAGGTACAAAAAAGATATATTACTACTTTCACCACTATTGTAAAGGGACAAGATTGGTTCAAAGACGACTGATTCAGGGTTCAGACACAGTTGGAATTTCCATACTTTTCCATACCCCATTTTTTAGAATTATTTTTGGAATTACTTTTGAAAACCTACTTTTCTATTTTTGAAAACAGTATTTTTTTATACTGAGGTAATAGTCTGGAAACCTAAATATTTTTCCATACTTTATTTTTCATTTACCATATTTCTTAAGACCTGGAAATTGATCAAATTACTTCCATACTTTCCATACTTATGTAGGAACCCTGCTGACTGGTAGAGATAGACTAACAACATCTTAACTGAATCATGATATGGTATGTGTGGTATGAATGTGTGACAGTTGTCCTCTTTGTCCTCCCAGAGCTGGAGCTGTCCAAGCTGGAGGACATCCTGACAGAGTCCCACCAGTTATCTCCGAAAGCCAAAGTGGTGAAAAACTCCACGGTGAGGCGGAAGAAGAGGCCGCTGCCGCACATGCGCAGCCAGCATCTGGACGATGCTCTCAGCCCTGTTACCACGCCAACAGATGAGGATGTCATTCAAAGGATCAAACAAGTGGCAGGCTCCACGCAAACCAGACACCAGAGTCCAGAACACCATCACCTACCCGGAGGCCTCGCTCTCTACAGTGTCTCCAAACTGCTGCTCATCATCAGCTTTGTGTAAGCGACACACAAGCATGTACACTCGCAGGCACATGCACAACCACCCATATCGCTTGTAAATCTGGCTATGAGGGTCATATACAAATTTTACACATGCTGACGTTTCACACAAGCACATACTGTATACTGCACACACCTTCATCTCATGTCGAGATCTTCCACATGGTTTCATGATTTCATCAATTTTTCCTGTTTGTTCTGTGAAGTTTTGTCTAATTCACCGATAAAGTTGTGTTGGTGTCTAATTAATATCTCATTGTGTCGGTCTATTAAGTGTAACCTGTCTCTCCTCTCCTTCCATTGCCATCCATAGGATCTGTTTAAGGTACATAACCTGATCAGCCAGCATAGCCAGATCGATATATTTAAGTGTTCCTAGCATACTGGGTCATTGTTGTGTGCAGATAAGGAGGTTTATTATCAACGCAAATAAATAAATGTCATCAATGCTGAGAGGACGACTCGTTTGTGAACTCACCTGGTTTCTCTCTACCCTCCTTCAGCCTGGTCCTGCTGGTTTTCCTCAACATGATGCTTTTCTACAAACTGTGGATGCTGGAGTACTCTGCGCAGTCCTTAACAACCTGGCAGGGTCTGCGGCTTCATGAAAGGTACACTCACACACACACATTCTTCTTTTCTTGTTTAAGCCTCATGAGTGGCATGCTGTGGTAGGTACTGGGCTTGTGAACATATAAATATCCATGCATGGTTATAAGCGTACACATGAAACACTCACACTGTGCAAGACACACACCAAACTACATCCATATGGCAGCGTGATGGGGAAACACCGAGCTCCCAAAATTACCCCTGAATCGCTCAGGGCTCACTGAAACGATCTACCAAACAGTTTTTTTTGGCAGACCTTCAAAATGGAAGTCGTGCTTCAGCTGCTGCAGCCTGATGTTACTAATGTGTGTTTGTCTGTGTGTGTGTGTTTGTGCATGTGTGATATTTTTCTCTCCCAGCAAACTGCCTCAGACGCAGATGGAGTGGGCCCAGCTCCTGGAGGCTCAGCAGCGTTACCATGACGCCGAGCTGCAAAAGTGGAGGGAGATTATCAAGTCGTCAGTGGTGCTCCTTGATCAGGTACTTAAACACAGAGAGTGACTTGTGGAAGTACTTCTAAAATATATTGTTACATGTTTTGTTAGAGAACGGATGAGCCTTTTCAAAAACAAAAATCTAGTTCTGTAACACTCATCCTTAGATGACAAACTTTGTGTTGCAGGCAACTGAAGTAGAGAGGATGTCAGCCACTGTGTGAGCCACTGGGCGTATTTTTAGTAGTAGTTTTTCAGTAGGAGTGATCCACATTTAGAATTGTAAACTTTTTGATCAAGGTGTAACTTCAACTTTTATGTTTTTCTTTTTCTTTCTTTTTTTTTTCTTTTTTGGGTATTTTAAAGCAATTTTGCATTCCTTCATAAGTGTCACATACTGGATTTGTAGTGCTCTGTATTGGGTCTCATATCCCAGTGTAGCATACTGACCTGTTTCTTTTTTATTTTAAATACATTTTATTTAAGTTTTCAAATTTTTACTTGAACATTATGCAACACACAATGTCACCCCGACCCCCATGACCAGACAGTGCAAAAAAACAATAATAAATAGCCCACATATCTGCGCATATTTATAGAACAGAAGTTGATAAATAAAGCAAAAATCATGTTAATTTTAAGCATTAAGCAAAATCATAAATTAGCTTCCAAACTGGCCCTTTTACAAAAGTCTAAAATGAGGGGATGGAACAGCCATTTCTATATAAACTGGTTCAGATCAAGTGCATCACTTTGTCCACAGGGGGTGCCAGAGTTCACACAAAGTCCTTCATGGGAGTTTGTTGTTGTTATTTTTATTTCAAAAGACTGAATAAGAAAAACAACACAATCATCTCCTACCATTCTCAGCTTTAAATGAGTCAGGCACCTTACCTGAACTACATCTAATTCATATTAAAATAGAAAAACAGATACACAATTGACTTATATAAGGGTTACATGGTATGAAAGTTTAGTGAAAACCTGTACAGACCTCTTATATACACTTCATTATACAACTGATGGGATCGGCCCCCATGATCCAATCTGAAACTCTCTGAAAACTTAATTTGTCAATAAAATTTGTAAGATTGGATCAAACCTGATAGCCGGAATCTGATGAGATTAGTTTTGTTCCACTGGCTCCTGAATAAATCTGATGGCAAGTTGATCAAGTATGATTAAAAACCTTTTACATGCAGCCGTAGTAAAGGGTGTAAGGATTTTTAAATGTGGTAGGAATCTATGAACTAACTGCTTATAAAATGAGAAAAACTCTGAGCTGTTCCAGGATGTGGGTTGACTTCATTTGCAGTATCAATACTCAGATTTTTGACAAAAGTATTACAGTCTGCAGCACTAATGGAAAAAGGGTTGATTTAATTAAATTAGCCCAAGGATAGAGGTCCTTAAAACCCCTGTCATGCATCTGTGATAAATAAGATGACACATTTTTTCCATCTTGTTTCTTTATTGAATTTCCCTTTGGGGATCAATAAGTTGTCCTTATCTTATCTTGTAGATGAAAGACTCTTTATTAAACCTCCAGCGAGGCATTGGTTTAAGGGACTACAGCTCCGAGGCTGAGGAGAAGAGGAGTCGCTATCACTGACACACCACCCCAAGGCCATGAGGGCATGCTGTGCAATATAGGACCTGTTTTGTTTGTGAACCAGTATGCAGGCAGCAGCAAGACAGAGGAGAAAGAGAGGGGGGGAGGCAGGACCGACAGTACGCTGGTCCAAAGGACACAGAGAGAGAGGAACAGTCATCCCCAGCGCACAGAGGTGAAAAACCCCCAGGAGGACATACTGGACAGAAAGTACCCCTACCACACACAGGAACTGAGGTGTCCCAAACATCGCTGGCATTGTGGGAAGGTGCTCTGTCTCTGCACCTTTGGTATAACCGTTTCCTTCTAATCTCTTGTTTCCAAGTGCACCCTACTGTGAGGTGTGTCAACCAGACAGCAGCAGGAGCAGCAGCAGAGAGAAAGAAGGGAAACTACTGCATGCATTTAGACAACCTAGCTCCCCTCAGTCAGTGTTAATGTGGTTCAGTTCCAGTCTATGTGTGTCAAAAAAAGAAGAACAGAAGACGTGGAGAGATCAAGTCAGAGAGGAAGGGGGTCTTTTCCAGTCTTGATGGCTTTCTACACTCTCTAGACTGTTCCAAACCCATCGTCCCCTAAAGGTCAGCACTGCAGTTTCCCTTTAGTAGACCTCAGTGTGATCAGAGTGCAGTATCGTCCCTCATGCAGGAAGAAGTGTCGTAGCTGAGAGCTCAGCTTCAGTTCAGTCTGTTGCCTTGTTTGAACCTGGCCTGTGTGGTCTCGGTCAGGGCTGGTTCCCTGTCAGACCACTGTGTTCACATATTTATTACTCAAATCTAGATACTGATGAGACCTAAGCCAGTGCTATTCACTTCTTTAGCGTGCCCCTGCCACAGTGATGGTTACCTTACATTACATGATTCCTACACCTTTGAATAAAGTAGAATGTATCAGCCTGGACCAAAGGGCCAGACTCGGATCACATAAACATTAAGAAAAAGGGATACTGCAGCTCGACCAATAGGGAGACCTGTGTTCTTACATGTTTTATTACTAAACTGTGACTATATCTCTTTAAATATGTTTCAAATTTGAAAGAATTCTATGAATATATTTGAAATATATAAGATTATTTCATTATTTAATATATATATTTCAAAATATATAAACATTACCTATATTTATTGTTAATTTATGTACATAATGAAATTATCAGAGCTCTAGACCAGTTGAAGAATTTCTAACAAAAAGTGTTTTCTTCTAAAAATGCATGCCAGATATGTCTGTGACATGTCCAGTGTGCAAGTATGATTCTGCATTTGCGTGATTATATTCACGCATGTGTGTGTGCGTGTGTGCGTGTATGTGAAAGAGTGGGTGTGTGTGTGTGATTGAGTGCATGCATGAGTGTGTGCACAAGTGTGAGCTGTAAAGTGTGACATTTTTACCATTCCACACTTGTATGTTTCTTATGTTTGTTTTTCTTTTCTGGTTCTTGTAGCCAGACTGCCTTTTTAATGCTAATGCATTTGGATGCCGCCTTGCATTAGCCCCACCTGGGTACAGTTTACAATTGAAGAGTTTTGTTCCAAAATGACATATCCAACATTTGAAACCAAGTCACAGACACTCTTACGAAATGATTGTTCACTCAGACTACAAGTCAAGTCATTTTTGACTCTTTGAAGTAGCTTAAAAACATGGTTGATAAGAGAAAAGGGCATTGCTATCTAAAGTTTTCAGATCAAATAACTGGATATACAACATTTTGGAGATGAACCCTTCATCTACCCTCTATAAGCAAATCTCTGTCCATGTCACTCTGTTTAGGGTTTGATGACTCTTGACTTAAAGGGGTAGTTTGTCGTGTTCTGAAATTCTCATATTTCCTTTATTGACAAAACTGAGATGACAAAATTTATGCCGGACCTGTGTCTGAACAGTGTGATTTCACCAGCTGTTTGAGGTTTTTCAGCTGAGCAGGCCATTTTCCCTGTTTTCATGCTCAACTAACTAACCAGTCTGGCTTTACTAGCCGTCAGCCACACAGCTTACCTTCATCTAAATCTCTGCAATAAACCGAATAAGTGAATTTCACAAACTATTCCTTTAAAGACACCTACAGAACTTCCACCATGTTATGATCTCCTTTCCCCCATTTCAAGTTTCCGTCTTTGATGCAGTGACAGCATGAGAATTATTTTAACGCATCTAAATTGAACCAAAAGAACGAAGTAGAAATGTACATCATGAATGATCATATTGTTTTACAGAAGTATTAATCATGTATATCATGTATTATATATTTATATATATATATATACTGAATAAGGTGCGGTGAAGAGCATCTCTTAAAAGTTTGTCACCTGATAGACTGCAGCAATGAGAGCACTTCCAAAATGAAGAAGAACTTCCTTGTGTTAAAGAAAGAGAAAGTGAAGCACTTTAAGGCCTCTTCAGGTTAAAGATGAAAGAAGGACATGACTGCAGTTTAACATGCGGGTGAAGAAGGGGCTGAGGGAAGATATTACCAATTTCTGTTATCTGACTTGTTCATTTGACAATAACATCAGTGATTTTAAATTTCCAAACTCAATAAAGGGCCTGGGTTTTATTCCGTATGAATTATTCTCTCTATGAGACTGTTACACCTGCCCAGAGTTAGTGTTTTTGCTTGGTTCTATTTAACATGGTTACATGTAAATCTCTCAAAGGTCACCTCCCAAAGCCCAAGGTTCACCTTTTTTTCTATTTAGGGCACAGCTGAATGACTTGTATGAGGGAAATGATGTCTTTACTGTGTGCCTGCTTGATGTGCTACTGACTGACTCACTGAAAGCAGCTGAGAGGCTTCAGGATTGACCCCCTGCTGTGTGTGTGTGTATATATTACAGAGGATGAAGGCACTGAGTTTTGTCATCGAATGGAAAACCTTAAGACCTGAATGTGAGTGGTTGGAAAGCTTTTCTGTTTTATTGAAATCACTTTCACAATCCTAACAACAATGAAAGGCTATTTAAGTTTTGCTTTATGTTTATGATGGTACAAAGGTGAGATTAAAATGTGATTTGAAGAGGTTGGTTTTCAAAAAGGCTGGTGAAATAGATTTTCCTCTTTAAGATGCTTGAATTATATATTTCTGTTTTGAAGAAAAAACTACTGACATCCTCACTCTATTTGAAAAAAAAAAAGCGTTTACTGAGGTGGTTTTACACTCCAGCTGTGACTGCTTTTATTTCTGATGACAGACAAATGTGAACAATGAACAGACACATCCTTCTCAGTCCAAATTCACTTTTTATTCAAACCTCCTTGTCCACAGATCTGAATCATTCCCTTAAAGGCTCGGTGTTTCCCACTAATACAAATTAAAACAAAATCAAAGCTACAATCTCTCACAGATCACCTGTTTTTGTTTTTCTTTTGTTTGTTTTCTACACTCCCTTGTTGTGTGCATTCACACAGTGATCTGCGTTACACAAATGATTGTATGATTGTTATTGCTGCACAGCTGTGGAACCAAGGTGACCTGAGAGTTCTGGATGCCACTGTCCTGTCACTGAATTGTGTGTTCATTGACTGTATTAATCAGCATTTGTCTCGCTGTTCCAGAACCAGCGAGACATTAGCGCCACCCACACGACCCATTACAAACTAACAGCCTTGGTTGAGCCACACACTCACAAAAAAAACCACCACAGATCAAACTCATGGGAAATTCTCTTCTTCGGGTGTGTCTTGATAAAATATGTACTGGTGTAGTTCTGTTCGAAAATGATTCTTCTGTATGTTTCTTTTTTTTTAGAAAACGTTTTGATCTCTAGACAGACTTTTAGTGACATTTCTACATGAGATGAAATATACTGTAAGTATATGTTGTGTATATCTGCAGTGTGAGCACACATACACTGACAAAGGAATCCAACCTGCGCTGTGCGTAGGTTTTGACTTGCTGATGACTTTGCCTCATAAAGACTGAAGATAAAAGTGGCTTTCTGGTTCATGTGAAGTAGAGATTGGAAGTATGAATAAAAAATATATGATATACAAACACTCTGACGCTTTGTTTATTCTTTCTTATGTTACAAATCTTGCGCATTGGGTATAATCTGAGACTAAATCCCACTTCTGATTAATGTTTTCCTGACTGGAAACAGTGTTTTTTTTCTGTAAGGAGTGAGTATATTCCACCTCAGGAGACTTGACAGTGTAGTGTTGCAAACAAAGATAGCATGAGGCACCAAGATGAAATATTCATTTGAAACTGCACTTAAAAAATGAAATAAATTCAGAGAACTTTAAAATATTTATGTCACATACTGAAAGCTTTGTTATTTTGGGAGTTACGCATGCAGCATGAGTTTCTTATAAGTTACTTTATGTCGAGCGCGCACTCCCTATAGGAGTCTATGGCTCCCTGTTGTCTCGCTGTAATTACTTTCAGGAATTACCCATTAATTACAGCAGCACATAAACGCAGCAGGCTAGTACAGGCTACAGCTGATTCAAGCTGATTAGATCAACTCTCATGGCATCTGGGGCATACAAAACAAAATTTGGTAACACTTTACTTGACGCCTATCTCTATAATGCATTATAAATATATGTATAATGTGTTATAATCACGTTATAGCACTGTATCACGATAGTTATAAACACTCATAAAGGATCATAATACTTTATAGCAATAATCATAACACATTATAAAGCAATATATCATGACTTACAGGGTCAGGTATTATTATGTGTTCTGCTTATTGTTATAAAGCCTTATGATAATTAATGAGTGTTTATAATGATAGTCATAAAAGTTAATAAGAAAATTATAACACATCATAAATATATGTATAATGTGTTATCTATGTGGGCTTTGTCAGTGAGTTTTTAACAGTTATAATACATTATAATACCTGACCTCTTAAGTCATGATAAAGTACTTTATAATGTGTTATGACTAAAGCTATAAAGCATTTTGATCATTTATGAGTGTTTATAACTATACCGATACAATGCTATAACGTGATTATAACGCATTATACACGTATTTATAATGCATTACAGAGATAGGCGTCAAGTAAAGTGTTACCCCAAATTTTGACATCAATGATCATGGGGAGAACTTAATCTTTTTACATTAAAGTTACAAAAATATGTTGTTACTGGTAGATTATCTTTCTGCAGATATGTAAAATTCTATTAGACGTCATTTTAAAAAGTCTTATATTTTTGGAATCAAACCTTCATTTTATAACTCAAGTTACAGCATCCTTTACTGTGCTTGGAAGTAAATAACAAGAGACACACAGCCGATGAACAATTCTGTCAAAGCTGCCAGAGACACACACCATGGCATTGTGTAATCTTGAATATCTTGTGCATAAATGAATGAAGCCCAATTGACATTATTTTGAGAGGAAAATATGATAGAAAATCACTCTGATTTTTCATGTTTTTCTTAATCTATCTATACGAGGTCCCCATCTCACTGAATGAAGTCTATTTTTGAATTTTAGAGTCCACCATATCACTCATTTCCATACTTTCTATTTACTAGGTTTTTTCTCTTGCATCATGTCCTTCTCTCCTCACAACAAAGGGTCTTCAAATCATCCCACTATAATCAAATGCCTGTGTTTTACTACACAGCCAGGAATAACCATCCCCTGAAGTAGCCCATTAGTCCCAGGCCAAGATGGGAGAATGGGTGAGGTCGACTCGTCACTGTAATGAATTAAGGGGGATGGGACAACGTTACGCGCAGGACCCCATCAGCCTCTCACGACCAATGAAGGCTGAGATTGGATTTGCGAAGTGGGGGTGATGACTCCCACTTTCTCGTCGTGGCTGGTCGCAGAGGGCGGGGCTCTGTGGCTGCGTTTGACAGCTGCGAAATGGAAAACGTATAGCGCATAGCAGACCTGGAAAAGCATGCTGCTCCAAGGCAACCATACTTTCTCCAGGAATGGGTTGCAGCATGGCCCTTTATAGCCTGCGACTACCCTCGTAAATCTGGGCCAATTGGACAACACGAAGGATTTGATAAGGGGGATAATTGCTCTTTTTTTCTGCACTGAATCCTTGTATTTGTAGTCTTTGTAAGGACATGCACCGTGCGTTCTCGTTCCCGGTGACGGTGGAGCGCAGTCGGACCAAGGAGCGCCTGGAGGCGAGTCTGGCCGGGCTGTGTGAGCTGGAGCTCCGCAAGCAGAGGCAGGAATGCCTGGTGCTGGGGGCGCTGGCTCTTGGAGACCCTCTGCCCCAGGACAGCTCCAGAGGAGAGCTGGCGTGTTTCAGCAGCTGGGGGCAGGAAAACTTGACACTTAGGCGTCAGCTGGTAAGAACTTTGAGTGTCTTTTACTGCATGTTTGGATTCCAGCAGCTCTTCCATGTTGACTCACACCACACCACCACACCCTGTGTTTGAGATCCCCTTTTGCCCCATATGCCACAGTCGTGCAGAGTTTTTGATATCTGCTGGTCTCCTCAGTGTGATACTTCTGACCGCTGGATGGACTCTTGCTCTGGGCTGCGCCTTTTGTGTGGAGATGACCCCTATTTGCGAGAAAAAGTTACTCAACTTGATTAATAGTGTCTCTGTTTGAAAAGGATGTAATGCGTTTCTGCGCTTTGGGCTGAGATTTATGCATTGGGGTAACGAAATCAGGGGGTGGAGCACCCGCCGTTTGTGGCACAGACCGACTATTTAATGGCCCATTGTTCCCTCATCATGGACTTTTGTAGGTTTTACAACTTAACAAGCTCTTATTTGTGTTTCCTGCAGATTATAAAGGGATGAGTTATTCTCTCAGCTTCGTTTTGCCCTTTCGGCTAACATTTTTATGTTTGAATTACTCTCTTTATAATTTATAGGACTGCTTCTCTTGTGTAGAGCTCAAGCTAAGTTGCGATGCGTATGTTCAGCTGTGACGCACTGACGCCAGGATTAACATGATTATTAAAAACTGGGTTACGACAGTCGAGTAAAAGTTGTTAAGAGGCGAGACAACAACGGCATCTTCATCCTCAAGTTTTACGCACCAGTGAGCACCCCTTCTGCTCTACATTTCATTTTTGTTTCTCTTTATTTTTATGTCTTTCTTCTGCGAGGGTTAAATTTGCGTGTCTTTAAGTTTGGTTACAGTTTGGCTGCTGTGCTTGGGCAGCTTGAAGGCTGTCCAAACATTGCTACAATAGGAAGCCATTATTATAGAGGGTGAAAAAGAAATTAAATCAGCCGCCTCCTCTTCACACCTCCTTTTCTCCTCCCTCCCTCTCTCCCTCCCTCTTCTCAGCCGGGGGCCTAACAATAGGCGCATATGGAGAGGAATACTAATGCACACCGACCGAGGCCCCAGTGAGGCGGCCTTGTGCACTTGCGCCAGTTTGGCAGGGCATGATTTGGGCACAGTGCTTTATGAAGTTTGAGCTGGGGGAATCCTTTTGTATGTGATTTGGAACAAAAGTAACGCTAATGACAAAACTAATTTCTAAAGGAGTCCGTGGGGTCAAGTGTCCCCTTTGTGCGCACGCAGCAGTTCAGTGCGTTTACATCCCCGTGGAGCTCGCCTGCGCGCGTCAGTGTCGCCTCGTCCACGCACTGACAGGAAACAGCCATTTTCAAAGCCAGGGGAAGGAGTGACACGCGTTTCCCCTCAGGGCTGCATATTTACCACGTTTTCATTCTGTGCGCAACGCGTCTCTGGATCGATGTTTATTAACTGTTATGCTTATCCAAGCGTGTGAGTAATTACACGGAGAAATTCCTCGGAGAATGCTCTCTGTCCAACAGGACTCTAATTGAAGTCTCAAATTGAGTCTTCGATTTGATTTCTGGTCGCCATCTGCGTCCGAGCCAAATCCCTGATCTCATCTAGGCATGTAGGTTAAAGTCGCCAAAATGTGTGGTTCACGGATGTGACACAGAAACATCTGACACATGGGACTGATGGTGTGCGTGTCGCTTTTTCTTTAACATGAATGTGGCCCCAGACAGGCTGAGAGACCTTTTTTTCCCCCTTCCTGATAACATACAGTGTGTATGTGTTTCGCTATAGAAGGTGTTGACAGCTGTGGGACGCCAGACAGCAGCTGGGAAAGCATGCAGCTCTGACCTCTCTCAGCTACCTACTGTGTGTGTTTAGATAGAGTGGAAGAGCATGTATGAATTGTGTATGAGTGTGTGACACGCATTTATCGATTTGGGTAAGTGTTGGAGATTTTCAAACAAAAGTGACCTCAAGTTTTTATTCATTTCCTTTTAAATGAATTGAGCTTCAGCATTCAGATGCATCAGTCAATCTTCATTAATCCCAGGAGAGCAGTTAGTTTGGCACAGCTGGTGCTGCATCAGTGGTACACCACAAACCAAGACACTATATATACATAAATATATAGATACAGATCTATAGATAGATATATAGATACATATTCCTATGTACACGTGTATGAGAACCATCCTTACGCTGAATTTTGCCCATGGCTCCATAAAGGTATTGCTCTTTCTTAAACCATTACTAAACTGCTGCCTTGTCATCAATCAGGTCATGTGTGTCCTTGTATGAAGACAGCAGCACATCATTAGTGAGACTCTGAAGTGAAGCCGTTGGTCTCCTCTGCAGTGACTGATCACCAGAGTGGATCACCGGATGGTTTCCTCTGCTTTGTTGTACCACACAAAAACCAACACTGTGGGATTTTGCTTATTTACAATCACAGTCATTGAGAAAACAATGATTCTGAGCATGTAAAAAAACATGCAAATACACTGACATGCCAGGTCGTCCAATGCACATTTGCAAATATGAGAGCACAAATGTACAATGAGATGGCGTCTGGGTTGATTCCACAGTCGGTCACATGAGCACAGCCTGGTGCATGTCCCTCTTAGGAGGCTCTATTCACAGCCAACCCACCATGGTGCCCTGCCTTCAAGCTTCTGTGCACGTAGCACACAGTCTGGGCATGCTAATGACTGCCATTCATTATGCTTATGTAAACACTGTGTGCACCTATGTGTGTGTTTGTGTAAATCTGACTTCTGTCAAATTGGAAATGGTAATTAAAATTTAATTTACTCCTTGGAAAGAAATCATTGAAAATGTGTGTGTGTTTAAATGGAAAAAGACGGGATCAGTGGTTTTGTCAGGTGTGTGTGTGTGTGTGTGTGTGTGTGTGTGTGTGTGTGTGTGTGTGTGTGTGTGTGTGTCTGGCCTCCCACCAGCCTCTCCATGTGAAGCCAGTCACAACATCGCTTTAATTACAGAGGGCCAGCAGTGCGGCTGCATGCCTTGCGTGCCCTGTTCCATAGATTTTCATTTCTTGGTGTTTATTGTTTAAAAATGTGAGTGATTGGAGGTTGTTGTGCAGATTTGAACATCTTAAGTCCATATCAAGATCTTTTCTTCAAGTACAGACCATTCGATATGCCTCAAAACCACCTTTTCACTCAGGCTCCCTACACTTGGTTTTGATTTATTTCTATCAAACCGACCACTGGTTCACTGAGAGTCACCGAGAACGATCTCACATTCGAAATCAGTCAGTAATCAGTCAAATTGCCAGCCTGGCTTCACCTGCTGTTGGGTCCTTTTCATTGCCAGAGCAGGTGTTCCTGGTCTGTCGTTTACCCAGTGCGTAACAGCTTAATGGCTAGGTGAGCCTGGCTGTGCCGTGTCCTCTCCGTCTCCCCCATCCCCCACTAGCTTGGGGCAGAGGATGCAGTAAAACAGTAATGATACAGTGTCAGGGAATCAGTGTGGGACCATTAATAATAGAGTGCAATCAAAGATCAGTCTGCGAAAAGGTCCCCGTTACGCTGTGAAACCACCCTAAAGCCCCGCTGCTAAATGTTGCATTGTATTTGGTTTGTTTGTAGGACCACAAAGGTGTGTTTGTTTTCTGCAGCATTATAATTTAATGGTCCACACTTTGGCTTACAGCGTGTATATGTGTGTGCATTTGTCAGCACAAAGAGGCTGCAGGCAATCAATTGTGTGCATCTGTATCATTGATTAATTGATTTCCTATAGCCTCCCCTCCTCCCTGCTATTTCTTTACCCTGCAAGAAGCTAAATAAAAGCTACCCACTCCAGGTTTCTGCCTCACAAAACCATATTGATGAAGTGATTCTAATGCTTTGTTTATACTAAGACAAAAAGTCCCCTTGTCAGGACAGAAGAAATGACCGTGTTTAGGGTGAAGAGGTTGTGTGGGGAGACGTAGGTTAGCTTGGGTCGATTACCCCTCAACAGCGTACACGTTATGGCAGCCTGAAGTCTGCAGGACAAAGGAGAGAAACAAATCAATGGTGCTCTAACCAAAAGACACTCTGAGAGTCAAGCTGAACAGTTTCCTGATTTTCTGGAATTTTTCTTTTGATAGGTTCCAGGTTTTGAGTGAAAAAGCACGCGCCGAGACACAAACATGTTCTGTTCTTTCAGGTTTAGGCTGGGAAATGTTCATGGTCCTGGAAAATTGACAATGTGACCTTTAAAGAATGAGTGTGCAGCCATGCTAGCAGGTCTGTGGGGGTGTAATTAGGGAATCTGGCACAACTTCACTTTCCAGATGTATGCAGAAGGGAAACACATAGGTCTACCAGTTTATTTAAGGCGGTGTTTCATTTCCAAAGACAGTCCTGAGGAACGGCGGGGGGACTGTACCGCTAGTCTGACAGGTGCTCCATCAACGCAGGCTTGGAATATGAAGTGTCCTCGAGTTATAAGAATATGCTCAATCTTCTGGTAATGAGGTCTCTAAATGAGCGCTGAATGTCAACAGTAACACACCTCGAACAAAATGAAGTGTCCTTGTGTGTGCAAATAAGTGTTTGTTGGAGTCCAAAGCGCTCCTGCTTGTGTGTAATCGTCTGCAGATGACTAAACATGTCTGATGATGTCAGCAGGAGACTGGAACAATCGCTGAATGAGCATGTCCAATTTCAGCGTTGTGTGCATGTGTCACTATCAGACTCAGTTTTGACTCTTAAGAAGGGTGCAAAGCCTTTCTCGTTCATAGTTATGTATTTCCAAGGTGAAGTTTTGCAGATTTTTTAGACTTGCATTGTCTGCATTGAGTCCTCATTTTAAGGGTGTTGAGAAAGTGCGTGTGTGATGCATCCTCCACCCACATGAGACACCGGCCCCCTACCCTTGACAGACTCTTGAATTATTCATGTTCCAACTGACGTCTTACACAAGAGAGCACAGTGACAGATATGGAAGCTGTACAAAGATGCATTTCAGTGATGCACAACTCTGACCTTGCATGCCTCTTTTATATTTTTTATAACTGGAAGAGCTTCTGCTTCTGAATTTTTGCCTTAAACAGCTTTGACATCATGTGTTACCGGTCATTTTCAATCTGCGGAAGCTCAGACAAAGGGTTTAAAACACTCTCTACCATGTTATTGACTGCAGATATCTACATCTTTAGAATCTCAGCGATTGTGCCTAAATCTACTGTATAATCCACTGTGATTGGCCTTTGTCGAACATAAATAGCCCCAGAGTATAATAGCCAACTTTTCAAGGCCTGGAGTGTCGTCTGTGGTTAGTAATAAAGCTCTTCCAACCAAGACTTCCTCCTCCTTGTGTGTCTTTCATTACAGTCTGACCAAAAGCCTGGCAAGCAATGATGGAGTCTGTGTTGTAAGATGGTTTATAAAACATATTTTCCTGCTGCAGTTGTATTCAGATATCTGCGTGCATGCCTTGGTGCAGTGTGTAGAGACTAAAAGCTAAAACATTAATTAACTGCCACAGGGTCCCGGGATTGCTTTACAACAGCTTGCTTTTCACCTCTTTCACACTCTGTATGGATCATTTCCCTGCATGCAGCCAATGAGCATAAACACAAGCGAAGATTTAAATGCCTTTACATTTTCATTCAAAATCTTTCGAACCTACTTAACTGTGCAATATTATCTGTGATGTGCAACATCTTGTTCAATATGGCAATTTATACCTCATTTATCCCACTGATTTATCCCCTATTGCACAAGTTCAAACTCTGACAGCAGCTACTGCATTGCTTTTGCACTTTGTAAATATTTCTTTTACACTTTTTATACTTTTGCATCTTTATTCTACTGTATTCTTCTAAGTATTTATTGCTTCTTTGGGTTGAGCGATCCACCTCATCCAGGGCATTTCATTGCATTGTTGACTTAGTTTAACCTGCATATGACAAATAAACCAATCTTAAATCTTGAATCTAAAGATTAAATCCAAAGTCAAACAGTCAGGAGAAAGATGATCTATCTTAACAGTTGAGGCTATCCGAGAGTCCAAAAAAGGAGCTGTAACAGAAAAACAGGCAGTGCAGAACATACAGCTGTACTTCTGTCATTAGCATTTCTCCAAACCAGTATTTTGATTTATGAGGGCTCTTGAACTTTCTGCTTTGTTGTCAAACCACTGATTGCTGCCTCTTACCATCTACTTACAAACCCTCTCCAACTGTGCAATTAAACTCAGACGGCCACTGCAGGGCAGCTAAATGTTTGTGTTTGTGTGTCCAGAGTGCCCTTCAGAGTTCCCCATGGGGCCTGATGCAAGCGCTGGAACAGCAGGTGGGAGAGCTGAGGATCGACGCTGAAGATGGCAGCTGTGATGGAGCTCAAGGAGACACTGGCGACAGTCGGCCTAGTTCTGGTACTCTCCTGTTTGAACCTTTTCTTTGATCACTTTTTTATGTAGTCCCTTAATTGCAAGTATAATTTGCAGGACTGGATGATGCATTTTTCAAGAGTAAAATGAACTTCTAAGCATTCTCTTTCTATTGCAAATATACTCGTGATGACTCCGTTGCTCATTTGTGCTTTTTCATGCCCCAGTTGCTCACAGTTTTTTTTGTTTTGCTGCCTGTTTGTTAAATGCAATGAGACACTGCCTGCATAGCATATTTTGGGAGATGTGGGATGATCAGTGGTCCATAAGTAAATGAGACAGTCATCTTCCATCTCTCTCTGTGACTGTGTTTCCAAGGTTTCTATGAGTCGAGTGGGGGTCAGTCGCCCAAAGGAAGAGCTTGTTCCACTGAACCCACTGAGACAGTCTCCCCCTGGGGATTTACCAATGACAGGCCGAAGTCTGTGGGTAAGAAAATGAAGAAGAAGCAGACCTAGAAAGTCTGAGAACGCTTGCAAGCACGCATCTTTTAGAAATAGCAATAAACACATTAAACAGTCACAGTAAAAAAAAATACAATTATAAAACATTATTGCATTGTTATTTTTGCTGTTTAAATCACAGCTCGGAGTCAACTGCTCTTTTTTTCTTCTCCAAACTGATACAAAGAGGCAAAATCAGCATTTCCTTTTGTATCTTATAACAAACAACAAAACCCATTGACATGAAAAGACAAAAATGGAGCATAAGAAATCATACTATTTGTAGGATTATTTTATGAAATAAGGAAAAGGTTATACTCCCAATCACTTCATAAAACACCCCAAAATCAGAAAATGCAGTCCAGTGGATAATATTTATAGTCTCATAGGCGAAATGAAGTTTATTAACAGTAAATTCTGATAATAGTTCTAGCTAATCTATTTCTGATTGGCCCTTTTTAATATTGATGGAGGAGAGTGATTTAGGCCCTGCATAAGTACCGACCCACTCAGTCTTTATGGTTATGTGAAGGTTTTAGAGATCAAATCTTTATCCTCCCATCTGGCTTATGTTTGAAATTGAGGATTTTAACCAGAATGATTAAACGGCTTCTTTCTGAGTAAGGCGTCACTGGCTAAGAGAGCTTTGGGGAAGGAGACGGACAACTAGTAATGTTTCCTGAAAACTTTTTACATCCTAGCTAGCTCATACAGCATTTGTCAATTACCACACTTCTGTTCACAGAAGACAAGCAATTATCCTACCTGCTGTCTAATGAAAGATAAAAAAAAACTGTATTGATTGTGTTCCCTCCACATTATCGCATCTAAACATGTTAAGGCCTTCACTTTTATTTTCTCTAAATTTAACAGTAAGCCAAACATAGTCTGACAAATGCAGAAGAGTCAGGGATGATCTTAGTTATGTCTTTTAATAAGATGCCATTGTAGTTGTATTCACAAAACAAATTTGAAACTGTAAAATAAAACATCAAAACAATTCACTCTATGTGTTGACATGTTAAAAAAGTTTATTGATTGCCTTAGTTCTACCAAAACAGAGCACTGAAAAACACGAGTCCAACTTCGATCGCTGTAATCAAACATGTTGTTGGAGATCAATTTTCTTCGTCATGTAAACTGTTCAATCAAAATAAAACCGGCCTAGATGTTCTGCACACACTCCGGCATTTTCTCACTGGGCTTTGAGCCAGAAGTTGAATAGCTTGGGTGTGTTGCTAGGACACTGGGTAGTGAACAAACCCCATCGTATGAAGAAAGGACATAAAAAAGAAAAAGAAACTTTTCTATCATACAAACAAATGGTACAGGACTGTGACACTGGCATTGTTTTTACTGCTCGACGTACATCCCGTTAGCCTATTACTCCCGCATTTTGCTTACACGTGTTTGCCAATAAGACCTGGAAGCAATGAGCTGAAAGGGGGGATTTCGCTAGCTAGGGAGGCAGATATACTTCTGTCAATAATCTTGCCGAGTGCTCATAAACCTGGAAAGGCAGTTCAGTAAAATCGCCTGATCAAGCATTAATTATAGCTTGACTTAACTGTACATGACTAAACACACTGACTATGAATTTGACAAGATAGCTTCAGCTTACTGCATAACATCACATTAATTTTAATCAAAATGTCCATATTTCTCCATATTTGTGTCACGACAAACCCACCACTAGGGGGTGCTAAAACATAACTAAAAAGACTGAATCACCTGAGGCAGGACATTCAACATAAAACATTGCTACAACAGATTAATGTCAGTTTTTGTTAACAGCTGTGTTCAAATGGCATTTCAGAGAATCCTGCATGATAATTTCATACTGTGGGACGGTGTGTTGCACCTTTTAGCAAACTTTCTGTTATCATAAAGGTAACCAGTCCTGTTGGATGGGCCGTTTCCATGTATAAAATATGTTTTATTCATTTACTAGTGTTGTCTCAGAATTAAAAATTAAAAATTCTGGTATAGTGTCAGCCCTGAAACAGACGTACTGTACTTAAAGCTCCTGTAAAGAACTAAAGGTTTTTGTCAACTGTGGGGCATTCTGCGTACAAAGCAGTCTTTTCTTATCTTGTCCTCAAAACTGCTGAGTCAAATATGTATTTAAATATGTAGTTCATAGTGAAAATCTTAAGTGAAAATTGTAACAACAGGGATGTTTCTACAGCTGCTTGGCTCACACTTACCTCCATGCATCAGTTTCAGGCATGAAAATTTCATTATAAAATCAATAATGATATAGTTGATGCTCTTGATTGCGTTGGGGTTTCATAAAGAGCCGCCGGTATAAAGTTTAAAACTTTTTGTTTGATTCTGAAACAACTCTTTATAGGAGCTTTTAGAGGTCAGGATGATTTAAACAAAGATTTTCATTTGATGTATATGGCAAACTTTAATTCTATATTTCTTGTAAAACATTTCTCTCGGCGCAGATTAAAAAAAGATGAATGAGTCATTAACAAATGATACTGCTGCCTTGACGATCACTGACTTCGAACACTTCCTTCTGAGATATTGGATGAGTCTTGAGGTTTATTTTTCTGCATACCATATCACCTGGACCTACAACAGTTCTGTTTCTTGTTTCAGGAGATCCCCTCATGCTGAATGAAGATCTCGATGCGCCAGTCATGCGCACCACCCTCCCTCGCTCTTTTTCTGCCCCCTACCCGCCTCTTGAGGGTATTGCTGAGGAGGGCGCAGCTGTGGAGTCATGGCAGTGGGACCCCAGTGGAGTCAACCGAGCCTGGCAGCAGCACCAGCAGCATGAACAGCATGAGCAGTCTGCAGAGGATCAGGTAACAGAGGAGGACTACCAGCAGGCCTTGAGGGTAGAGAGTTATATCCTGGGTCTTATCCAGAGACGTACCCTTGCACCACGCCCTTGTCAGCCTCGCACCACCCTAAGTCCAGACCCCCCTTACTGCGGCACCCCTGGACACAGTTCCCTACACAGAAGAACCCCTTCTCTGTCCACAGAGCAACGCCTCCCCGACCCCCACATCCAATCCCATGTTGACCTTTCAGCAAACCCAAGAAACCAGGGTTGGGGTTGTGACCTGCTGGAGGGTGAGGCCTGCGAAGGGGAGGCCCCATCTTTGGAGGAAGACTCCTATCTGGCTCTGCCCTACCCCCAGCCAAGGCCACACTCTCTGGTTGAGAGGCTACCATCACCTCTGCCCTCCCTGGACCCCAACTGTGGTGTTGGGGTGCTTGACCTTTGTTGTGAACCTCCTTCCCCCCAGCATTATCTACAGCCACAACCTCCCATTCATCACAAACACACTTTAGTTAGTGCACATTACATCCCTGGACATCAGTGCCATGCCTCTGTGCGCTCGCCCAGACACCACAACCAAGAACAGCTGAGGCCCAACCGAGCTATCACCTCTCCTGACCATCCTAACTCCAAGTCCAGATCCTCTAAGAAGAGCAACAACGAGCGACAGAGGGCCAAAAAGTCTAGCAGTAAAACTAGTCGATCCCAGTCTGAAAATAGCCTCCTGGGTCAACGTGTGCTACCAGAGCGTAGGTACAGCACCACTGAGAGACACCAAGTCAAAGGGGATTGTGCTCACGGTCAAGGCCATGTCATTGGACAGCAGGCAGGAAACAACGGCCACAATGGGAATCGACGTTGGTGCTCCAACCTGGAGCTCAGCCAGGACGAAGGGGAGACCCAGGCGACCCATAGACGACCTCCCCGGAAAGCCCGCCATGGTCATCCTTGCCCCCATTCCCAACCTCAGAACTACCATCACCACCAGCAGCACACCCAGCGCTGGCACCCAGACTGTCATGAGAGAGCACCCATTTGTCAAGGAGAGGAGGGCTACAGCGGTGCTGCCCCTGCAGAGTCTGAGTCCAGCATGAGTGAAGTGTATTCCCCGGCCTCCAGCTCGCTGTCCAGTGACTCAGATGAGAGTGGGGGGCTAGTGTGGCCCCAGCAGCTACCACCCCGCCTTGCCTCTACCTCCTCCTCATCTTCGCCTTCACCACAAGCCACTGCCAACACCCCAGCCCAACCAAAAGCCTTTGTCAAGATCAAAGCCTCCCATGCTCTGAAAAAGAAGATCCTCAGATTCCGCTCAGGGTCCCTGAAAGTAATGACTACTGTGTGAGGAAATGTTCAAACCTGTTTTACACTCCAAACTTTTACTGCTGTGTTGTAGAGCCATCGTCAGAGCAAAATTGTGACAAACAAAACCAGTCTTTACACTCTTCTACCTCTTAAACAGTATGTTCTTAGGATGAGACATAAACTTTAATGGGCATTATCAAAGATCTGCTTGGTATCAGCTGTCTGGTTGAATTATCTCCTTGCTGACAACCATCAGACACCAGACTAATGAGCATCACCCTGTGCTAATTGATTCTGAGTGTAATCGTGAAGTTACACTGTGATGACTCGGACCACAGTGAGGCTAATTGACTGAACTTGCTGCCAGTTTTTCTTTATGTCTCTTGGCCCTATAGTTAATTAATCACAGATTTACACATAATTAATTCTTACAGTAGTCAGCCATATGCAAGTCGAGATAAATAAGGTCTGAAGTCTTGAAAAACAGCCAAGCTCCTGGCATGACATAAAAGTGACTTTATTTCTGGTTTCTCCCAGAAATATCTGGGATTTATGTCTAGTCCTTTTTAGTCAAAAATTAAACAATTAAAGAGGAAAGTTTGCTGGACAGAACTGTGTAATTCAGTACTGATTAAATGGGAAAAAGCCATTCCTATGATAAAGCAATCATTTGAATTAAAGCGCATGTTTGCGAAATATTGGTTAATTATTGGAACTTAATGATAGAAAAATGATCATTTCCAAGGTGGATTTTAAAACCTAATACGTTAAAGATCCTGTGAGGAACACAGAGACAATATGCACATTGCCAATGTTGCCCCTGTTGGTTTTGTTTGCTTGAACACAAGCCCATTTATAAAGTACTACTTGAACTTAAGCATGTCATAATCCTGGATAGCAATGATTTTTTCCCTGCATCCAAGCTGAGCATCATACAGAAAATTTCAATAACTAACATGACATGAACACCCAGGCCATCTAATGCAACCTATTCCAACAGTCCTACCACAAATTTTACTTTTAAAGCGCCTTAATTATCTTTGACATGGTGATAATCATATTTGCTAAATGATGTTCATTATGTCTTCAGTTTCTTAGAAATAGTTCTCTTTTTTCCTTTATCTCAGACATGTAATCTTTTTCACCTTGACATGTTTCGGTTGAAACTTCCGCCTTCCTCAGAAGTGGAAAAGATTACATGTCTGTATGTTTTTTTTATAATTAGTCGGTAAAGTTATAGTGGATGTTTGAGGTTTCTTGAAGTACATTATTTTGAAAGGGGTTTCTAATATTTTGCTCCCCTCATCTTTTCAGGAAGTGGACAAAATACAAGGAACTCTTTACATATAACACACTCCAAGTACACCACCAACGATACAATGTAATCAGCTGTCCGATCATGTCAATAAAACCCCCAAACGTAGGAGGCTTCATAAAAGTGAAATTTGTGGTAGAGTTGTTGTATTAAATTGCCTTAGGTTTTCACGGTGATATGGATGGTCGATGCGCATTTTCGTTTTCCCACAGTCTGACAATTTGTGACATGACTTTAAATCTCTGGGCGGAGAGCATCCTTATATGCTTTTTTTCTATGATTGAATTCACCTCTGTGGATTCACACTGACGTAAACTGTCCCTCACCCCCATTAAGCATAAAGAGATTTCTGTGAGTCAGGGATGGGATGGGTAGAAGCCTCAGTAAATGGACCAATTAACATGCATGCCTCGTCTAAGTGCACAGGTTGATAGAACAAAGAGACACGGGTTTTGACTCTTTTTGTTAATATGTATGTTTTTGTATATACCCTGATGTGGCCTTGTTTGGAATGAATGTAGTTTGTAAATAAAGACAATTTTGCCCTCAATTGTAAAAGATTTGATATTTTTATTACTCAGCTTAGTAATACAGGATGAATGGCCTGAACAATATGATCATCCTGAAATACAAGAACACACATTAGGACAGGCAGGAGCGATAGTATTATCATGAATTTGCATATGATGGAGATGTGGACATGATTTATTTAGAAAACCTATTTACATCAAAAAATAAAGAAATCTATCTTTAGGGTCTCTGGCAGCCGGTCCCATAACTGAGAGGTCACATTTATACAATCACAAGTAACTGAGCATCAGAAATGCAGAACATAGCTCCCTCTAGTGGATGATGTGCAGCACTGTCAAACAAGCAGATATGACTTTTTCTCTTAGCATAACTGGATTACTCTTACATGTGGATACCAGATATATATGCACTTTAAGATGGTATTATTAACTGTCCGTAGTCTCAATAGTGCATAATCTAGGTCACAAACTTCTTTAGTTGAATTACAAAACACAGTTGGTACAAAAAAAAAAGGAAACCGCCCGTTTCTGCATTTCTTAGAATAACACAAATGCTCTGGGCAAAATCTGCACTTCATCCTGTGCTGGAGAAAACAGAAGCAGTAGAAGTTATGTTGCAACATCCACAGCAAACATGACACATTTTCCATTAGTTTCTGATGCGTAGATCTATGTCAGAGGCATTTCTTAGATACATTTTAAAAAGCCTGTTTTCATTTTCCTTCTGTTACACAAAGTTTATTTACCATACACATGTCACTTCATTTTAAATCTGGTAACACTTTACAATAACCATAACTTATAAATGGTAAATAGACTATTTATAAATGGTAAGCAGATAGTTTATTTATGTTTAATCATCATTCATAACAAATTTTAAAAACCTAACCCTAACCCCTACTGAACAATAACCATCTAAGTAATGTTTATTGGTGGTTTATAAACCACGTATTAATCATTTAAAAAGTATTACAAACATTAGCTGCAACTTTACAATATTCATCTAAGTGATGTTTATAGATGGTTTAAAAAACAAATATTAACCATGTACAAAGTGCTACTGACACACATTTCAATCTAGATGTTTTACAGCCAATATTTAAATCCTATATAAACCTTTAAAAAATAGTCCATTAATAGTTAATGAAAATTAATAATCATGTCATTGCTTGTTAATGGTAAAGTACTTTTAACTTACATTAATAAACTATATATTTGGCATTTATAATTGGTCTACATGCTGTTTTTAAATGATGATTAAACATTAATAAACTATCTATTCACCATTTATAAATTATGGTTGTTGTAAAGTGTTACCAAATGCAGGGTTCATGGTGAATCTGAGTTGTGTATTTTTATGAGTAAAGCCAAATTTCTTCCTTTACACCAGAAGTAAGAAGTGGATCACTTTACATAATAAAAACATTCTGTACAGGATATTATAAATGACACATTCTTAGATTTTTGTCATCTCTTTCTCATTGGTGGTGGTGGTCTTAGTGTCATTGTTTGTAATGCTCACTTTGATGTTTGGATCCTCGCTGATGAAGTGCAGGATGTTGCGCAGGGAGCGATTCATGCTGTCTTTAAAGCCTCGGCCCAGACACACATAGAGCAGGGGGTTGAGGCAGCTGTTAAAATAGGCCAGACACAATGCAAGGACGTGTGCCAGGTAAACTTTGGGACTTTCTGGAGAATGTCGAGGAGTCACTAAGACGAAGAAGTCCACTATGTGCAGAGGAAGCCAGCACAGGAAGAAGCTCAGCACCACTGCAACGATGACTCTCAGAGTGCGCCGAGAGCGGGTTCGACCCCTTGAAAGTCCACTCTCTGCTTTGCTGTACACCACAACATGACAGGCTACAATGATCAGGAAGGGGAGGACGAATCCCACGATAAAGCGGTAGGAAGTGACGATCCAGGCGCTGTGTTTCGGGTAACTTATCAGACACTCTCGCTTTTCTTCCCCTGCTCCTCTCTCTTCGGCGTACAGAAACTGCGGGATGCTCCCTATGAGGGCCAAACACCAGATAGCAACACACACAAATGCAGCCTGCTTAGGTCGCCTCTTGTTCTGACACCAGACCGGTCTACAGACAAGTAACCAGCGATCCACACTGATCAGAACCAGCTGCAGGATGCTGCAGTACATCATCATGTAAAACAGGCCTCTGACCAGAGTGCACATGAGTGGACCAAAATGCCAGTGGTCATCGTGGGCAAGAGGGACCATCAGTAGGGGGATGGAGAGGCAGCACAGGAGATCAGCCAGGGCTAGGTTGAGGAACCACAGGGAAGTCACGGAGCGGGGCATGCAGAATCCTGTCACCCAAACCACCAAAGCATTTCCAGGGACACCCAGCAGCACCACAAGGCCGTAGAGGGCCAGAGCTGCTATCTGGATTGGTAGAATCCCAGGGGTCACAATTTCAGGAATCACATAATCAGTGAAATTGAAATCAGTGCTGTTATAATCATACTCCTCATATTCATCCATGATGGGTAAAAGCTGTGAATGAAAAAGTTGTCAAACATGAAGTTTTATTTCTGATTTTTATTCTTCTTTACAAATCTCAGTTTCATTTATTTCATACAGACTTCAACAATTATGAAGTCTGCATGACATGTAAAGGGTCAACAAATAGGAAGGAATGAGGGTAGGTACAAATAGGCTAAATAGTTTCTACCTACTCCTTTTCAATCTCCAAAAAATAGGAAATTTCTTGTCTAAAATTGTACTGTATGTATATTTGATCGAATAAACGATCTCTCAATAACAAACTAGTAAAGTCAGCTACTTAATTACCTTCACAAAATCACATACATTTGAGGGTTAGAAAAAGGATTATGATATGAATAACCCAGTTAGTAAATCAAATTAAAAATTTCATTGACTCACCATTTGCACTGACAGTTGAAGCGGTCGATGCAGTGTTCTCTCTAGTAGGAAGTGATGGAGCTGTTCTGCTTTCAAGACTGTTAAACACTCCCATTTATTACACATTGGCCAGCTTGCACACATACTTGCGCAACATCCCCGGTTAATCTGATCCACTTTCTAGTAAACAAAAGATGAAATGGGTTGCTTTGGTGATAAGAAAACATCTCTTTTATTTTAAAATACAGACAGCATTGTTAGGCCTGAGCTTATTTGTGACTCTCATCCTAGACGCATCTGAAATTCTAAATAATGCAAAAAAAAGTACACTGTTAAGAAATATTCTACTTGTTTGAGTGCACTTTTTGTCATATGTGTCAAAATCTCCCATACATCCAGGCACAGCAGTCACTAAATGTAGGTTAGTGTCATTGAGGGTAAAGGGACTGTAAATCTTATAGTACTTAGTTCTTTCAAGCTGAGTTAAATAACTGGATTCTATACCTGCTTATCTTCTTACCTGCCGGCCTGTGCAAACTCTGCCAAAGTGCAGGACTAATGCTAGTCCTATAGGAAAGTAGGTGATGCTAAACACCCACTGAGATGTATTGTTCTCACAGTCAAGATATACAACCTTTTGAAAGCTTTCGAAAATGATCCTACTTCTCTCTTTTTATTCCAAAGTTCACATTTTTCTTATGAGTTTATGTTCACAGATGCTGGTTTCATGTCCTCTTCAGTGGGGCCAAACCCATCACAGACAAAGAGGTCCTCACAGAAGCTTTAAGGAAACTTTCACTTGTGACCATTTTTGTATAGGTTCACTGTATGCATCATTGTACCTATTATCATACTGAAGCAAGTGCCAACACCCAACATGAACTTTCAAAAGCTGTAATCACACTTTTACTTTTACTGCACAGACATTAGGGTTTAAGTCAAATTTGTGATCCTAGAAAGTCTTGTAAATTTAAATGTAAGTCCCATGCAAGGTGGAAATGCTTTTTTGTCTTCTTAGTACTTTGTTGTGACTGCTCGAGGTGCGTTTTGTGACACACTCAGATAAATTACAGAGGGTCATGTTTTCTTATGTCAATTTTGTAAATGCAACTCAAAGCTCTTGTGACGAGCTTTCAGCTTGTGTTCAATTTCTCATCCAAAAGTCTCATCCGTATCACTGACCATAAAATATTTCATTTTTTAAGAGTGGGTATTTTTTGTTTTATTATTCCAAGAGCCAGTTTCCATAACCGAGGATCAGACCGCCAAGGCTCCCGTCTTGGTCTGCCACCCAATCCCTCAAGCACCAGACCTTTCATGTTCCTCCTGCAGGTGGTGGGTCCACTGGTGGTGGTGCCCATGTGGCTTGTTCGGGCTGGGCCCGGCTGGGTCCCATGGGTGCAGGCCTGGCCATCAGGGGCTCGCCAATGAGCCCCAACCCCGGGCCTGGCTCCAGGGTGGGGCCCCAGTGTCCCTCTGGGTCGGGTACACTGGGTCCCTTTGTTATTTTTCATGAGGGTCTTCTGAACTGTTCTTTGTCTGACCCTTCGCCCTGGGAGACCCTACCAGGGGCAAAATGCCCTGGACAGCATAGCTCCGAGGTTCATTAGAGCGTGCAAACCCCTCCACCACGGTGAGGTGACGGTTAAGGAGGAGTTGGTTGTTGATGGATTGTTTTTGGTCAATAAAAATAAAGGCTTTTTAGGTGAGTTGGTGGTGGTGACAATAGAAATAATCTTTTTACTTGCTGATGTTTAATCTGCTTTTCATACTGTGGTATTAGTATTTAGTTCAGTGTATTTCACAAGGAGCCATAAACTTGTACCGCTGGGTTTAAAATCAGTGAACTCTGAGTGTATAATTATCGTCAATAATGATTTATCATAAATACTCAGCACACAAAAAATAATTTCCTGAACCGATGGGACAAAATACTTTATTTTCAATGTCATAAAATTGATGCACATTAACACAACAACTTTTCTTATATACAAGTTATTCACAATTCAACCTACACACAAGTAAAGCATTAATACACAGCTACAATTCTCAGTGGCATCTACGTGTCTTCTAATGAAAAGCAACTAGAGCTGCCTTCCATTTTATTTTGTAACATGTATGTCAACAAACCAAATGTCGCAGAGATCTTGGTAATTCTCTGACAAGATTAGTCAATATTAGTCACTTCCATACAACACAGTGGAGTGAGTCATTGTTGTATGACTGTCTTATTGAATCATTTTTGCAGATCCGACAATCTGACATTTCAGTTTATATTACTTTCATAAATTCCTATAGCAAAGTTACCAGATAAATGACTTCGGAGACCAAAAGTGAGGTCAAAATGATCGATCTTTGAGCAAGATATTACACAAAGCACAGTTTCACCCATCAGAGGTCAAACTACAGATCATTTTCTTCCATGACAGGAAGTCTCATTTGGTTCTATGATGTCACAGAGCCCTTAAAATTAGGAAACAAAAAGGGAAATGAAAGATACAACTCCAGCAATTTTTCTCATTAAAGTTTGAAAAAAAGACACCATATTGCTCAAGCCTGTCGTTGACATCAGAAAAGCTGACTCCTGTGTGTCAGAGCATATGTGTGTTTCAAATTTTCCAGGTTCCCATGCGTGCAGATGGGTCTGTTTATCCCAGCCCTGGATTGCATTGATGTAATTTGTGCAAAATGACAGCATGTGTGAAACAGATGATATGTGTTTGACTTCTAAAATCATCTTTGGATACAAGTTGTTCTCGCTTTTCATTTAAACATGGTATCAGTTTCACACTCTTGGTGACCTGTCTTTGTCTTTGTTTTCTTGTTTTTTGCTGTGCTCTGGGCCTGGAAGTTTCCTCACAGGGTGGTCTGGTGAGATGAGATGAAGTCAGTTGAGGGCTGGAGCACTGCTGGGTGGGAGTGTTGGGGTGTCATCTCTAAATGCATCCGACTGAAGGTCTGTGGAAAGAAATTAGGGATGTTATCCCTTTATCTTTCAAACATTACGCATCAGACATAATAATTCTGATGAAAAATGAGAGGCGACACTGCGTCTATCAGGGAAGTTAAAATAAACCGAAAGTTCCTGACAGGGGTTTTAACACTGCATGAGATTCAGCCACAAGCTTTTCAAAAAAAAAAAACTTTTCATCTGTTAAATGTTAGAAAGCCTGCATAAAGACATAAAGGGAGATCAATAATAAGATGCAAAAAATTAAAATGATAAAATATGGAGATAAAAGATTTATGCCTGACAGAGGCACCACGATTTTATGTTTGACTGTTGAGTTATATGTCGGATATTTGCTTTATTGATTCAAGTTCTGTTACTTTCTTGCATCAGATAGCAACTTTTTTTTTTCCTCAATGGCAACAACCTGAACTGACTTGTGATAAAATGTGCTCACTGCTCAGTATATAAAATTGCTATTTCTATTTGTATTTTTTTCTTGTGCTAAACTCAAAACATATAGGCTACCTAAATTAAACTATATGATTACGTTTCTCATTTATCATTTGTTTTGCTCTTATATATATATATATATATATATATATATATATATATATACACACACACACACACACATATATATATTTATATATATATGTTTATATATATGTATATATCCTGCTGTTCTGGTGACTCTGTAACATCGCTCACATGCTTCTGTTGTTTTTAAGGCTGTTGTTTTCAGTTATTGTTCTTTTAGGGTGTTTTTAAGCCACATGCACAGTAAAACACCTTTATGATCTGATTAGATTAACAGAATCATATTCTTATGTTTAATCACATGCAGACTTTCCCAGGAAATACGAAACAAGTCAAAAGTTGAGCCGATACTGTATGCTTAGTACTGTCATGGTTTATTTGGTTAATAGTGGCGGTGTGCATGTTGTTTTTCAGTTGCATCAGGTCTGGGATAAGACGAGATAAGATGTTCCTTTAATAGTCCCACAGAGGGAAATTCCAAAATTTAGTTTTAGTTCATGAACATCTGCACACGCACGATAAGAGCTTCTCCATAAAAGGGAATAAAAATTAGAGAAGGAAAGGAAAAAGCTGACTGCGTGTGATAATACAACCACACACAGTCAGCTGTTGCTCAAACCAAAACTTAAACTGTCCCACTCCACCCAACTCACCAATAAGTGTCAAGCCCTGCTGTGGGTTCAGTATAACTGATGTTTCCTCTTCTTCTTCTTCTCCCCAGTCTGCAATGTTTGCTGGGGGGATGCACTGCTCCAAGAACAGGTCCTCCTCATCCTCCTCCATGTCCATGTTCTCTGGAGGCCAACGCAGTTCTCCGCTTTCCACTTCGCTCAGCTCTGTGGGCTCCACGACAATAGAGGGTAAACGCTCCTTCTCACTGTTGTGATCCAGGCTGTTCAAGGCGGTCTCTGGGCCTAGAACAACCTCCACAGGGTCCGGGAAGATCTGAAGGGACATGGGTGGTAGCTGAGAATTGAAAAGAAGAGTGAAACTGGAAGGATGTTTGGTTGTAACGGCCACCACAAGGCAGCAACATTTTTTTGTTTTTAAATCAAATCTAGTCACAGGATGGTGGTTAGTGGCACAAACCTGAAATGGCAATCTTTGGTCCTTTCTTTGCAAGTCTTCACAGTTTGGATCCTGACCACTCATCTCCATCTCTCTGGAAAGTAAACAAACACTTAATTAGGTCCTTTTTTTATTTGTAGACACACTAAAAAGCCTCATAATGTAGGACTCCTGGGGATCTTTGAACATCAAGTTTCCTAGAACTGTAGCTGATTACATGAAAATTAGACTTTCCCCTGCATTCGCAGAAATTTGATTTATCTTTCTAATAATTTTGTGACCTTTCTTAAATTTCTGTTAAAGCCTGTTCTAAATTTTCATTAACACACCATAAAAATACCATAAAATACTGTGCTATGTGTCCAAAGGCAACTCAAAAAGTACAGGTCCGCCAAAAATGATAAAGCAGTTAAGATCTTCGGCCGTAGGACATGAATAAAAAAGCCAACAATCTGTACACATAATATAGTAATGAAGGAAATAAAGTGTCCTGACTGCTCACGTACTACAAAGACTCTTACAAGTCTAACTTTTCTACTGCCCCCCAAAAAACTCTACGATAACATGACAATCAGCAGCCCAAGAAGAGCCTCTTTTTTGTGATAAAGGTGCAAAAATTTACTGTCAAACCAATTTACAGTGGGACTGAATTACAAGAAAATATTAGAACAGATCATACAGACAGAAAAAGAACAAGGTCTGACATAGATTTTGAGTTGTATACCAACATAAAGGACCTGAAATAACTTAAACTTGAAACTATTTTAAAAAAGACAGTGATGAGTTGAGGAAGTTATGAACTTGAAGTATTGCTTATGAAAACAAAGGAGTTGAAAATGGCGCACCATTGTTGTCTTTACATGTGAGATAAGTTTAAACCTATTTATTTTTTTATGCTAATCAAGTTTTCAGTTTTATGTAAAACGTCATTGTAAAGGCCTTCTAAAAAAGTAACACAAAAACATAAACTCAAAAATAGATGACAGCAGCCCTGGATGAAACTTCTTTGACTGTGGACTGGATGTTGAGCCCACAGAGTCTGTAAAGTGGGGCCTTGTTCCAGCTGAATGCATGGGCCTGTGTCCATAACTGACGTCAATCTGTTTAAGGTCTCCAGAAAAGCCGACAGAGGATTAAGAAGGACTGAGGATCTGTCCGAATCCTCTCTTTATCCCTCTCTCCTGCTCCCTCTCTCTCTTTTAGTCACTGTGTCTTTGAGTCTGTGCTTTCTCAGGGACTTTAAATCATGGTTTGTTGTCATTCTGAGGCCGAGTCTCATGACACTGTCTGTTAGGCTGAATCTTGCCCACCCTTTAATGGATCTTTCAGTGAGAAACGACTTCAACCTTTACTTTTTATTGTGTGTGTGTCTCAAACCTTGTGTTGGGTAATTTGGGGAATTTGCTAAGAGTGGCAGCAGCCACATGCTCTGTCAGACTAAGATAGAAAATATTAAAATAGCACTATTTTTAAAATTGCCAGTCTCTTCCTGGAAATGCACTTAGATATTTTGGTTACGTAGGAAGATGTTGAGCAGGACAGAGTCAAAAACAAACCTTATTCTGCGGTATTTTTGCAGATGACACATATGAGCACTACAGATAATATCGAGTAATGATGTTGATAACTGAGGAATAAAAAAAGAATACTTCAAATCAAATGGTTGTTGTGACTGTTCTTCTCATTAGCACACTGAGCCCAGTGCTGCCCTTGAAATCCCTCTTAGAGCTAGTGCTGTAGTAACTGAGATGTCTATTCAGTCTTGCTAGCTCACTGCTTGTGTCCTCAGTTTAAAGATTTTCGTGTACTGCATGATTTTAATAGTGAACAAGCTGATGCCTAAGTTCTATCTCACCAAGACACAATGTCATCCATTGACCTAGACATGACCTACTTTTGTTTATAAACAAATACCCACAAATCCTTTAAGACTTGGTGATGGGCTACTTAGCATTAGTGCTAATTAGCACTGTTAGCATGTTAACTCACTAGCTTGAGATGCTTAACAGTGGAAACTTTTCCAAACATCCGCATGTTGATATTATGATGTCTGATATGTTACCCTTTACCTGAAATTACTGCAGTGCTCAAGGGCTGCTAGCTTTGCTGCAGACTTTCAGTCTTCATTAGCGGCAAACACAAAGCCCCTTTCAGGTTATTCTTTTTACTAGTGCAGTTCTGTGTAACATTTCCAAAGTCATCTACATTTAAATATGTGGCTTTGTAGAAAATACTGAGAAACAAACAAGTGAGTCAAACCAAATATGCTAGTGCAGTGTGGCCGCTGGAAGTTATCAGTGAGGTCAGGGGTCAGGCCCTTGAGGACAGGGATATAGCTAAGGTCTTGTTTACATGAAATCGGCCCTGTTAAGAAAAGTCTTTCCTCACGTGTTGAAGTACCCATGTTCATATGACAACGCTGTTAAAGGGGACACTGATCCACATAAAACAACTGAAAATACTTAAGTATGTATGCAAGACCGGTAGTTTGCGGCATAAGTGTGCAATGAAACACTACCTAAGAGCACCACACGCCTGCATATAGAGGCGCTCGTCAACGGGGTAAAAAAACCCACAAATATCTGCATAAGGATGTGTGGCTGTTTTTACCATCTGGGTGGTCTACACAACAGTAGAAGAAGAAGTGTTTTTCCAAAAGTTCCACCCAGGACCCTAAAGTCAAAAGTTTGCATTTTCAGATTCTAAGATTCAGTATCAAGAAAAGTAACCAGGCAATAATTTACTTTTTCATTTGGGTACTATTCTGTGAAAGTAGCCCAAATTAACAATGTAAAGCAATATTTAACCAGTGTTTTGTTTTGGGACTCATTAAATGCAATGAAATGTATTTAAAAATCTTGACTTTTTCATGTATTATTCAGATAACCTCATGTTTTAACAGTTTTTCCTATGCAGCTGCCTCCACGTTTAGCTCTTAAATTTGGCTCATTCTCAGGATACATATGTGATTATTTAGCATTATTTCATGAAAAGTACATACTACTTTTGATTTCTCTTTTTTAGCTGAGCAGCATTGGAGTTTTTTAAGAGAACCAGGACATTCAAAAGTGCAGTGGCATCGACGCTGCAGGGAAAAACAGGATGGACCTTAATAGCAGTGTGCTTTTAGATGTTGATGCTGACGGCCTGTAAGTTTTTACTCAAAGAAAAATGCCTCAGCGGGTTTGATGTTTTTGTCACCATGCTTGAGTTCATTGTATTTATCAAATATTTTGACAAATGAAGAAACACTAAGCTAGTTTGCGCAACCTGCTAAAACCGGGACACCCTGTTCTCATCTAAACAGGATCAGCTTTGAGAGGATGCTATCATTTTTGACCCACTTGTGAATGTGCGCAGCCCTACAATTCAATTTCTGATAATATAATGCCGACAACTGTGTCACGCTAAGCTGTTTGTGTGCCACCTGGGATGGAAACTTTCGGCAGCTATTATGATGAAGAAGCTTAACCCCCATGTAATCCTTTTCATATACACTCTCTCACTAAACACCTCCATGTTTCAGCAAAATAATACAGCTCACTGTTGACCCAACAATGACTGCATCGAGGGTAATGAATATGAAGCTATTGTGATAGTTGCTGTTTATTTATTATTGCAAATTTTGGAGCAATGCAATCCTAAATGAATCGAGAAATATTCATTAAAACACTTTCTATTTTCAATCTAGGAAAGTGTTTGTGGTCTGCTTCAGCAGGAAGGATGATGTACAAGATAAAAAATGCTGTTCTTGCCAACAGGGTTCACACTTATATGCTGAAAGGAAATCGTTTGAAAGAGATAACTCAATTTTACCAAGTCTAGCTGATGTTTATCACAAAGTGAGAGGGTATGAACTAGTTCCTGTTTCCATCATGTAAAAAATTTCATTCTTACTTATCTGCCAATCCTGGAAACTTATAATCTTTTCATTTATTTCTGTGGTCAAATTTCTACCTACTTAGATAACAATGGTAAGATAAGCAGCATAACCTCAACTGCACAAGTCTCTTTTTCTGTTGAATTCTATGGATGTAGCCCTGGTACCATTAATTGCTCTGATGGGGATTTAACAGTTTAAATTACTTTCAGTTAGCAAACATTATCTCGTTGGCTCACGATAGAAAATCCTTAATAAATTAAACTGGGTATACTTCCTTGGATATCCAACAAGAGTGTAAATGAGAGACGATTTATGCAGTAAATGTATTGAAATATATTAAAATCAAATAGTTTGGACATATTTGGCCAGCAATAAAAAAATAGAAGAAAATAAATTCAAATAAAGATCTGAAAGTTTCATAAGCAAGAAAGTTTTGCATTCTTTTATCATATGCACATAGACTGAACTGTAGGTTTCAGTTTAGTATAGCCTTGTTGAAGGCAGTGATGTGGTGGTGGGCCTAAAAGAAGTTCACAGTTGTTTCTTCAGTAAACAGTATTTTGGCCTGAAACACATATCAACACACAAACTCCTGCAGCTTCTTACCCCTCAGTTGCAGTCTGGCAGATGACACCTCCATCTTGGCACAGCTCCACAGTAGTGAACCCGGACTCCTCCACAGTGAGCACAGGTGACACAAGAGGGGGTGCAGGAGGAGGGGAGCAGTCCCCCTCTGCAGAGCCCTCAGTCAGGCTTTTGGCCTCCAGGGCGAAGCCTGGAAGAAGGGGTTCCCAAAATGTCAGGTATCCCAGGAGTTAAGTAGAGGATCAAGATGTCCTGGTGTCCTTTATAAGACAGGCCAACGCTTCCTCAACGTCCAGGTCAGTGACAATTCCGCCTGCTAACCCACAAACTTGTACGCAATTCCTTGTCTCCTGCGACCAACTTCCCTCCTCATGCCTCTGTCAGTATCCTTCTCTCTTGGTCCTGCCCCACCCCACTGCTAGGCTTTGGAGAGGAGTAGGATTAGCGTCTCTTTCGATTACAGAAGCTGGATGGGTGACGTCAGCTGGGCTTGACAGTCCCCTCTGATGAGTTGGCACACTGGGTTGCTAGTGCATCCAAAAAGAAACATACAAAGGGCACACAGATGGCACTTCGCCCCACTGCTGCTCTGCTCACAGAATGATCAGAAGACGATTTGCATCTTAAAAATGTCTAAACCTTATTGTATTTTCCTCATTCTGTTTGTGTGTCCATCATGCCTCTCTCTTACTCTTCCCAACTGTGTGTGCCATTGCTCCATCGGTGGATTTAGATTTGGGCGATTCATGGAATTAGCCCAGGGATCAAGGGCTCAGGGTTGGGAAGGGGATAGATATATATATAACAGGCTCCAGCTACTGCTAAACAGACAGAGCACTGCTAACAGCACTGTGTAATCCCCTCTGTAGGCTAAGTCAGTGGACTATATATGGAAAAGGTTGTGAAGGAGCAACATGAAAAGCATCCTGCTTCAGCAGAGCTATGAATGACACAATGTCTGGGACCATATTTGCGATAATAACCCAAGTAAATTATCAGTTATGAAACTCATCACTCAACCACATTTTTAATTACATTACTGACAAAATTCATTTGTAAAGTAAATATTTGGGTTTTTTATCCAGTTTCAGGAGGGACAGGAATCAAGTATTACATTTATAAAAGAACAGTTGCTCAAAAAAGGTTTGGAAATGAGTTTGCAGAGGCTACAGAAACAATAGCCGATCCTCTATAAGTGCAGGGCTGCAAAAACCAGGAGGAGGCAGCGAGAGGGCAGGTAAAGAAGGACATTTTTACACAACAGTTGATATATTCACAATGTTATAATATTGTATGTCCATAGTGATTTGCAGTAAAGTTACATAACAAGACTTCCATGGATATTAGCACCATTTCTGGATGTTTTCCCAGGTACCTGAAAAGCTTGTTTCGAGGCATGACCTTGACCTGATGCCAGGTTGTGCTGCCCGAAAAGGACAGAGCAAGAGGACGAGCTCTCCTTGCTACTTTCTCAATGAAATACTCAACTGTAGTCTGTTTCACCCCTCAATTTTTTATCTCCAGCCTGCACTTTGTAAACCCACTGTGTCTCAGAAACTTGCTCCTGAGGATTTTTTATTTGGGAAGGACATTCACAGTTGATATCTCTTTCCAAAAACAAAGGCACCAGCAAACAGAGGTTTTTTTTTTCCTTGTTTTCAAGACAACAATGAAGATGCTTGTTCTTCCCCACTTAAGCGATAACTCCTACAGGAAAAAAAGGCAATATGTGAGCTGGACATATGTCTAAATTGTGACTGTAACCTTTGGCTGTTCTACATGACTTGATGAGGGTTTTTACAGCAACCAAAATAAAATAACAGATAGATTATTTGGGGGGCAAGTCATGCAAACTCTACTGTATCTTGGTCTGACATTACAAAATGCAAATTCTCGTTCAGTCGTCCATCTTTGTGTGATTTTCACTTCAAGCATGGATTTTACCCAACGGTGAGAGACTGTGCCTCACATTTACACATTTACTGACTGAATGACTGATTCACTGATGATTGTTTGATTGATTGGCCATTCCATCCGGAGAGGGGGTTATGGATGAATTGAGTGTGGTCAGACAAAGGTATGCTTTTCACTGCATCAAAATGCAAAGCTCTGTGAACCAGGACTGCTACCTGCTAGAAATATGTGACTGCCTTGCTGCTCAAATGTCAGCTCAGAGAAAGCACTTTACTAAACCATGTTAAATATGTAAATGACATAAGAACAGCTCCTTCATCATGTTACATTAGGAGTCTTATGACACAAACAATTTGTTGTATCATCTGTAAATCTATTCATATGCATGTAGGTATTCCTCAGGCATTTTTAGTGCCAAGAGTATGTAAAATGGTACCGCACTACTGCCCTCAGGTCCTCTTAAGAGCAGCTCTGGAGACTTGGACTGCAGTCATGAAATAGATGTTTTATTGTGGGTTTCGTTTTACCTTCAGGGATAATTACAGGCCACTCAACATAGAGCTCAAGGGTTGGGTCAGTCGCTGGAAGGAAACTTCAGGAATGGGACGAGGCAAACACCACAAACACAAACAACAGAGTAGGAGATTCAGTTCCAAAGTAAACAAGTGTTCAATGCAGACACCTCGTTATTTTTTTTTCACAAAAGTGTAGCTGCAAAGGTAGAGCACCATCATTAAGTGGCTTTACAAGCTCACCCATCCAGTTCTGCAACTACATGTGCTTACTTGAGTAACATTTCTGACAACTTTTACTTCTACTTCACCACATTTTCTCAAGAATCTTCTTTACTCATTACAATGTTTACCAGTGGAAATTTTGTCTGATTTGTTTTGATTTTTTGTGACTACGGCCATTATTAGATGGAAACTAAGGCATTAAAAACTGAAGATGGAAGTACAGCAATATTACAGATATTGATTGGCATAAAAAAAAAAAAAAACTTCTGGAAAGAGTGTACAAGTTCTCCACTAATGTGGCCAATAAGATCCTGCACAGCTCTCTTCATTAGTAGATGGTGGGGGTTAACAGAGCAAACATTACAGTGGATTATTACTGTCTGAAAGTGCGTGACACTTTCTCTATGGTAACTCTATGGTAACAAAACTGCATTAATTTTCATCTTAAATTGTAGTCATTAACTGTTAGTGAAGTGGAAGCTCAGACTCTATTGTTGTTTATTATTTGTCATGAATGGGGCGTTTATTTTGAATAAGGTGCCTGTAGCATGAGACTTTGCTAATTGGGTTCAATTCAGCCCATGAAGCACACACAGAGTTTGATGAAAGTGATAAATGGGTGATTTAATCATACACACACACAAACAGGTGATTTAATCACATACACAGACACACACACACTTTTAGGCCTCTTTGAGTCTCCTTTGTGTGTCAGATGAAGAGGATAATCTTGGGAGCATAGGACCTCAGCAGCTTCAGACTCCAGGCACTTTATGACTCTGTTGCCCCTACAAACCAGATCGACAACTTCGACCTGTGTCCCTGCATGTCTGTAACATTTGAGTCATTCTCTTGCGTCGGCAGCAAAAGGTAAGCAGGTCTACACTCCTGTCTTGGATTTGTCTTGCTCCCACAGAGATTTTAAGACAAAATACAACTTTTAAAACCACTTGCAATCACATCAGAAGAGTTGGCTTTGCAGTGGGAGTATGGGCTTGTTGTGCATTCGTTATTGAAAGCATAGGTGATTGCTTAAAAAAAATGCAATATTCAGTGCTTCATGTAGTGAATTTACTACATTACATGTGTACTTTTATCTAATTGCACAACATTATTGCTTGCAGAAATTTGAAGTACACATACAAGCTGTGATTGCTTTTTCTTAACAGACAAACTACAACAAAATCAGAGGTTAAATCATGGCTGATGAACCAATCCGCGGTGACAACATCTCTCCATCAGGTAAGTTATGAAAAAAGCCAAAATATCAAAATCTCCTGTGAGGTATTTTTAACTTGTAATAAAACAGACTGAAACCGATAATGTCCTTATATGACCTGCGTAAACTAAAGATACAATCAGCAACAGTACTGACTATTTCATGTTTGTACACGCCTTAAACCACTGCAGAAAGGTAGGTGTCAGGCAAAAGAATTTACTGCAAACGATTAAAAAGAAAAAATTCCAAAGCAAATATTCTCATTACATTGAAAAATTATATTTAGCTTTTTTAAGAAAGGGTGTTTTTTTTTTTGTTGTTTTTTTTTAAATTGACATGAACCACAAGTTTCTTTCAGGTTCTGATCTGTGGTAGTTTTAAATTTGATTATTCACGCAATTTTCTTTTCTTTTAGTAGAAAATACACTACGTCCAGTCTTACAACATGTACAGTCCATGCTCTAATTATCATATGTTGCTCATTACAGGCACTGTGGCCTTCACAGCCAAGTTGGACATCGATGACAGCTATCCCTGCCACTCTGGAGTCCTGAAGTTTGCCAGTGTGCTGGTCAACGAGGGAGGAGGCTACAATCCTGACAGTGGTCTCTTCACCTGCCCTAAGGATGGTCTCTACCACTTCACTGTGCATGTGTCTGTGTATGGGCGCGGCCAGTGTGCCATATTCAGAAATGGAGAGAAAGTGGTGTCTCTTTATCACACCTCTCTGCCTGACAAATGTAGTCAAGTGGCCAGTATGAGCAGTGTGATCAATCTGAGGAAGAATGACGACGTCTGGGTGAATATTTGTGGGCCTGGCAAAAATGATATATTTGCAACTGAAGATCAGGATACAGTGTTTGTTGGGGTTCTGTTGGGTTAAGGCCAAAAGAGTCAAAATGTCTTGTGCTGTAAATGCTCTCATCTAATAACCCTTTGTTTTGGTTATGGGCATTAAAAGTTATGATGCAGTTACTGACAGACTTGTTGCTGATGGTCTATTGTTTTTTTATTGTTAATTTCAAACTTTTTTAAACCAATAAAAAATCTTTTACAGTTTTTAGATTTAAAACAATTCTAACTTTTAATCACAACTTTAGTATTTAAACCTTCATAATGAAATTTGGCTTTCGTAGCTACAATAATTTACCATTAAGATTTCAGCTCTACTTAACTATGTCATGTTTTAACAGTTGTTGGGAACACTTGTCTTTTTTTTTATAAAAAAGGAGAATTTCAACCATCATGTGACTCCAATAAAAGACTGTTAGGTCTAAAACCTGCAACATTTACCTGATAACATATAAAGAAGAGAAAGACAATGGTATATACTCGAGGAGAATGGACCGAGATAGCTTCAGGTACCATGTCGAAACCACTCTAAAGGTATTTCCGCCCAGTCTCTTTTATTTAGTCTTGTCCCTGGTTACATAATGTTTCTAAAAGGGGTGGTAGATGGTGCAGCAAAGTAAACATTCTCATAAAGCATAATAATGAACACTTGTGAATATGTGAAGGTCAAGGCGGCATCTAATGAGCTCCTTCTGATAACAGCGGCACCTCCTCAAAAACTCCCCACGATTTATTAGCGGAGGATCCATCACTCACACACCCCCACCTGCTGATAGGAAAGACACAGTCACAGAAAACTGAAAGAACATTGTTCTGCTGTGTAGTAAATCTATTGGAGAGAGAAGTTAGGAAACACTCTTATATGATAAAAATACTCTTATATAATGTATTAAAAGAGGTCAAAGCAGTTTACACTTGTAGTATAAACTCTTACATAAGAATATGAGGAATAATGATAACTTCTATATACATTTATGCACATTATTCTAACATTTCCCTCCTGTTTATCATTACTTTGCTCAAATTCTCATAATCCCTCTAGTTCAGCCACTTCTCTCGATTTTCAGCTGCGAGTTCATGTGTATGACTACAAAGAATTTACACCCGGAGGTACAAGATGTTGCTTTAGTCAGAATTATACTCATCATCCGGATTGGGGCACAGGTCAGGCCATTGAGTGTCATCAAGTCTGTCCTCCTCGTCCTGCTGATGGAGCAGCGGGTACAGCTCCTGCATCTGCTGCTCCACAGGGGACAACGCTGTGGTGATAAGACGGTTAAGAAGAGAACAAATACAGAAATACAACAACATCCACACAAGGTCAAATTAGCTGCAAAAACAGCAACAGAGATTAGGACTGAATCTACAAGATTTTTTGTATTTCCCAAATACATTCATCCAATTGTCCCAAGAGGAGTTATCTATTCCTGAGTGGTCTTTCATTTTGCTGTGAAGCGTTTTTAGGCCCTCTATGGCTCGAGTGAGGCTGCCATCAGCAGCAGTGTTTTTTTTTTTTTTTTTTTTTTTTTTAGGAATGAACGTGCGACATGTTTCTCCAAACATGGCACATACACCTCCTTTTTCTGCGAGCAGCATGTCAAGGGCTATACGGTTTTGGAAAGCCATCAGGGATGTTACAGATAACTGCGAGTGAACGGCCTGAAAACCAGCCTCAGTCCAATTACCTAGCTTTTGAACGTTGAAATGGATGTAGTTGATTCTGATTTGATCTATATTTTTGTTCATTGTACACCAAGGACAGACGAGAGACTCAAAGCCTGCAGCAACTTGATTTACTAGTTTGTACTCATCTGGTACCTCACAAGGAACTATCTATATAAGTCGGGTCTGACTCTGTTTGCTAATTTCTTTTACTCTGGAGTGGCTCAACAAAGGAATAAGACTAACTGCAGAGGTTAAATTTGTCACACTGGTCTAGAAAGTTATAACAGTTAGGATTAAAGTTACTAAGGCCCTATTATCAGTCTGCTGTCATTCAGGTACAGCTACAGAAAACACATACACTTTTATTATAGTTAGGGAATTCCTAGTACAGACATAGAAGTTAGACTGATTCTTCATTTTTACTAGATATTTTTGCATATCTGTACCACATGTTCACTTCAAATTAGTTTTTTTTTAATTATTATTTATTGAGAGGGATTGCGAAGCATTCCACTATATGTTATTCATATCTTTATTAATATTATTCTTCCATCATTTTTGTTAACTAATTTTTTTTTATTTTGTGATGTACCTTTAATAAACATAAGTATAAGTGTTTATTGACAAAACAAGCATACACAAAATCCCATTGTAAACAAAATAACAAACGCCTAGTAGCAGTTAAGCTATGGTAAAGTTCTCAGTGTCTTCACTACATGAAGCAACTGTGGTGTCCGTCTGGGTGATTCATACCCCTGCTCACTGTCTCTCAGGTTTGCTCTCTGCACATGGTCGCCTTCAGAACAGCTGAATGTGATTTTTGATTGGTAGTCACACAGGATGTGAGGACTATCGTTGTTGTCACTTCTCTTTCCTTCCTTAAGTTCATCTGAAGTTGTAAATAATGTTTCAGTAGGTAAATTAACAGTTTCAGGTTTAGCAGAAGTAAGATACTTAACTTTCCCATAGCTTAAGCTCCTAAGGAATTCAACACCATCTAATCTTCACTGACATTGAGACGAACGCCCACTATAAGGACGCCCCCCTTTGAAGTCAGACTTTCCTAACTAAAACCCATATAGGTTTTTTTGCAATGGGAAAGATGTATCCAACTACTTCTTTGTGCTATTTTTACTGCTGTGGCTGTCATTAGCAGTACCTTTATTTTTTTAATTCCTTCCACTTACTTCACTGTATTAAAAACCATTCAAACTTCAGGAGATTCCAGCTTATATTCAAAATTTTCCTAACATTCTTCCTTTCCAAGATACTCCAGATTTTACAACCAATTTTTCTCGTTAGAAATGCATTACAGAATTTTCAAATTGGCCCTTTTCTCACATTTTCTTTACACAACTTTAAAAGCCTTCAACTCCTCTATACATTCAGATTATGATCATTTTAATTTTTTCAGTTTTAGATCATTTCATTCTTCATTCAGTATTCAATTTTTTCAAACTAATTCCAACTCATTTAAACTGATTCAACCCTTTCTGAATCTTCAAATCTCATATCTTTCGCATAATTTTTGAACTTAAACCATTTACAATAGCAGCTTAGCAATTACAATTTTAGCTGGAGCAATCCATCTCGCAATTTCTTCAGAACTTGCATTTTCTAGTTATTATTATTTATTTATTTATTTATTTATTTCATTGACAAAATGAGTTCCATTGTCACTGTAGATTCGTTTTGGAATGCCAAATCAAGAAATTATTTCTCTACGCAGGATTTTTGCTACTGTTAATGCATCTGGATGGGTAACAGGAAATAATTCTATCCATTTAGTGAAAGGATCTATTAACACTGAACAATATTTCTTTCTCTCACACTGATTTAATTCTATGAAGTCCATGTGCATGGCTTCAAATAATGCATTGGTTGGTGGAAATTTGCCTCTTTTTGGTTTTATACTGTCTTGAGCATTATGTCTTAAACAAACTGAACAAATCAAATAGTAAATTATTTATTTTTTATTTATTATTATTATTTTTTTTTTTTTTTAAATAATTTATGAATCAATAGGGTTAACTACTACACTCCTCCCTCCTGTCGAGACATGGCAAGGCCCATGACTCGCTATTACTACCTCTCAAGCTCTCTCTGTGTGTTGATTTGACAAAAATCTTTTGTTTGGAAAACCTAATCTGTGATAGTTTATGTCTAAGAACTGTTTTCTTTGCACCGGAGTCACACAAAAAGGTTAAGGGTAAACCCTGAATCATTAACTATATCTGCGGTGTTATGTCTGCACAATGTATTCCTTCTCCAAATGACTGTTGCAGCTCCGCTGATACAGGAAATCTGTCCTGCCACAAGTTATTGCACTGTTAAATAACTCACATATGTCAGACAGGGACTCACGCCTGTCTGCTGTATAGTCCATTCTTAAAAACTCCTATCACATCATATTACAGAGCACCTTAAATTGTATATCTATCATCCCATCTGTAATATTTCTCATTTCATATTTATTACTCATTTCATATTTTTTACTAATTTCAATAGCCCACGTTCTTCATATCTCACTTTTATCTCTTAGGATGTTTAGCATATTTAGCCTATATTTATTGTATATACTTAGTATCTTTATTATTTTTAGTCTGCATTGTACTTCTTATTATATTTAATTTTATATTTTCTTTTTGCTGCTATAACAAGAGAATTTCCCAATTTGGGATCAATAAAGTATATCTATCAATCTATCTATCAAAATATCTTTATATATTTATTTATCTTCTCCAAGTTTAGCACTTCTTCCTCCTCTGTATCGTCTCTGTTCACCCTTTCTCTTTATTTCTGTCGAGTAACGTTTGCTGTCTCTCCCTCCTCTAGTCCTGCTTGATACTTTTTTCTACAGCTCTTCACCTAGTGACAAAAAAGCTCTACAATTCTCTGATGTTGTGGTTCATGACCTTGGTCAGGGTACTGTTCTTTATCTCTTTGCTCTTGTGATTCATAACTTTTGTCAAAACTTCTACTTCTTCTATTGTTTTCTCTATTGAAATTCCTGCCTCTTAACCTGCGACTTCCTTGTTCTCTCTGTCATAGTCATCAAATGGTTTATCATCTCTCTTATTATTCCATAGTCGTCCTATTTATCTCATATAGTATGAAATACATTGTCACATTTGGAGTTAATCTTAAGTTAAATAGCATTATAGAGAGGGTTTTTAATTCCAAGTTAGCTTTGGTGTTCTCTGCACTTTACTATGGTTACTTCTTTAAGTTCCAATAGGGTATAATATCAATCAGTTGGTTCAAATGTTTAACAGGGATGCCAGCTGAGGTCAGAAAACCTCTTCTTCTCCAGTGACACGTCTACATGTACAACTTATACTTCATAGGCTGTAACAGTTAAGTCACAGTTTTGTCTTTTTATAGCTACATGCTTCTGCATAGGGAGGGATTCTTTGGCTGCTGTGTCTCTGGAGGAGTCAAGGTCGTAACTGGCCTCTGATGTATCATTCTAGCATTTGTGCAGAGAACAGAGACTGTACAGAGAATTTAACTTGTTAAAAATTTGCAGTCTGCATTAAACCTTTCTGCCTATTTAACTGCCTTTTCTACCTTTCATTTCTGCATTATTATCAGTATTATTATTATAATTATTATTATTATTAAAGTTGTCTTTACTTATAGCTTTTGATCTCGTCCTGACTGCTCACGCCTTCCTCCCTTTGATTTGTTATTGCAAATGCGGGCTATATGTCCCTCCTTTCCACATGCCCAGCAACATGTCCCTCTTTGATTTGCTCCTCCTGGTCTGGGCCTATCTTGTCCTCTACCTCTGAATCCTCTTCTGCTTCTGCCTCTTGCATTTTGATAGAAGGCTTCATTTTCATTGTCACCTTCTGCAAAAAATGCACTAGCTCCATTTGTTCTTCCCTTTTTTCTCCTCCTTTCTCCATCCTCTCTGGCTTTTGCTACTTTTTTCCATTCATCAATCATTTGACACCCATATTTTATGCTTATGGAGTCGTGTAGTTTATTTAATTGGCTTGTTCTTAGGCTGCCATCGAATCCAAATTTAGTTACCCATAATTCGAGGAATTGTAATTTTTCTGGCTCTTTTTCAAAGATTCTCCAATCTTGACATCTTAATTCTTCCAAATTAGCCTTACTGGTTTCCGTCCCCATTTTTATGTGTTTTGGTCCAGCTTAGGTGACACCTAGGGTGTCCTATTAAGCTGGGTTCTTTCAATGGGGTAGTGATAAAAAATTCCTTATGTGGTAATTCTCACTTCTACTCTTGCGAGTGGAGAATTCTTGCCTTTGCTTCCACAATAAGGTCACTACTTACAATCCCACTGTTTTGGTATGAATAGGATATATCTAGTGATATATGCCTATTCCAATCACTCTCACACTTTCATAATCACACTTTTAACACGTGTTTTGTTCTGCAGAATTTTTTAACGGCTTTGTAGGACCCGTGCGTCCTTGAATTAAAATTTTCCAATTTGGACTCTACCGTCCTTTTTTCACAGATTTGTAGGACCCGTTTGTCCTTTTCCACGGATTTTTATACGTAGGACCCGTGCGTCCTTTTCAACGGATTTTTATACGTAGGACCCGTGCGTCCTTTTCAACGGATTTTTATACGTAGGACCCGTGCGTCCTTTTCAACGGATTTTTATACGTAGGACCCGTGCGTCCTTTTCCACAGATTTTTATACGTAGGACCTGTGCGTCCTTTTGTTTGTTTGGTCTTTTATAGATTCTCTACGCGAAGCGAATCTCAATCATTCCACGTTCCTTTTTATAAGAGACCAACTCACCACTTGTCTTTCCCCTTGGCTTCGGATTTCCGTCAACCGTCGGATCCCAGCAGGCAGGTCGAGTCCAGTTCCTCAAAGAGGTCTTCAAGACTCATCCTAAAGAGTCTGCCGTGGCCACGGTCTTATCTGTCGTCCACCTCACCTGCTGGAATCGTCTGGTCTATTGGAATCCGGCTCGAAGGACCAAAGAAATGTTAGGTCTAAAACCTGCAACATTTACCTGATAACATATAAAGAAGAGAAAGACAATGGTATATACTCGAGGAGAATGGACCGAGATAGCTTCAGGTACCATGTCGAAACCACTCTAAAGGTATTTCCGCCCAGTCTCTTTTATTTAGTCTTGTCCCTGGTTACATAATGTTTCTAAAAGGGGTGGTAGATGGTGCAGCAAAGTAAACATTCTCATAAAGCATAATAATGAACACTTGTGAATATGTGAAGGTCAAGGCGGCATCTAATGAGCTCCTTCTGATAACAGCGGCACCTCCTCAAAAACTCCCCACGATTTATTAGCGGAGGATCCATCACTCACACACCCCCACCTGCTGATAGGAAAGACACAGTCACAGAAAACTGAAAGAACATTGTTCTGCTGTGTAGTAAATCTATTGGAGAGAGAAGTTAGGAAACACTCTTATATGATAAAAATACTCTTATATAATGTATTAAAAGAGGTCAAAGCAGTTTACACTTGTAGTATAAACTCTTACATAAGAATATGAGGAATAATGATAACTTCTATATACATTTATGCACATTATTCTAACAAAGACCTACATTTTAAAATAGAGTAGATTTTATGTGATCATTAAAGGGAATAAAATGTGGAAAAGAACTGCAATCAGTCACAAAAAAGAAATGTATTCTAGTGGATGAAAGAGGAAGGAAACAGACTTTAACAAGAGGAAACAGGAGGAAGAAAGACTTTCAGACATGCAAAATGTGATGTCGTAACAAGATGCTGTTGCTCGAGGAGGAAAAGGGTGTTACTAAATAAAACAAACATGTAATGTTAAATAATAAGCAAATTAAGGGATGAGATTTGGCAAAATCTTCATATAACCTTTTAAGAATGCAAATTAATCTATCTTTAAACTCTTTTTCAATATTAACCCAATCATATTAGGACATATTTGTATAATAGTGATGATCCGCTCACTGTAAAATCTATGTATTGTGGCAATGATTATATGCAGCGTTCCCTTATCAAAAACAAGACTTAGGCTGTGTCCGAAATGAATCATTTAATCCCTAACCCCTAACCCCCATTTGGGTTTTCACTATGTAGCTGACTATGTAGTGAGCTCAATCACTGGAGGTTTCGGACACTACATGGCATGACGCAATGCTTGACAGGATGCCCACCACCAGTGAGTAACCATCCGATGGTGTCTACATTTTGCAATGCTTTATGGGGAATTTTGGGATGTATGTACTTCATGATCAGATGTTGCTTTCATGGAAATGCACCATTTTACTCCATTTACCTTTAGATATACATTGATGTTAACAGACCATTGCTAAATATATGTCAGCAAAAGATAATAAGGGCTTAGTTTTAGGGTTGAAAACATTTGCAAGAGTCACAACTTCAGTGCAAAAGCAAAAAAACAAATCACAGTTGGATTATTCATTTAAACTTTTTGGCTTTTGAGAGTCTGCATACAAAAATCCTAATAAATTTCAACTGCGTTCAAACTACTGCAAAATGGCTAGAAAGAAGCAACTGAGTAAAGAAAAAAAGTACAGATATGTACACTGAGGAAAGGAGGATACACAGAAAGAGAAATTGCAAAAGGTGTTCAACAAATGAGTCCACTACACTCTGAAGAGACTAGAGGAAGCTGGGAGTTATGATGATAGAAAAAGACCTGGACGAAAGAGAGTTACTACAAAAGCAGAGGATAAACATATCATTCTCACCAGTTAGAGAGATCGGCGAAAGGCAGCACCAAAAATAAGGGAGGAAATCAACATGACAAGGTCGAAACCCATATCTCTGACAACCGTGGAATGAAGTTTGAGAAAGGCTGGTCTGAGGGGTTTTGTATCTGCAAAAAAACACAACTTCGTCTACAGAACAAAAAAAGAGATATAAGTGCAGACCTTTCTCCAGTTGAGCTTATGCAGGATGAATTGGATCGGTCGGTCAGAAAAACGCGTCACACAAATCAGCAGTATATTTTCAATGAACTTAAGAAAGCTTGGAATGCAATCCCTGGAAAATACCTTGAAAAAATTGGGGAACAAATGTCTGGTATATGACAAGCTGTTGTTAAAGCCAGAGGAGGTTACTTTAAAGAAAGCAAAGTCTAAGCAACAATAACTCAAATACCTGATAGTTATAATCAAATGTCTTCTGATAAGTTACTCTTTACATAATAGTCATATTTATTTTGTTGCAAATTATATATATGAAACTATAATCTTTTTTTGTACAAATCTGATCTTGCTTCCAAACTTTTGGCCTGTAGTGTATACAGGGGTTAGGGATCCATTTCGGACACAGCCTTTGTTTTTCTGTCCTCCAACCGACTGGTGGCGCCGTCTGATAAATGTACTAGTTGTATTTTTTTTCACGCATGCGCAAAATGATGTGTTATTAACCGGGTAGGATAGCGGGTACAGGAGAAACGAAGTGTCACGTTTGTTGAAACAAAGCGTTTCAGACAAACTTTTTCAGATGGATTTAGACAGTGGAAACTACGAGCCCGGGTTTGTTGGGATACGGTTTTGTCAAGAATGGTGAGTTTGTGAGGAGATGTAAGTTAGATACCGGGAAGTGAAGCTTTAGTTTAACGGCAAATAGGCTAACGCATGATGTTAACTTGTGGTTCCTTCAATACTTTACTGCCTTCAAATAAAACCAGAGTCAAAGAGAAGGTTTATATCGTAAGACTCTGGAAACTACTGAACGTTTTTTTTATTCTATTACAGTAACAACATGTTATATCCCAAAGAAGACAAGGAGAACCGGATTCTGCTTTACGCGGTAAGATTTACAACAAAGTTGTCAGCTGAAAGTTTATGTAGTTCTGCTATTTAATCATTATATCTGTATATTTGTTATATATTAACTAACATACTGCAGGTGACATATAGTAAATCAGTTAGAGAACGGCTTATACGAGTGAAAAAAGGAAAGACTGTATGACACACACTCTCTAACTGGATACCTCCCTGAGTATTTGTACACACAGCTGACAAACACATTTTGTTTTTATAATCAGTTTTATATATTTTCCTGCAAAGACTAGTATTAGTTGCTGCATTCTTTATAGGGCTGGGTGATATGGACCAAAAGTCAAATCCCGATATATTTAGGCTTATATTTAGGCTATAAATGGCCTATTAAAATCAAATTGCATATTTTCTTCTCCTCTCTAACAAATCCACAGATGCAAACAAGTGTTGTTTTCATTGACGATGATGTTGACGAAATATTTTTAAAACAACACTGGTGCTGCGAGATAACCACAATAAAAGTTTCCTCAGGGTCAATAACAGTTTATAATCCCGCTCTCTCTCCTCCTCTTCTCTTCACTCTGTGCAGCTGAACTGTCAGGATGCTAAATGCTAACTTTACCTGGCTGACAGTCTGCTGAGTACAAGATGTTTAGTGTTTGACTGACGAAAAAGAAACCCACACAAGAGGAAAGAGCTGAAGATTGTACACAGTGAGCCCATCATGTCTGTTGTATGCCTGAAATAGTCTGAATTGCTCTTGTTCTGTCCACAGTGCAGGAATTGTGACTACCAGCAAGAGGCAGACAACAGCTGCATCTATGTGAACAAGATCACCCACGAGGTTGAGTAAGTACAAGAAAGGTGGCGACACAGATCGACCCTGAATTTTTTTTTTTTTGTTTGCTGACCAGACTTGGCTCTACTTTAAATCATCAAAACATGTTTTTTTTTTTGGCAGAAAACCTTTTAGTTTGTAGTTGAGGCTCTTCTTTTCCAGCGGCAAATTAACATTTCCAAAATGTTGACTGAGTCGAATAAAAAAAAAAAGTGTGTCATAATTTTATCAATGTACAACCCTCTTTGAATGTGATAGTATTGCTATACAATCCTGTTATTTCAACTGTGCCTTTCATTCATACTGCAAAATGTACTCTTTGCTGTGGTAGTGTGAACATGTATTCAATCCTTTTGCATGAAATATAACATCTTGTCATGAAGAATGTAATGTTAACCAACAGAAGACATCACATTTTACTAATGAGGTGATATAACGTCTCTTTCCAGTGAGTTGACACAAATCATCGCTGATGTATCCCAGGATCCCACACTCCCGAGAACAGAAGACCACCCCTGTCCGAAGTGAGTTTTATCTTCAAAGTGTACGTCAGTGAACGTGTACGGAGATCACTGTGGGTTCATGTTTCTATAAGGTGGATTAAATGTTGAAGAGGCTTCACCTGTTTAAGGCCTTCTTAGCCTTCCAACCATGCTGTTTTTTGGCTGTGTGTATCCCTCATATGTTCACTCACATTTATACACTAATGAAGCCTCTATGCAAAGCGCAAATCAACCCACCAGGATTACTGATCTCATCCTTAAATATTTATATTTTGATGCCTCTGGGAGACATTCTGGCTCCAATTTTTGAAGGGACTCTTTGACATGGAGATTGCAGAAGCTGGAGATCAAACTATTTGGATTAGAACATGACCTACTCTACCACAAAGTCACAACCTCCCTTATAAGCTTTGTTAGGTGTGGTTTATTTTAGCTGACTCAGTACTTTAATTGATCAGACTCAGTCAAAGGCACCTTTGTCATATTTAAAACGAACATTTTGTGAGTTTTACCAGTGCAGAAACCTTAGATTGTTACTTTACTCCAATGGCCCTCTTACTGTTTGAACACGCCTGTCAGATCTGACGCACGAACCAACAGCTGGTGCAAGAAACACACCGAACTTATTTAAATCCTCTGTCAAAAACTTGATGAATTAAAGCTTATTAGGTAATCATTGTAGCTTCACTCAGATTTGACCCCCTGAGCTAAGATACCAGGCACACACTGCACTTAACAATCTTAGAGCAGAGCTGGTTCATGGCTCTCAAAGGGTTCAAAGAGCATCGGTGATAAAAAATAAAATAAAATAAAAATAAAAAACATGAATGTTAAAATGTATTATGGGCCATTTTATCGCACATTACATTTCTTCTCATTATTTGAAATATTGTTAAATATGGAATTGTGTCACTGGGTTTGTTAGTAATGTTGTCACTGGTCTGTCTTTTCCTAGATGTGGTCACAAGGAGGCAGTGTTCTTCCAGTCGCACAGCATGAAGGCTGAGGTAATGTCTGCAATGAAAGGAGCGCATAATGTCAATATAGTTCATAGTTTTATAGGGGATTAGAATGCAGAACGTTTTAGTAATTAGTTGTTAGTTTGTTACCAAAATGCACTTGTGCCTGTAAAAACAGGCCAACTAAAAAGTGGTGTGATGTATGCTGGGAAATGCACAGGGAAATACCCCAAAAAATGTTTCAAGAATATATAGTGTTGAAAAAGTTACTCCAAAAACATAATGCATGATTTATTACTTGTTACTGTCATTTCAAAGTAATTGGTTACTTCATAATATTACACTACTTTGGCATTACTTTTGAAGTGACCCCATGTAGTCATGTGACTGCCTGGTTCCATTTAATTGGTGAAGTGGGAGTAAGACATTGCTAGTGGGTACATTCGATTGGTCAAACAGAGGTATGTGACAGCGCCCTGGGCAGAAGTCTCTCTGATAAACCCAAACAAACAGATTGTGCACTGAATAACAGATGGATTAAAAAAAAAGTAGCAAGCGGTATGTAGCTCAATAAAACAGAGTTAAGGTAGCGCGTTACTGCCCAACTCTGCATGTCCTCAGCAGTTGACTAATCACTCCCAGACCCTCCACACACACACACATACACACACTGGTGGACTCGCCCCCTCCTTTTGCCCGCCGTAGAGACATCTTTTGGTTTCTTCAGCCTTGTCTCTTCAGAGCTGAAAATAATGAGTGCATGTACATGTCGTGAAGACTACCTTGTTTTCTGCTGCAGTTACCTTCTCCTCGGTTGTTCTCCAGCACTATCAGGAAGTAAACATTTTCACAGATTTTTCTCACAGTGTTGGCAAATTTGTCTAAAAACAACTCAACACTTAATTTTAGGGGTCTAAAATGCTTTGTAACGCACATTACTGAGGGTGTTACTAAGTAAAATATAACCTTTTTTAATGCTTTTAATGTCTTAAATTACTGCGTTACAGCAAAAAGTAATTGCATTACTTTTGTAACATGTCACTCCCAACACTAAATATAAATATATCATCAAAGAGACAGAGATTAATCTTTCCTTTCTTCCTGATGTATTTTAGGAGGCTTAAGTAGAGTATATGTTTTATCAAACCTCGGTCACTGAACATATCTAATAAACAGCAATATGCAACATTGTGTTAAACTGCCCACTTTCCCAGCACTCATTCTATTAAAAATAATCTGCAATACTGAGTTAAAGTCTTGGAACTATTCAAATACCTCATTTTAGGTCTGCACATGTAACATCTAATGTTCTGAGCCTATTCTCCTTTTCACTGACAGGATGCTATGAGACTGTACTACGTCTGCACAGCCCCTCACTGTGGACACAGGTGGACAGAGTAGAGCGTTTGATGAGGAAAGGGTATAAAACTTGCATTTTCATTGAAAAGTATTCCTGGTTGCAGCTGCATTTTGTTTAATGACCCTGAACTCATCTTTTTTAGACACCATTTTGTGAATATAATGTATTGATAGTATTTGTAACAGTTGTTATTTTCAAATGCATTTTTTTGTTGGATTAAAAGGATCATTTGTTTAAAACGTCTATGGGTCTTTAATATCACAAATAGATATAAAGCTTCACATGAGCAGATACTTGAATGACCTTTTTTTTACCACTAATTTTCCCCGGGTTTGTCCTTCCTCGTGTGTCGGTCTGCGTCTGCCTGTTGTCAAAGCAATCTTGCTGATTTAATCCTAAAATTCCTGTTACCTTTGAGATCGTGTTTATCATGTCATGCCTGATCAGTTGTACAGACAGTCACGTTTGAACCATCACTCTGGAATATTCACTCAACTCAACTTCCTTTTTTCTCAAACGTGTACATTCCTAACGTCCTGTTTGGCAACTCTAGACTAAGACTCTGCAAACATCCCAGCTTTATAAATCAGCATGAGCAGATTATGAATACATGTATCCACAAGGACCAACAAAGAAGGAAGCTGTACTTTCCATAAACACACCTTCTTATGTAGTCTTAATGCAGCCACCCAGTCTGCTGCTGATCATTCAAAACCTGCAGCGTCTGTGTACGGAGCAATGGCCCAACAAGGTATGCAAACAAACGTTTTGTTTGAATTATATGCAAACATTTTCTTTAGAATTACTTTTATTCAATTCTTCTTCTGGGGATATAGTTTCCATGTTCTGTAATTTGCTTTTCAGTGACTATTGTTTCAAGGGATCAGTGGGGAGCAGTTCCTCCGAAAAAAGTGACGGCTCTCAAAGGCTTGGCAAAAAGAGTGATTATACACCACACAGCCCTCCCAAGCTGCAAAGACCTAGAAGAGTGCAACAAGCGTCTTGCCAGCATACAAAGAGGCCATATGACAGACAAAAAATTTGATGACATTGGATATAAGTGAGTAACCTCAAATAGTTTAGATGAAATAATTTATCAGAGATATAAATGTGCTGTTTATGTGCAAAAGATCACGTTCATGAAATTTCCTCTTGAGAAGTTTCTGCTAGATTTTGATTCTTAAGTGTTCTATGTTTTTTACTTGGTTCAGCTTCCTTGTTGGAGCTGATGGTACAGTGTTCGAAGGTCGTGGCTGGGGTGTGGTAGGAGCACATGCCTACGGCAACAATGATGACTCACTGGGGATTGCCTTCATGGGCAATTTCAACAGTAAGTTACGGGAGCGGTGTTCACTTTTTGCTCTGGGGCAGCAATGACCTGTAACCTGTAGTTTCCACAAGCCTGCAATCTGGTTCATGATTATATTTCTTATGTATCGTATGCTAAATATGCATAATCAAGTCATTTTTCTTTTTTCTACATTTCAGATGATACTCCAAGCAAAGAGGCAATCTCGTCAGTCAAACAGCTGCTGAAGTGTGGGGTTGCTCAGGGCCACTTACAACCAGAGTATGGCCTGTTTGGGCATCGAGATCTGGGCCAAACAGAATGTCCAGGAACGAATCTTTATGCTGCTCTATCACAACTCAATGAGAAGTAAATCTCATCTCACCGCACACAGTAACGTAGCTAAACGACGATTTTCTTGCTTCCTTTTATTTTACTGTGTTCTTTTTACATTGTTTATCTAGGATTATCTTCTATCCAAAAAGATGCTTGAAAGAGGGCGTGGTAGTTTTGACAGATCTTTTAATTAAACACAGACCAGCACTTCTGTTCATGTCTTGGATTGCTTAGATTTCTCTGGTGTTAAGTGTGTTATGGCTGGTCATTGTTAATAAACCTAGGAATAATTAGTGTTGTTTGATTAAATAACATGTATTGTATGTTTTAATGTTTGTGGCCTTTTGGGAATAAAATGTCGGGAGTATATTGACCATCTGTGTATTTTTTCAAAAAAATTAAGATTTGAAGAATTCGGCTTTCTCTGTCATTGTCATAGTTTTTAATATCAGAATCAGCATTACTGGCCAAGTATGTGTGTACATACAAAAAAATCTGACTGGTAAACTTTTTCCCCAATCTACAAACATTAAACATGAAACGTTAGAAGGATGACAAGTTAAATATTAGCAATATGTTAATTTCACATAATACTGGTGAACAGTAATTCTCTTGTATGTTTACTCCTTATTGACCATTTTGCATTTATTTTGTGTAGGATGTGGGTATCTCATGTTGTGGTTATAAAGACAAGGCTCATTAGGTTTTGGAAAATCCCACAAAATATCAGATCAGATTTTTCTGTTGTCAGCCTCCTCTATTTTCTCAGCCCTACTTGCTCTCTTCTCGCTCTTTCCAACTGCTCCAAAAGAGCTCTCTGAAAGGTACATGTCTGACTTTTTTTTCCCCTCCACCCATGGCTGAATCTTAGAATCAGATGGGATCAGGGGTTTCTTGCTGGGTCATGGATGAGTCCCCGTCCCTCCTAGGCTTGGGCAATGAGGCATGGAGGCCTTACTGAAGGCCTCCTACTTAATTACCTCATTCATGGCAAAGAACCACTTTCATGTCTCAGCAGCAGGCTCCCCTGATTCAGAGCCACTCCCTGGCTGCAGTTCAAAGCATAATTAAAATGCATCTCAATGGTCACCACAAGGCAGGTGAATCACTTTTCTACCTTTTCTGCCTCTGTATTGTGACTGTTCCAGCTGGAGTTACAATGGTGTATTTGTTCAAAATTTTCATCGAATTAAAACCTTTGAATTATTTCTTATTGATTCACCGGGATTGCCAATCTGGAAGATGGACTTTAATCCCCTAAATCACCCCTGTAAAGGTGCCACCAACCAGCCCAATCTCCTGAGAGGAGTTTTTAGCCTCATTCACACTGCAATTCCACTACCGTGCTGGAATAAAGTACCATCATCACTTCACTTAAGTACTTACCCATTGCAACCTGAAATGGTGTAAAATGGTTGTCCCAATGTGTGATCACACATCCCATTACATTGTTGCAGAGGCTCATAAACACACAGCAAGAGCCACATACACACTGTGCTGTACCATCCTGCCAGGTGTGACATAACACTTCCTCAGCATTTTTTTCAATACCACATCGGTTACCACCAGTAACCATTGTGGGTTTCATGACCAAAGTAATCATGAAGTGAAAATCTGATATTGTGACAGAACTAGGTCAAACTTGCAGTAAATTCCTCTCTTCTCCAATTCAGTCTGTCTTCTATGACAGAAAATGCTCTACTATTTCCTTTATCTTTTGAAAGTATAGCCTTATTGGGCAATTCTAGCAGCATGCCGTGTGAAGTCATACTTACCTAATGAAAGCACTCAATGGCCTAATTAAAACACCCAATGACACGGAGTGTAGAAGAATTAATAACTGGCTGAACCACTGTATTTTTTCTCCCAGTTGCTTGTTGCTGCATTTTCTTTATTGGGGCAGTTAAGCCAGACTTTGTAACCCACACCTGTGTCTGGACACGATTCGTGACCGAAACTGTCAGAGGGACTTTGCACTTTTGGTGTTGTTGTCGTTATTTCTGATGTTCATGAAAAGGGCTGTGGCTGTGACTGGATGACAGATGTTGCTTGACCGGTATGATCAGTGCATAACTGGCAACTGGCTGAGTCAGTTTTGATCACAGAGAGGTCAATAGACAGGACAAGATACATCCCATTCATTAGATGCAAATCCGATTTGCCAGAGTCTTTTCTTTCTGTAACACCAGCCAAGCAGTCATGTTATTGTGAGTGCACTCTTGTACATGTCTGCTGAGGCAGGTCTTGTGTCAATTTCCCTCCCACCTACCTTCCCCACCCTCTCAAAGTCTCACATCCCAGCCATGTCCTCCTAAACCCCTCCTTGCCCTCACCTTGAAATTAGCCCACTTTCACCCCTACACCATTTCCCATCCCTCAGATTAATTTATGAGCTCCACTGTGATCAGGGTGGTAAGACTCTTGTGTAGTGGATCCTACAGCACACTCAGAGATTTTTCCCAACCATGACAAACTTAACTGATCTAAAGTCTTCTCAGCAATGGGGTTAAACAAGAACCAAAAGATGCCCCCCACTGAGCATTTTTTAGACTAAAAGAGGTCTAATAGACGTCTAAATGTGGACTAGAAAACTGGTCTAAAATCAGGCTATCACAGGTCTAAAAATGAACATTTTTTAGATGTCTAAATCTAGACCAAGTCTAAATCAAGGCTTTATCTATACTACACTGTATATTGTTCAACGGCTATCATAATTATTTTGGTTAAGTACTTGGAGATCAGTTATGCAACTCACAGTTGCTTTTTGAAGTAAATAGTTATCGCATAATGGGTTCAAGTGCAATGTCTAAATTCCGTCTAAAACTATACAGAATCTAGACGTTTGAAATCAGGTCTAAAAAAAACTACATGTCTAATAACCGTCTATTGTTCGTGGGACTGGCCTGAGCTTGACAGGGAAAACTAGACAGTGGAAAAAGAAGTAGTTTCTAGGCTGGCCACATGGTGATGCCACTGGCCCAATTATGTACACTCAAGTCTCTTTAGTAAAAATCTGGTTTGCTGCATAGTCTGTTTGTTATGAGCTAGGACCAAAGTGGAGGAGATGGGAAAATCATTGATCAACGATTATATCTTTACTGATCACATTCTAGTCAGCTGTCTTCAAACCTGCCATGAAAAGAAGGCCTTCAGAGATGACACAAAGGGTTGTAGGTAGATAAACTGGTCACTTAAAGTCCATGCATTGTTGGGTTGGAAACTATCTTGGAACAACTAGGGGGGAAACCTGCAGCCGTAAGACCTTCTTTCATGAATTTGATAAAACAATAGCTACCATTTACAGATATAAATTCCAAACATTTACCTGCCACCTGATATTTCTGTCAGGTGTCTTTGTACTTCACAATCTCAGCGCTCAACATAAAGTCTCTTCAGCCAGATGGTCTGCTTCTGTTGTTCTGCATCTGCATAGTGTCCTTAATACAGTCATCACATTATAATTGTACCTCAGCGGTGGAACAGAAGACAGAGGTGCCGCTTACAGACGATTTATGCAGCCCTTTTATAACACACTCTCAGAATCATTAAATGTGTCTTTAAAAAAAATCACCATCTTTCGTTTCATTAGCCTCAAGAGCAGACTTCACCTGACCCACTCCAGTCAGTCCACATTAGCATCCTGTTCTCTAAGTTAACACCCCCCAACCAGAGGGAACACACAACCTACTGGCAAAATGAACAAAGTGCTGCAGTGATCAAAGTGCTGTCTCTGAACACCGAACAGGACAATAATGAGATCTGACATAGTGGAGAGAGTCAGAGTAAAAACATGCTGTTCTTCATCATATGTGTTTGAGATGTGAGGTTAAACAACCATCCAGTAAAGAGTCGCAGAAAATGGGGATGAAGTTATAATTTGGCTGTTAAACTGTTTAACAAAAAAGCACAGATACAATCATTACCTGCACGGTGAATCATAGGCTGTAGATGCCAGCACGACTAATGTGAGCAAACTACACACCTTTAAAGACCACTAAAAAGCACAAATTCATGGGTCTTTGACCGCCTGTCTTGACACAGTGAACAGATTCAAAGACCATGTTTGAATATAGGATACTGGATTTTTGCTGGTAGTTGATACATCGATAATTTCAACTTTATTTTGGCTGATATCAACATCAATACTTATATAAATACACATTGTTTTAGTTTTCGTTCTATTCACATATTTGATACATCCCTTTTGCTTTCTGCTGATAATTATATATCTTATCTGCAGATATTGTCAGATCTGCCAATACTGACATTATGCTGATGTCATTATGCTTTATTATCTCAAAGCCAATCAAGCACAAAATGGACAAACCATTTGACTGTAGGCATCTTAATGAAAAGAACAAACTTGCTCATGGGTTTTGCAGCATTTTCTTTTTATTGTTTAACTGTGAAAAAGAAAGTGCTGTGACCAAAGTTTTCACTTGACTTTTTTTTCCGCTGGATTTAAGAAAGTGTTTCCAAGCTGGTTACATTTTTTGACATGGTGTAAATTCATTGGGTTAGAGTGTTTCTATTTGGTTTGGTCTGCCGCTGTTTCCTTTCCACTTTTTCTGTCCCTCTCCTGCTTTGAGGTGTCATTCCTACTCTGCTTGAGGGCTGATCCACTCTATTCATCGAACACACCTGAAGCCACCTGCTAATCAAGCCCAGCAGCATGGACTGGGGAACGTATTGCTTACGGCTTTAGTCTCAGCCAGAATGGGAGAATCCAAAGTCATGATGACTATTTAGATTTTCTATCCACTAAAATGTGATAAATAGACGAATAATGTAAATGGAAAACATATTTAAATAGTTGTTTTCTAATATAACTAAAGTAGGACACATCAGGTCTGTCTCTCCACCCTGTAAATAACAGATCAGGTTCCTCTGTCCTATAGAAGTAACAGGATTGTTTGACCAATAATACTATAACCTGATGAGATCTCAGTTTAACAATGAGCTTTACTGTCAGTTGAGTGTAAATGTTCCTTTAACTTCACAGTAGAGTTGAACAGTAAAGTTCATGTCCTCAGCGGCAGAAACAGAAATATCTGTGCAACAAAGAATCTCACAAGCAAACCAACAAAAACGTAAATTTTCTCCCATCAATTTATTACCTGAGTTGGATGTTCAGGCTTTTTATTTGCAATTATCTTTCTGTTCCTTATCCCAGTTTGATGTTAACATATTTTAGTAGGATTTCTGACTTCAGAAATGGATTACAGGATAAACCCAACCCCGATTAGTGGGAACAGACACTAAAAAAAAGACCAAGTTTAAAAAATTCTGCTTTAGAGATGATAAGGAGGAGAATGCAATCTGCATTTTAGCATGGATCAAGTGTTTTCAAGTGAAAATGGAGAAAAACATAAAAATGTGAAAGTAGTATTTATAAATTTATAGTTTTTCATATTGTAATGTACTTAAAGGAGAAACAAATCAAAGGGTTAAATTCATGATTTCCATCTAAAATGCTCTTTGACTTCCTTTACTGGTCTGTGAATCAATGTTTTCTGTGTAGTCTGCTGGTCTGATGTAGTCTCATATGAAAAAAGATGTCAACATGAATGTTAATGAGTTAAACAGCGTATGCCAGCTGCACAGGCTGAGTTAACACTGAGTCCACAAAACTGTGATGATCTGCAGAGCCAACAGAAAATCTGACATGTCTTATACACTGAAAAAAATGTAAAAGTGATTGTTCATGTTCTAGTTTGAGTCCAGAATCTTCTTTTTTCATTGCTAACCCTGCTGATGTTCTTTCAAGCCCCCACCCTACCTTCAAGCACCTCACATGTTCATCAGAATATTTATTAGTACAGGCTGTAAACAGGTTTTTCACATGTGTTTATCTTTGAAATCTGGATTTTCCTCTTTGTCACCCCACTCTCCTCACTCAGTCCCCTCACTTCCCCTTTCTGCTGGCTCTTCATCTGTGTTTTCTCCTCTTACCTGTCACATCTAATGTGGGCCTCACTTAAGCGTCTTTATTCAGTAATAGGTTCTGGAGTCATAATCAGGATGATGTTGAGAGGTCTTTTATGTTTTCCTCAGAGCAGCGGCGGTGTGAAAAAGATCCTGATGACATTAAGGTTATTGTTTCCACTTGCTGTAACCTTTCACTGCGCAGATAAATGACAGCATTAGCATAAACAGCTCTTCTGAGGGGGATTTAACAAAGACACATGAAGAACTGAGGACACAGGTTTTTCTCTTTCTCTTTCACTCGTTAAACATGGCACACCAGATCCTAAAAGTTTAGCCACAAAATTATGTGGAAAATGTGTTGCAGCAGAAAATAGCCCTATCTGCTGTGTTTCAAGGCCTTACGAATAGCTAACGGTACTCATAAAATCAAGAACAGAACGCCCACACAGTCCTGTAGCTCTGTGCAGTTTGCTCTAGTGTTGTGGCCCATTGTGCCGAAACAGCTGTTAGCATCTCCACACCCTGCAATGCAAGGCTGTGCTGTGTGCTCTTTGTCCAAGACTATGTCCATTAAGTGGATGGAGAGAGGAAGTCCTGACCAATTTTTTGTAAGTTTCACAATTTATGTGTAGTTCCCTTCCTGGAGTAACCCGGGGTAAACAGCAGCTCATTTAGAGATGATTAAAAACAACACTCTGCAGACTATAACAGTATGCACAGGAATTGAGCCCCTGGCTGATTTAACCTCTGATTATTGGAAAAAAATCAAATAATAAAGCAATTTTAACAGACTTCCTGTACCAGTATTACCCAGCTTTTTTGTTGTTATGACAAGTCATCTGGCTGTATTAAATACTACGCTCTGTTTGGTCAAAAGTCTTTGACAACCCCTCAACAATAAAAATCAACTCTGCACAACTACAAACAAGCAGATCACACAGTATTAAATAAACCTACAGATAATAGTTCTGGCACATTTTGGTTCTGCTTTAGTTTCCATTAGCCTGCTACGCTAGTAAGCTAAACAACAGGGGTATTAAGCTAGCATATCCTCTCCTTCAATCCAGGCATCTCTAAGTTACAGATTGCTACAAAGAAGAAAAAATAACATGAGTCTCAGTGACAATTGCAATTTTATTTAAAGTAATGACATTTGCTTCATTCATATTTAAAGTGTGTGAACTGCAAAGCTCCAAGAAGGAGGAATGCTGAGTGAGGACAAAAGTCAATACATACGTCTTACAAAAGACCTGTTTGGGGTATCTCACGAAACCTCCAATTAAAACATCTAATTTGCTTCAAATGTCTAGTCCAACCCATACATTCTATATAGAATGGACGTTGTCTGCCTCCTTGCTGGGTGAAGCCTCTGTGAGGACAGCACCCCCTGGTGACAGGCTGCTGCAGTATAGGTCAAAAATCCTGCCTCCTCCAGCAAACTTAATGGAGTTGTGGACAAACTTTAGAATTTTATTATGAGCTTACGAAGATTGCGTAGCTCATCCAGGGGATATTCTGTTCAAGCAGAGTGTCATTACAGCAACTCCCCGCCAAATGTGTACAACTCTACTGCGCAAGTAGTGGTTCCAGGAAGTGGAGAAAATCCCCAAAAATACCAAGAGCAATTTGGTTTCAAATTTGTATAATGATGGAAGGTGGAGCCAAGTTGTCCATAGTATATACAGTCTATGGCGCTACCCAGAGGTGGCGCTGTTGCCTTGATCAAAGAAGAGTTTGTATGAAGACATTAGGACAAGCGAATTCCACAGGCGTTCAGCACATAGTGAAAAACTCCAATCCAACTGCTCCAGGCTGTTTGTGCTTCTGTTTGTGAATTAGGTGATTTTTGCAATGAGGCTTGTCTGCATGTTTGGCTCTTAATGAATATGCATAATGGCTAATTTGCTGTTTGCTCTGCAGTGCCATTTGTGAGTATTAAACCATTTGCATGTGCTTAGTGGATAGGCGATATCTTTTTGGCTCATTTGCACGCAAAACGCCCTCTCATTCTAACTGAGAGCCTCGTACTCCGTTTTTGGTGTTGTCCCTCAGATATGACAGTTGGTTGCAAGTCTTTATCAATGATATTCTTTTCAACCTACTTTTGGGTTAAGTAAATGATAAATTGAACTTTTTTTATGGTTAAGACTGAAAGATTTTCCAGCTTTGCTGTTCTCTAACCATTTTTTATTCATGGTGAAGTTGTAACATTTGGGTTAATTCTTTTGATTTGTTTAACCGGACGCATTAACCTCCACCAGCACACAAAGAAGGTCCACTTTACCTTATCTTTTCTGTTAGCATTTTATGCATACTCATCACATCCTAAAACAATTCCAAATTTTTGGTTTCTTGGTGTTTGTTTTCTTCGGTTTAGTTGATGTCTTTCACTCAGCTATTTTTACCCCCTTTCTCGTTTCTCATCTGTTTTCCTCCTCTTCCTCCAGCTTCCTATCACTACTGCTGACTGTTCAGCATTAACCATTAACCTTAAGTTTTATGCTTTCCAAAGAAGAGTGAATAATATGGAAAATATCCTTCATGTTGTTTAACGATGCTGCCAGAAACAAATGTTTGGTCAGTGTCAAGATGCAGAGGTGAAATCATAAACTATACACACCATATATGTGCAGGAATCTTTTATTTCGGTAGATTTGATATTCAGAATTATTAAATGTTATTGAGTCTGACCAATCAGATTGAAGTATGAAACACAGTCTGGTGATAAGACAGCTGAGTAATAAAGACAGAATATAGAATTGGTACCAGTCCGATTATCGTAGGTTGCCATATGCTGAAAATATGAAAGAAATCTTTTTGTGAACAGGAAGTCGACTTTTCTCTGGACTTAATGACTTTAGATAGTAGTTATCAAAGTGAGCAGACTGTGTGTGTGTGTGTGTGTGTGTGTGTGTGTGTGTGTGTGTGTGTGTGTTTGTGTGTGTAGGGTGTTTTAATTATGCAGCAGTGTTTTTGTGGAGGACTCACAGTGTGACAGCAGACAGCAGTGTGGGAGAGCAGAGCAGAGATCCGTGTCAGTTATGTAAGTCTGCATTAACATGCTCTCTCTTTTTAACCCTTTTAATCATCATATCACAAGAAAAGCATGCTGAAGATTGAGGTCACTCTCTCCACTGATATTAGTCTGTTTGCGTAAAATGCATTTATTTAAAGCATCAAAGTTTGTCTTCATCTCAGTGGATAACCAGTTTATTTCTCGATTTACTTCTCATACTCTCTCTCTCTCTCAGTGATGGCTTCCTGCTGTTGACTGTCTGCAGCCTGAACCTGAATCTGAACCTTACCCTGGCTTTAAAACTCTGAAGTGATGCTGCTGGCTCTGTCTGTTTTTAGGTCCTCCCTCTGCTGACATGTTTTGACAGTGTGAAGTAATCAGTTATTGATCAGGCGAAAGCATAAACCTGACTTGGACCTGTGTGAAGAGGTTAAAACGTGCACAAAGAAAATCCTTGGATATTTAAAACAGATCACAGTAGTATTTCAATTTGTAGGACAAGCAGGAGATCATTTTGCCATTTTGTTCTGCTTTATTATTGGTGCAAAAGTTGGATTTTTCCAGTTACATCTCTCCTTTCACCTAAATGTCTCACAGATGTCACGCCTCCTGTCACAGTTGTTCCTCCTAAGAGCCTAAAGCAGAGGTAGCAACAAAAGTGAGACACAAAGAACTCAAAGAACTATAAACTAGACGTGGAACAGCCCAAAACTAAATAGGCTATGATTGTTCACTGACTCAGCAGCGATGTTACATCTATGTCAGCACAGTGGCATCCTGGGAGGAGAAGATCTCACACAGTCTGTACGTTTACATGCACTAATGTGACAGACTTGTGTCTATATATGATTTTTAGAAGTCCACTTTCAATTTTGATTTAATTTTTTGAACTGCATGTAGATGTAATGTGTGATCACACTCTAGGGTGACCATATTCTGAATCCCAAAAAAGAAGACACTACTAAGTGGGGCGAAGTTGTGCGCAAGCAAAATTTTGAGCGTTTTCTGGTCAGATTGAGTGTTTTTTTATGCGATTATAACTCAGTTAAACGTAGGAATGTCGTCTTTTATTTTAGGTTTTAAAAAAGATTTTAAAAAAGACGAAATTTTATCTCACTTTTTTTTCCCTCTTTGGTGGAAACGGGCTTCCATACAAAATCCTGGACATTTGAAGGGTTTTATAAACTCCCTCTGGACAGGCCAGACAGCCCCCCAAAAGAGGACTTGTCCGTGTACAAGAGGACGTATGATCACCCTATTGCAAACATAGTGGCTGATGTTTCACTCAGGCTGTCCTTTCTGTCTTGGCATTATTTTCCCTCCTCATGATGAAGGTCATGAATGTAGTGATGAGTTGTAATTTATTTGCAGGCCTTCTGTCCTTCACAGAGACCAGAAATTCTAATCTGCAGAAGCACCTATCCCATCAACACATTTCTACTAAACAAGCTGCCAGAGAGCTCGGCTTTGCTAACACCGGTGACCCACGTGCGGCTCCCATCAGCTGTGTGGATGAAAGAGTAGTCGCTCCATATGAACAGGCAACGCTTTAAATCAAATCACCACCAGCCCAACTATATGGAGGCCAGGAAGGAATAGACAGACCAACTGCAGGGTATGTTGTTGGAGACGTGTTTTCCATATCAAACTATTGAGTCTGCTGCACTTACCAACAAAGTACCAGTGAGCTGAATACCAAGGTAAGAGAAACAAACTCTAAAGTTCATTTCCCACAGAGGCAATTGCTTTCCTAACGCTGTAACTCACTTCTTGAAAAAACAACTAGTGATAATCAACAATGAATAATTTTTTTTTCTGTTTGTGGCATGACATATGACATTTTGTGACATGACACATTCGGGACATGGCAGATGAAATGTTTGTGACACCACATGAAAAGTTTGTGGCAAGTTTTTATGTTTGTGACGGGAACACAACATGACATTTTTGTGGCATAATAAGTTTGTGGCATGAAATATGACATGCTGGTTGTTTTGTCCCCCCAGTATTTGAGTTCAAAATATACTGTTTTTGTGTCTTGAGGTCCTGAGCTGTCTGACCTTCCTCCTCTTTGATATCAATCTTTTATTTCCTCCGTCTCTCCACCACTCCAGTATTACATCCATCCTTTTGACATTTTCCAACATCCAAATTACAAAACCTACCTCTCATAAGTGGTCAAATGTGCTGAAGAGACAAGTGCAGCAGTAAGTCGTGCAGCAGCTCCAGTCTCCTGCTCCCTCATCAGGCTGAATGGGGTCAAATCTGTATCTTTCATTTCATCAGCACACCATCATCCATCATGCTGTCAGAAACCTCGTCTCCAACACGAACGTCTGACAGGACTCTAACAAATACCTCAAAATGAGGAGTAGGAACCAGAAACTGCACAAAACTATAATTTTTCAGCTCTACAGAGTGTGTGTGTGTGTGTGTCAGTGTGTCTGTGCGTGATTCATCATTGTGCTGTCTGCAGAGCTAACTCTGACTGAATTACAGAGAACTGTCTGTAAACACCAATTCATGTTTTATATTCACACTGATCAGCTATAAGATTTGACTACCTGCCTAATCTAATAACAGGCTCCATCTTTTCACTTCAGAGTAAAGTCCTGTATTTCGAGGCGTGGACTCCACAGGACCTCAGGATGTGCTGTGATATCTGGTCCTGAGACGACATGTGAGGTGAGGCATCCATGGATTGGATTACTTTGTTCAGAACATCCCGCAGATGCTAACTAACAGGTACCATCGCAAAGAGATACTTGACCTGTCAGCAGACATGATGGTATCAGGAGCTTACATTGTGGTGATTTTTGGTTACACCGAAAACTCATGCTTTGTAACCTGGTGCAATATTTGAAACCTTTCCTGCAAGTGCAAATGTTTGTTCTGGTGCAACCTTTTTTTTTTTTCCTGTTGCTTTATAAAACCTTAGCTTAGACAGTGACTGATGGTTGATTAGTATTGCAGGGTTTTTCTTGCACATTACACCATGGGGCAGCTGCCTCAGCCTAATTTCTGCACTGCCACCGTCATCTTCAGGGTTTCACTTCATTTTCAGAAAAAAACCTGCCGGACGAGCGCAGCACATGGTGAGTCGTCATATTTCACTCCAGTAACAGCATTGCACCAATGTGATGCAACCACTCTGTGAAATTGTCACATTCTGAATGTTGTACCATAGACTGTATATAGAATGGACAGCGTCTGCCTCCTCGCTGGGTGAAGCCACTCTGAGAACAGCACCCTCTGGTGACGGGCTGCTGTATAGGTCATAAATTCCCACCTCTGCCAGCAAAGCTTATGGAGCTGTGGACAAACTTTAGAAATTTATTACATAGAATATAATTTTTTCCCCCTGCTTGCAATTTCGACATGTTGTTACTATAAGTTTGGTCTGTGCTCAAGTCCTCTTTTTTCTATGAAGCTCCATTATTAAAAGTTATTAGGTTGTTCATTTTTTCTATGATTGACATCTGATACAGCCTAAGGGCGTACGAAGATTGCTTAGCTCACCCGGGGATACGCTGTTTGAGCCAAGCGTCATCTAAGAAAAATCGCAGAAATACCGAGTATTTTTCTGCTTTAAATCTGTATACTGGCGGAAGGCTGAACCAACTTGTACATAGTATATACAGCCTATGGTTTCTACTGAACATTTAACCCTCTGAACTGGCGAGTTAGATGGTATGGCATGAGGTCTGTTTATTCACAGAAACATGTTTCAGTCTTTTAGTTTCCTGATTTTTAGATTGTAAAGTATAAACAACTAAAAATACTCTAAATATTTCACACTGAATCAGCTCAAAGCAACAAGGCAAGGTTAAATGAATTAATGATAAGTACTGTTTTGAGTGTTAATGACTTCAAATACTGTCCTCCTGAAAGATGGTGTCAGATCTAAAAATGTGTGAGCTGTGTTTTTAGATACTCAGAAAAGCTTTGATCTTTTTGTCTCAGAGTTTGGAGGACTTAATGGTTGATGAAGGGTTTCTGAAGAACTGTTCTTGAAAAACATTCAAGTGTGTGAGGTACTGGGTGTAGACAGGTGACCTTTATTCACTGGAAACCCTTTCCTTTTATAGTCTCATCACACTCACGGTGTTACAGAGGAATACAAAGAGTCAGACATCTACAGCGAGTCATATTGCTGCTGCTTGTTTTATACTTCATTTGAATGTTGCGATTGTGCGCGGTCTTTAAAACATCTTTATCTTGTGCATGCATATTTATCTAAAGTCTAATTATAATTAAAAAAAATCATTGAGAAATGTGCTGTTAGCAATGGGTGGTGTACATGGATTCTGCACTATCGTCATCAGTGGTTTGAAAATGCTTTTCGATTCCTGTACACACACATTATGAGTTTCCCCCTCACATACTTGACAGAGATTTTCTCCCATCAATACTGATGCTGCCAGTGTAGAGAAAAAAAAATGTGTAATGGTGCAATTTGAAACCAAAACAGCTTGGCTGCTTCCTGGTCAGCACAGATGCTGCATTCATTCAACTCCAGAGTCAGCTGGGAATGACGTCCTCCCCAGTTGACAGCATTCCAGCGATGAATTTGAGAAAAAGTTGAATAACAGCACCCTGTACTTGTGTTGTTAGTATCTTTAGTTATACTAACAACATAAGTTATACACTTTATTAGACACCTATCTCTATGATGCATTATAGATATATTTAGAATGCGTTATAATCATGTTATAGCACTATAAAACTATAGCTATAAACACTCATAAATGATCATCATGCTTTATGGCAATAATCATCACACATTATAAAGTGTTTTATCATGACTTACATCATCACCATCATAACAACTCACTGGCAGTGCTCACATAGATAACGCAATGCAACTGTTGTTAACACTTAAAACAGACTATAATACCTGACCTTGTATGTCATGATAAAATGCTTTGTAATGTGTTATGATTATTGCTGTAAAGCATTTTGATCATTAATGAGAATAGAATAGAATAGAATAGAATATTCCTTTATTGATCCCCCATGGGGGAAATTATTTTGTCACAGCAGCATCACAGACAAGCCAAAAAGTGCAAAAATGCAGTTATAACAATAAGGGTCCTAATATTAAGAACTTAAATAAATGTAATAATTAAGAAAAAAATTAGAAAAGGGAGAAGAAAAAATAAAGCTTTCTACAATATACACAATTTAAATGCCATAAAAAAAGTGGTGGTGTAAATCCAGTTTTGTTACTGTTCATTGTAAAGTCTTATTGCAGAGGGGAGGAATGATCTGCGGTAGCGCTCCGTCCTGCAGGGTGGGAGTCTCAGTCTGCTGCTGAAGGAGCTGCCTAAAGCCCCCACAGTCTGGTTCAGTGGGTGAGAGGGATTGTCCATGATGGATACAAGCTTTGTTAACATCCTCCTCTCACCCACCTCCTCCAGGGAGTCCAAAGAGCAGTCCAGGACAGAACCGGCCCTCCTGACCAGTCTAATGAGTGTTTATAACTAAAGTTTTACAGTGCTATAACATGATTATAACGCATTATTAATATATTTATAATGTGTTACAGAGATAAGCGTCAAATAAAGTGTTACCACAATTACAGTGGACTTAGTGATAGTTTGTGCATGCTACATGACAATGTCTGCAGACAGCACAAAATGATCTGCGTGAGTGGTTAAATTATGCAAAACAAGACCAGGATGCTAATCACGGTTTAGAGTACAGCTTTCATTAAGCTGTTGCAGGAGCCGATCACCTTTAGCTCGGGTCCCTTGAAGTTGCTCCAAGTTTCTAGCAGTAATGAAGTATGGCTGACCTCTCTAATGGGCATCTTGAAATTTCCAACTTCAGACGACAAATTGAAAACACCGAAATCTACAGCCAGCACACTCATCAAAGAGCACTGCTTCCTCCTGTCGTTTGAGCAGGTGTCAGTGTAAGCTTTGTTAAAACAGATTTACTCGCTTGAAAGTGCGTTTAAAATGATTGCTTAGTTGCTGTGACTCCAAAAGGATGAAAATTCAGTGGGCTGTAGCTGTTAAATATAATGAAAGTAGTGGTTGTAACTCCTGAAAATCTCCTTGAATCATAGCTTTGCTGAAGCTGAGTACATTTTATGATAAACACATTTCATTTCTGACAAACTCTTCACAGTAAAAGTCTTTAACTTTATTGTTGTTATATATTTATCCTGATACACTCATCCCAGGAACACACAGTAGTCTATCAAATCATCTGTATCTAGTGCCAGGCACAAAAATGAGCTGAGTCTCTGAGAGAGGTAGGATGTAGTGAGTTAAAGGGATATTCCAGCGTGAAATTAAGTTAGGGTCAAACACACCGTAACACTGAATTAGACACCACCTCAAGAGATGAATGTTGCTGACTGCTTGCTTCTCTAGTTGTACCAACTCAGGAACAACCGCACGATAGCAATACACAGCGGTCTATGGATCCACTCACACACCTCGACCAAAACGCCACTTGTAGCCACAAATAATGCTCAGAACAACACCTAACTTCAACAACAGTACATATAGGGTCTCAGCCATAACACTAGCCACCAAACATCTTTTTTAGAAATTATCATAAAAGTTCCTCCTTGAGCTGCATCACCCCGCTGCAGTCAGCGATCGACTCATCTGAGCTCTCCCTACAAACAAGTGGCTGCTGAAAGAGAGTGGGTGAGTTGTGTTTACTCTTGGTGGCTAGTACTATGGCTGGGACCCTATAGGTACTGTTGATGAAGTTAGGTACCGTTCTGAGCATTATTTGTGGCTATAGAGTGCCGTTTTGGTTGAGGTTTGTGTGTGGCTCCTAAGACCGCTGTGTATTGCTATTGTGCGGTCATTACTAAAGTTGGTATAGCTTGAGAAGCAAGCAGTCAGCAACATTCATCTCGCGAGCGGTTGTCTAACTCGTTATTACGGTGTGTTTGACCCATGTTTATTTACGCCAAAATATCCCTTTAAAATGCATACATTTGTGAACCCTTTATGTTTTACAATGCTGAAATGTAATATTGTCACAACCCAAGTCGAAAGAAAGATACTGTGACATAAATTTTATGGGCTGTTTTATCGCAAATAGCCCACACAGAGTGCCAACATTTCCTTTTTTTTTTTTAAGGGGGGTTAAAATTATATTGCATTGAAATGCTTAATATATTCTAATTAGCAAAATTAAATACTTCATTTTTTAAGACGCTGACTTTTCAGCTCACGAGCTTTTAAAGTGTTAAATTCAACGAGTATCCCTCTTCTTCGACCTGGGAATCATTTAACTGGCCCTGCTTCTTTAAAGCTCACTGCTCTTCATCATTATTAAAACCCACTCCTCTTCATCATTATTAAACTGCACTGTGCTGCTCTTATTGTTATTGTCCTCTACTGCCCAGGGTGTTTAATATCGGAAAACTCTCATTATTCTGTGGCTGCATGCTCAGCAATTACTAATACAATGGGACACCCGCACACACACACCGGCAAACACACTCAGACCCCTTAACCAATTACCTTTTATTATAGCGCTGGTGTTGAGGCTATTTTTTAAATGAGAAACAGACTCAGTAGACTGACATGGCCTCTAGCGTGTGTGTGTGTGGGGCTTGTGTGCGTGTGTGTGTGTGCTTGGTTCGGAGAATTCCAAATAGACCAAACGTTTTTGTTCGTTTATTTATTGCGTTTTTCTGTAAAGGTAAAATGCAAAGCTCGAATATGAAGGAAACTACACCAGCACTGCCAAGCAGCTTACCAGAAATCAAACACTCAGGGAGATCCAGGAATCACTCCTTAATAACAAAATCACTCAGGCAAACAGGGACGCCTTAAGAGGGAGCACAAAAGGCAGGGGTCGTAAAGAGACCCAGCACCATCCAGCTTCCCTCTTATAGAAACTAGAAATTGCAAACAAATCACTGTGAAAGGTAGTACTGTCGTGTATGCTGACACATCAACATCATATAAAGATACAAAAGAAACCTCCCTCCACCTCAGGGGAGGAGATGAATCACCATTCAGGAATAGATAATTAGTTCGAAGTAAGAATGATTTAGTCAGGGTAAATTTTGAGGAGATTTGGACCCAGTCTCTTTTAGAAAATGGTGTTTAATTTTGTCATATTTTAGTCTTTTTGTTTAGTCAAGATTTAGTCAGAAGAACTCCGTTTTTATTTTTGTTTAGAGTTAACCTTATCTTGTTATCATCAACGTTTTATTCAACACTATCTCGGTCAGTTTAATGATAGTAAAATTTGGAGATTATCATACATTCATGTCATCTAATCATCATACTTCTTTGTGACTTGGGCAGACGCTGCGAAGTGCTTCATTATCAGGTGTCTTCTTTATATCCACAGAGCCCTTTGTTCTCATCAGGACAATACCTGTCTTTCAAAAAAATATGTCCACAGGTGGTGTCTTTTCCTCCCTCCCAATGTACAGCCTGCTGGATGTGATAAGGTGCTAATTTTTTATGACACCAGCTGTCAGGAGAAGCTTTATTGCACTTTTTATAAGATACTTAATGGCTAGCCAGTTTTTGGTTTCCCATCGCAGACTGTAGACAGACTTCTCATCAGTGTGCACCGGGCGAAAACTAATCCAATGACAATTTTAAAGACAAATAAAGGCAACAGGGACACTGGCTACTGATGAATGATTGGTTTAGAAAGTTAAAAAAACCAACTATTATTTTTCATCAGAGCATTTAATAACAGAGATTTAGTTTCCTTACCCTTAACTTCTTCGTCTTCATTTAGTCAAGAATAATCAGTAGGTCTTTGAATACTTAGCAGCAGCATTTTTGTTGACAAAATGAACACATTTGGTTCAGTTTCATCTTGCATACATTTGTGAACCCCCACACTTGAGGTCCAAACTATGCTGATGATGCCATTGCTGCCATGGTTTTTGTCAAGGTGTTTTCCAGTGGTCCATGCCCCCACACATTTTGCCATGGTACTTTTAGCTGCCGCCTGCATGAATTGGCTGGTGCAATCTAGAAAAAAAAAAACAGCCCCAAAGTTGAAGATGTACTTCATAATCCTGATTTTTTACGGCGCAAGAGTGTGCGGCCAGCCAACCAACATTTCTGGCATACCAGAAATGAATGGGACCAGTTGTGAACAGTTGGATGGGCCATGATTAGCTCTTGAGACCCGTGTACACTGAAAACGACGTGTGAGTGGGTCAAAATTAGCCTTAACTGGAATAGTGTGTAAGTGTTTTAACCAAACTCAATGAACGGTCAGAGTAAGAGCCCCTCAAAATATATCTTCTTCAACCGTCTTCTGACAGGGGTGAGTGTATTGGAAGGGCGCTCACTTCATGCCCTTCACAGTAAACGACTTTTTTTAGTCACAATATCACACAGAGTAACTGAGATTTTTCATGGTTTTGAACTTTATAAACTGACTGTAGAGAGAGCTTTGAAAGTCTCCCTCTGAGAAGCTGTGAATCCATGTGAATATAAAAAAGTATTTGGTTGAATTTATGTTTTTATCTTAGCTCACTTTGATCTGAAGAGAGATCTTCAAACGGGGTAATGATGAAATACTTCAAATGATCATGTCTTCTGTGTTAACATAGGTTAGTTTTTCTTTCGGGGCACTGAGCTTTATGAGAAGAAAAGATAATATACTTTTTCTTTGTTATTGAAGTCTTTTAGTCACCGTTAGTCCTGTAGGGTGAATAAAAGGTTGAATGTCCCTGTTTATGTGAGTGTTATAATCAGACCTTTAGCCAAACATTCATCCAGAAAACTGCTCTTAGATGTGTGTTTCTAATGTCTTGGTTTCTCAGGAGGCATGTATCACAGTTTTGCTCCATCTACTGCACCTGATCACACTGCACACCGCACTGGTATGAGCGTATTCTGTGCAGTAAAATGATGAACTTTATATTTTTCAGGTTTGAATACGCTGAATGTTTTTTAAATATTGGGTCATTTGTGGAGCTGTAAGCGAGAGACGAAGACAACAGCTAAGCTTCCTGTTGAGGTGGACATGGACCATGCATTTCTCTTTAAAGTTCATCTTTAGTCAGCAGTTTTTATCTGTGTGATTTGATATAAGGGTTGGGAGTACAAACATGATCCATGTTTGACTCCTTGGACACAAGTTAAAAAAAAAGATTGTCCATATCTTTAGTGAGGAAGGAAACACATTGTGGGATTGAGCTTGAATGTGCAACAGCTCTCCCTGTAGAAATATGAGTATTGACTAAAACCTGCACAAAACTGCTCTGAACTGCGTGGAGCTGATGGTGGAGCAAGTTTTCAGTGCTTTTTTTTTTTGTTTTATCTGGACAGCTAACAAGTAAGGGAGACAGAAAAATGAATTATCTGACTGAAAATGAGCTTACAACTTTTTACCTTGATGTTTACTGTGTTTCTCACTGCTCATTTGGGAAGAAGGCTAAACCTTTTCCCCTCAGGTCCACAGAGCCTCTATACTGATCTGAGTTATTCTGCCTTATAGCTGAATGGTGAGCTACCTCAGTGTAGTGTGAACTTTCACAACACTGGCTGTATGTTGTTCCAAATACATGATGTATTGAGCGGATTTCAGATCATGTCAAACAATTGGCTCATGACCAAGAATGAGAAACAGCTATCATAGTGCCACTTTAGCTCAGCTGTCAAATCATCTTTCTTATTTGGAGAGGCTATTAGTTTTTGAAGCAGACAGCCTGGATTTGATTCAAACACAAGATACTTTGCAGCATGTTCTCCCTCTTCCTCTTCTTCCAGTTTCCTGCTCAATCCACTACCCTTTCTTTGGAAATACATGCACAAATTCCCCCCAAAAAAATGGTGCACCCAGCATGCACTCAGTTCATGATTCATTTGTGTATTTATTTTTGTTGATTTAACATTAGGCATCAGTGTAAAAGTTGATTAAGTAAGGATTGGAAGAATGGAATGAGTTATGAACAATTAAACCCGTCTGTAGTCAGACTGATCAAGTAAAAATGGAGTAAGAGCGGTTGGCTGGCGTGAATGAGGTGTGAATTCAACCATGAAAACAGGCCAGCATGTTTTGGCTCATTCAGCTGCTGAATGTCTGGCATTAAAACTAAATGACTGAGGGTCCAGCCCGTAGAAACAGACAGAATCCTCTCAGAGAGATGACAGTGAGGAAAAAAGACAGAAAACATATGAATCCTGCTGAAAAGTGAAATACACAGTCAAAAAAACTAAATACACAATTACAGAGGAGGATTTATGAGGTTCATGAGTCAAGGTTCAGGTGACTGTTCTGACCTGATTGTGGAGTCATATAGGTGTGAAATTACATCTGGCCAGATTCATTTTTCTTTGTCTCGTAGCTGAGTGTTATTGATGTAATTATACAATAAAGGTTACACTCTGGTATCTGTACTGAATATAAACCTGAGATCAGATCCACGCATCAATTTTGAGGTTTGATGTAATCTCACAGCTTGTTGAACAACCTCGCAGAAACAGGTTTACTCCTCGCA